GAGATGGCACCACAACTAGAATACTTTTTAGTTCATTTTTGAGCTGGCTGTATATTTTTTAAAGAATTTATATAAGTTGTACTAAGTATAGGTGTGCGGTGCAATGCATTACGTTTAGATATATACAGGGTGGTCAAAAAGTCGTGGATCAAACGCAAATAGGGGATAGATGAGGTCATCAGCTGCAAAAAATTGTTCTACGGGAGGTCTCTAAGCTCAACCCCTGCAGAGTTATAATTGGATATATATAAAAAAAATAGATATTATGAAAAAGATACAGGATCTAGATTTTTTCGAATTTTAATAAGAATTAGTCAAAAAAGTCAATTTTTTTATAAAAACGCAAAATAAATTATAACTTTGCAGGGGTTGAGCTTAGAGACCTCCCGTAGAACAATTTTTTGCAGCTGATGACCTCATCTATCCAATAGTTGCGTTTGATCCACGACTTTTTGGCCACCCTGTATATATCTTTTTTACATATGGCCCCTACATAAGCCTATCAGTTACGCGACCAGGCAGATCTGTAGCCGAGGAGCTAGGCAGCAGGGGAGTGTCAAACTTGGCCTTTCCTAAAAAGGAACTTTATTTGCTTACACTTAGGTCTGGTGGGCTTGGTGTCTCCCACCGGTTCCGAGCGACAACTACTCCGGAAATATCCTCATGATAATTATGGGAGAGTCGGAGCCCGCTGGGACCTTTAGATATTCACAGATAGTAAATAGCAACTATGTATCTCTGTTATATTTTATAATGCCGAAGTTCGACCCTGTACCCTTAATCCTACTTAAGAATTATCAGCTTGAAGGAGTATTGAGGTCATGTCAAGGACGTTACTAATTACGTCTTATCGTTAATATTATTCTATTAATATCTAATTAAAAATCCACATGCCTTGGACACAAAAAGTCATAGACAGAAGGCTGATCACCTACTTGTGTATTAAGAAAAAAATATTACGAAACAGGGTTGTAACACCCGTTTTTTTATGTATACATAAATGTGGTACATTTCTTCATAACAGTCTAAGGTCAAGTGATCTATTGACCTGCCCTTTAGCTTCGTGACTACTAAGGAGGGTTTATTGATTCAACGATATGCCCTTAGAATAAAGCAGATACATTTTTGATTTTAATTATAAGTAGTAAAATGAGATAATTTTATAACGTTTCAAATATAATATCGATATCCAATAATTCATGAGAGAGAGAGAGGAGAGAGACGAGAGCAGTGTTGGCCTATTGGCTTCAGCGTGCGACTCTCATACCTAAGGTCGTAGGATCGATCCCGGGCTCTGCACCAATGGACTTTCTTTCTATGTGCGCATTTAGTATTCGCTCGAACGGTGAAGGAAAACATCGTTAGGAAACCGACATGTCTTAGACCCAAAAAGTCGACGGCGTGTGTCAGGCACTGGAGGGTGATCTTGCGTATTAGATTTAAAAATTATCATGAAACAGATTCAGAAATCTGAGGCCAAGACCTAAAGAGGTTGTAGCGCCACTGAGTATTTTTTATTATCCAATAATTCATATTCCATCGGGATTCAAACCGAAAAGGTAATCTACATCGAACGCGAGACGTAACAATCTTTCGGTCGTACTTAAAATCAAATTGATAAGGATCATGCCGCATTTTTATCAAATACAGAGATAAAAACATATTATGACGGAAGTGTTTGTAATGCAGAGTGCGTATTCAGGAGTCTATTTAGTATAAAATTTGCACTGATTACGACTTGACATGTCTTTAGTTTGGACCGGTTATTCACTTAATAATAATATAGTCTGATAATATATATGAATAAAATACTCATAGACATTCAAGGGCGCTAATGCTTTGACAAACTGTATATTAATAATAAAGTATTCTGTAGTTTATCCTGACTAAACCAGTCACCAGTGTCTTCGTATTGCCAATTTGATGTCTTCCAAGTCGTTATAGTGTTTATAATAATGGAAATACTTCGATTTGCGCTTATTCCTATCGGGCTTACATTTGGGCTGACATATCTTAATGTTAAAAAGTAAGTATTAAATATTTATTTCCAACACACAATTATATTTAGAATATTCTTTACTCGCTCAACGTATATAAGTAAGTCAATACAGCTAGGAAATTCTGCCAGCATTAAAGGTACACTAACCCAGGAACCAAACTTTTTAAATTTGTTTTATTTACTATTTATCCATTTTATTATTATGAGTAACTAATTAGTTTTTGTTAGATTTTATTTGACAGTAATGTGTTGAGTTTAATGTACAAAATGCGATGAAATTTTATTTTGTATACAAATAAGTGATTATTAATTTAATGTTTGATGGTGTTTGGATATAAAATGGTTGTAGATGAGAATTGAAAAAAATCGTTATTAAAAATTACATTCAATTTATGTTATAATTGTATTTCATACTAGCACACCTGTAAAGGAGTGAAGGTCTTTCCAAATTCTTCCATTTGTCTCTTATCTTCGCTAATAGTCTCCAATCTTTTCTCGCTACCTCTTTTATATTAAATTCCCAGGTTATAACCATCATCAGCCATTTTGGTCCATTTCTGGACGTAGAAGAGTGGTGGAGAATGTCTTGGCAGTTCTTCTCACCAGCCTTACGCCCTTGACTTGCGAACTGGTAGTAAACGTAAATTCAGAATCATTTTAAAATCTTTTCTGTTGATGTTCATAAGTGTACTTGGTTACCTATATGAATAAAGTTATTTTGAGTTTGAGAAGGCCTCCTTCACCAGCCCAGCACTGGCCTCTCTGCAACGTCGTTGACGATGTCGTCAGTCCACCTAGTCGGTTGGCGATCGCAGGGTCTTTTGGTCTGCCGAGGTCTCCATTTAAGGAGCGTTCGGGTCCATCGGTTCTTGTCCATGCTCGCTATGTGGTGGCCTGCCCACCGCCACTTAGATATTGCGACAGTCCAGTTATAGTAGAAGTATAACTATAGATTTAGACATTGTCATAAACCATACATTGTTATCTCAATAATTACGACAATTCTTAACAATGTTATGCATTTAATGTGCAACAATTTTTATGAATTGCTAATTATAATGAGAATCGCTTTTCTATAAATGTGATTATTGTTCTCTGTAGAACGTCGCAGGTAAAAGTTAGATGTGTAATCGGCTACTAAATGTTAACCATTACAGCATTCCATCTCCAATTCCAACGCATTGGAATGTCAGAACAACGTCTAACAAACTCCAACCAACTTACCTATCAAGCAAAACCTTTATAACAAAAGTGTTTACGTATTTACTATTAAGTACCAGTACGCATTGTCATAGGTTTTTATAAAAAACCAGACTGGAACGAATTACGACTGGTATTTCGACTATTGAACCCGGACTATAATGACAAAGGGAAAAAAACTGTCGGGTTTTGCTATATTAATTAAGAAAATATATGTAGTTTATGCGTAAAAACCTAAATTTTTTTAAAAGACTTTATATTTAAATTACAACAATGTGGCTCATGAGACACATTTTTATGACGTGATAATTCGAGGTTTTAACTTTTCATTTTTAAATGTTATTTATCTCTACATAGTTTGTGAACGACTGCTACTCATAAACATTTTATTTATTTATCTATTCAACAAAATTACATTACAATTACAGATTACTTCAAGGAGGTAAATATTTACATTTACATAGAAAAAGCAACACAACATTAAACAGTAATAGATTAAAATATTTACAAAAAGACGGTTTCTTTCATTATTGGACATGGAATAAACCTTTTGTCAGTTCACTCAACGGACAATTAAAACGTGTGTTAATCTATGCCGTGCATTATTTTCATACATTGTGTCATGTGTGCCCTTTTCGAGAGGTTAGTTTTCGCTGAGGGTACGAATAGTAACGACGGTCGCCGCCTAATGTACAACGTAACTTACTGTAGAGTTGTTTCTTCAACTATTTATATTAAAATTCATTAATCACAGCCTGTCATTGCTGATGTGAATTACTTATAAAAGTATGAAAGTTGAACTAGGTAAACACCATTGATATACAAAAACCCAAGATGCACAATCAACGTCTAAAAAACGTCCTCAAAAAATGAGCGCAACATTCTAAATTGTGCGCTCATTTCAAATAGTCTCGCGTCTACAAGTGGAGTCGATGTTATTTATTTGTGTTTTTTTTATAAATAAATTTATGTACTCTTGAACTTTTTTGTGTGTAGTTTTTGACAAATATATTTACGCTATATAAAGTGTGGGTCAGGAGGTAGCCAATTTAACATTTTTTTTTAATTTAAAGAAAAAACTTTTTAACCGGATTAATGTTATGTATTATTATAAATTTACAACTATTTAACATCCAACACCTTTTGTCTTCAGTCACCGTGACCACTCACGCTGTAAAGCACCCGAAAAGTCAGATAAATTTAAAATTATGTTAAATAGTTGTAAATAAAAAAGTCATGTTCGACTCCACTCAATACCTTGTCCTACCGACCACGGTCGGTCGTAAAATTTTATTGCTTTAAGTACGTATACATTGCGTTGTAATAACAACTTTAAGCAATTCGTGTAAGGTTGATTTTGCAATAATATATGCTTGTAACATATACTGTTATGGACAGAAATAGTGTTTCGGGACACTTTCGAGCGTTACTTTTATTCGAGACTGTGCATCTTGGGTTTTTTGTATATCAATGGTAAACACTATTACAATAGACAAATAATTAAAAGAAAACAGTTATTTTGAAAAAAAATAACTTAAAAACATTATGCTAACTAAGAAACGTTTAGGAATAGCCCATTACGTAAATTCGAGCAGAACGTGACACCGAAATTTTGGGCGTGTTATAAATTAGGGTCTTCAATCTTCAGAGGGGTGAAATGCTGGATTCCTTATGAAATGGAATTTATATCCAGTAATGTTAAACAACGATGTTCTACTGAATTATAATATATTATTTTTTTATTAATACAAATGTACAAAGAAGGTTTACTTTTAGACAACAAGTTATCATATATTAATATATGCGTATCTTTCCCACAGGAACTCTTACAGTAGAAGAGGTGTACAAAGACAGAGACCAGTTCGCGGGTCTGGTGCGCGAAGTGGCGGCTCCAGACGTCGGTCGGATGGGCATCGAGATCCTCTCGTTCACGATCAAGGACGTCTACGATGACGTGCAGTACTTGGCCAGCTTGGGCAAGGCGCAGACGGCGGTTGTCAAAAGAGACGCGGATATTGGAGTAGCACAGGCTAATAGAGATGCTGGAATACGGGTATGTTATATATGCATTGTATTAGAATATTAGATGTTTAAACGGCTGAACGGATCTTTATGATTCGAACAAATATATATATTAAGGCACCACGCATCACCTATTATGTAGAACCAGCTGCCAGTAGAGGTATTTTCGAACCAATGCGACTTGTCTTAAAGGCCGACAACCACGCGGCTGTGCAGGAGTCCAAGGGTTTTAACTTAAGGGGCCATAACTTTATTTTAAGTAACCCAGCTGCTGCAGTAGGTTTACAACTTATAATTTTTTTTTTATAATGACATGAGTTTTTATTAATGAAATCAATTACCTTAAGTACATATAAAATAAAAAATATAATATGTTTATTATGAATTATAAGATACAGGTATCACTTATTCCACGTCATTAAATTTGAAACTGCAGGCATCCCTACTGATCGGCAAAGAAAACAGAGGGTGTAGGCCGAGAGAAAAAGCAGGCGTAAAAAACTTTCGGTACTCTTTTAAAATAGCAATCCATCAAAGAACACTTATTTTAAAACAAATATCGCAAATTAATTAGAAGTAGCCTGTCTAGCACTAGTCCCAGGCCTTTTTATCAACTAGATAATCGTTAACTTTATAGTAATCCTTTTTACACAGCTTTTCTTTAATACATTTCTTATATTTATTAAAAGGCAGAGATAAAAGAGCCTTTGGTATTTTATTAAAGAAGAGTATCCCTTTTCTCTAAAAAGAGTTACTAACTTTAGATAGTCTAGTAAATATTATATGTATCGTACGTATGCTTTGATTTCATCCAATTAATCATAGAGGGTTCAATCAAAAACTTCAATAAATTAGCGGTTTGGTTCATTTTAAGCATATAAATTGGCTTGACCTAATTCTGTTTTCTTTGTTCGTCAAAGTAGATTCATCATTCATTACCGGAAAAAGACAATACTTATACATAAACGTTTCTTGGGTTAAATATATGCAATACAAAATATAAGGATTTGTCTTTTGACTAACAAAGTTATAGTTGAAGACTGCTTCAAAGAGTGGATGGGGTTTCATTGTATGTCTAAACATCGTCTATATTAGGGTCTTCAGGGTATGATTCAGTTCGAAGCCTGGGAAAAAACATCAGAGAAACAGACACAAACACGTTAGCTACGTTCTCTTGGCTCTTGACTCTATATAGGGTATAATAAAAGCCAGTTCTCTACGCAAATGAAAGTCCACCCAATTTCTACTTCGCTTATTCATCCTTGAAGCTCTTCAATGACCCACGACGTGATTAGTTGTTTCTTTAGTATAGAAGTTTTTATATAAGTGACTATTGTCTGTTACGAGAATAGATGTCTTTAAACCTAAACAAATTGTATCTTTTGATATATGACGGTGCACACGGTCTACATAAGTACTTCAGCTTTCTACTAGTAAAATACCTAATATATAAAATTTTCGTGTCACAATGTTCGTTCCCATACTCCTCCGAAACGGCTTGACCGCTTCATATGAAATTTTTATGCATATTCCGTAAGTCTAAGAATCGGCTACTATCTTTATTTCAAACCCCTATGTGATAAGTGGTGTCCACCCCAAAAATTTATGTTTTATTTTTTAGACAATTTTTTTTGTTTTGATACAGCATACAAAATAAATACAACCCCTAATTTTCACCTCTCTACGATCAACCCTTATTTTTTAGTATAGTAGATAGTTATTTTTATTGAACTAAAAAATTGTTTCCTAGAAATAATATACATGGCAAAACAATGTTTGCCGGGTCAGCTAGTTTTATTATATAATATATTTGATTGCACTTACATACCTAAAAGAACAAGGGCAATTGACATTCAAATTAAGGCCAATGTCGAAAATGTCGTTTGGAAAATTGGGTAACTAGGCGTAATGGTGTATTAATAGGTCTATTTCGTCTTTGATCTACATTGTTATAATTCGAGAGATACTTATATATTTCCGGGTTCACTATACATAAATATATTCACTGTAAAATATATATTAATAACATATAAAGGGAGTTTTCTGTCCGCCAGTACTGTAAAGCTAAGTAATATGTAATGAATTGGCATATTAAAGATATTTTATATTTCCGTTTTGTCCAATGTATGTTTTAAGGAACAGGGACAAACGGGCAAAAAGATTACCTATTGATAAGTGACATCGCCGCCCATAAACACTCTCAATGGCAGAGGGCTCGCGAGTGCGTTGCCGGCCTTTTAAGAATTGATACGCTCATTTTATGAAGGACCATAAATCAAACTGGTTTGGAAATACTTTAGTGGGGAGCCTACATAGGCCAATCGATATTTACTTTCCTCCAACTTTTTAAGACGTTTTAATTGATTGATGGAGTAAATAAATTGCTCTTTTGTTTAATGGTGACAGATGAGATAGCGATTAGACTAATGAAGAATTATGTCAAGTTTAAATTGAATCGTAGAGATTTAACCAAGGTTAATTAATAACAATGAGCAGTGTTGGCCTAGTGGCTTCAGCGTGTGACGCTCATCTCTGAGGTCGTAGGTTCGATCCCCGGCTGTGCACCAATGGGATTTCTTTCTATGTGCGCATTTAACATTCGCTCGAACGGCGAAGGAAAACATCGTGAAGAAACCGACATGTCTTAGACCCAAAAAGTCGACGGCGTGTGTCAGGCACTGGAGGCTGATCACCTACTTGCCTATTAGATTGAAAAATTATCATGAAACAGATTTAGAAATCTGAGGCCCAGACCTAAAGAGGTTGTAGCGTCTATGTGTTAGGCCTATAAAGAGTGGGCACGTATCGACACCTGGATATCTGATTCTAAATTCTAATCACCCAAAGAAAATTCTCACAGAGGTCCAGCCCTCGCATGAAATATAACGGTTAACGGTTTAAGATATTTACTATAAAAAATTACGTGAGAAAAAGATATAACTCCTAAAGAATTTTCTTAGATTGAAATAAAATATTAAATTCTACTAGAAAGTTTAAAATTACTAACACATAAAGTGTATGTATTCGTGATGCAAATAGCTTCTAACATACATCTCGTTTCTAAATAGTTATCAGGGTATATAAAAAACAATGGCGCTATAAACTTTTAGATAGCTTATAGCTTAAAAATCTGTATCTGATTCGTCATGATTTGCGTTTTCTAATAGGCAAGTAGGTGATCAATCTTCTATGCCCGACACACTTTTTTCTTTATTGTGTAAAATTATGTTAGGTATTACTTAATTTCATTATTTTATTATGTGTTTTCAGGAAGCCGAATGCGAAAAGAACGCAATGGATGTGAAATATTCAATGGACACGAGAATCGAAGATAACTCTAGGCTGTTCAAGCTGCAGAAGGCTCACTTCGATCAGGAAGTCAATACTGCTGTAAGTTTTAAGTTTCTTAATAAAGTTGCACATTATATGTTTACAACCTTTAGAATTTAAGTACAAAATGTAATTGTTTTTGCGTCAAATAAAGTGTTTTTTTAAGTTGTTGTTGTTGTTGAAACTATAAAAAAATACATTTAATTTCTAATTATTATAATAAATAAGAATAATGTGGATAATTGTGAACAAACGTATAAATATATATTTACGAAATATATCACACTTGAATGAGAAAATATTTGTGTATTTGCATCATACACAATTATATTCAATTCCTCTTTTTTTTAAGTCGGTTAAAAAGTGACATTAGTTGTGCGATTTTTTTATTTTGATGTCAATTAATTACATATTACCCGTGGTAAATGTTTTATATGTAACGTATAAATTCAATTTAATTAAATTTGCCTGACAAAAGTACCTCGAAAACAAACTTTGGAAACAAGTTTTGACAAATGACCGGAAACTAATTTCAATTCGAGCCATTCCTAAACGATTTTCGATTCGATTTTCATTCATTTGCAAATAATTAGCGCAGAGGGAGAGCTTTTGAAAGGTTTATGTGAAGTTTCGGTAAGATAAAATTAGGACTATTTTACTTGAAATTTAAAATAGTGGTGGGTGGTACGCCATCGTAATCTTTGTGTTTTTTATTGATGTTTTAGAATGTGAATACTTAAAATAATGAAAATATTTTAAACTGTAAATAATGCTTAATTATATTAAATAAATGATTTCAAATCGTCAAATTTTTTTCATTCTCATGCATGAAAAATAAATCAGTTTCGTTACATACATACAATATACCTTTTTTTTGTTGAACGAGCTGTGGAATTGGCTCCCAGTAGTCTCAAGAAGACTTACAAGTATATAAAAAAGTGCGTAACTCTTCCCTTAAAGGCCAGCAAGCTTGGGTGTTCATGTGCCTGCCTTTTATCACTGCCTCGTGGCGTAGTAGCTTTTCCTTATAAAAAGAAATACTGTTTCTGGGAGTTCCCAACTAGAATTCTCTTTTAGGACCTAATCGCGTTCCAATTATAAACGTCTAAAGACAAATCAGAATCAAACGATTCGGTTTTCTAATGTACTATCTTAGTCCCTTTCCCGTTCTCTTTCTAATGCATCGTAAACATAACTGGACATGGAATGGTGTCTTGAAGCGGAATTTGACAGCATTGTCAATAGATATTGTCAAGTTTCTTGATATTTGTTTATTTTTACAGAAAGCCGAGGCCGCTTTAGCATACGAATTGCAGGCTGCGAAAATCAAACAGAAGATACGAAACGAAGAGATTCAGATCGAAGTCGTGGAGCGTCGCAAACAAATTGAGGTAATTTCTTACCCCTTATTTTTAAAAACCAGTCGCTCTGTTATACCAAATATTTGTCTCTTTTCATCGCAGCGTAAACTCAATTTGTCGGAACACAAGATCACTCTAGTATATGAATATAATACATATTACATAGTACAACTTTAGTATTTTAATAAAGCTTTTTAAAGATGAAATCAACTATAATTCTGTAAGTAATTTTTTATTGTTGCAACTAAAATATTCAAATTCAAACGAATTATCTTCGTCTAAAGTCAGGTTATATTCAATTATATTTTATCCTCTCAGGTGGAACAACAAGAGATTCTACGCCGCGAGGAAGAGTTGAAGTCAACGGTTCGTTTGCCTGCTGAAGCAGAAGCTTACAGGCTACAAGCGATCGCCGAGGGAAAACGGTAAGATATTTAAAATTTACGCAAATTAAACTATACAAAAGAAAAAATGCGAACCCAATATCTCCAAGCGAGCGATAAATTTATAACCGGCGGGCCATGGACACCTGGGGGGGCTAGCAGTTGTGTTGGCGACCTATACCTGTATCTGTTTCTTGATCATATTTTTCTTTATAGAGGTCAGCCATCTGGTTTTCTCACGTTGTTTTCCATCATACGACAGAGCGTTACTTGTACCTAGGTAACACAGAAAATTTGTAGAAAATGAAAAACGGCTTAATGTAGAAAGTTGCCAATACTTTTATTGTTTTTCGAAGTAATCTCCGTTCCTCTCTACACATCGTCGCATTCAATGGAACCTCTGAGAAAAGCAGTGGGCCCATTCTTCCTTAGGGGTCTCTTCTATGGCATTTTCGTACGCTTTCACTGCATCATCAGGGCTCGTAAAGCAAATACCTCGAATTTTATCTTTAGTTTTGGGTTGGTAGCAATATATCCAGCTTTCATCACCTGTGACGATGTCAAATACAGCATTTGAGTCACCCCCGTTGAACTTATCTAACATTTGGCGACACCAATCCATGCGAAGGTCGCTGCATGCTGGTCGTCGGTCCATCTGGTACGAACTTGTCTTATACCAATGCCTAGGCTTGCCCGTATCTGCTGATAAGTCACTCTCTTATCTTCCTCTATTATGCGTCGCACAGCTCTGATGTTATCTTCAGTAGTCGCTGCTAAAGGACGTCCCTCACGCGGATCATCATTGAGATTGCTACGTCCACGCTTAAACTCGTTAAACCAATTGTAAATAGTGGCACGAGATGGGGCTTCATTAAGAAATGCTAATCGCAGCCTATCATAGCTTTGTTGTCGAGTAAGCCCACAACGAAAGTCATAATAAATCATTGAACGAAAATTTTCTCGCGTTAGGTTCATTTTCACGTGTAGAGTTTTAGATTTGCCGCCAATTCACAAAAACAAATGACAAATGAATGCAATATACTACATAAGGTTACCAAAGAGTTCTAAAATTTAAATTCAACAAAAGTTTTCATTAGCAATATTTCTTCTAACTGGCCAATTCTAAACATTTTCAGTATTATCCACATACACATAGAAAGGAAAGTTGGGTTCATTGGTGCTAGCCGTGATTCGAACGCGAGAGCTCAGGGCCAAAAGAGCGTATTTCTTAAATGTCTTAAAATCACCAATTTAATTGATGCCTATTTCAGTACTCAAACAGTGGAAGCCGCCAAGGCAGACGCGGAACGTATCAAGGTGCTTGGTCTAGCTGAGGCCACAGCTATTGGGGACGTTGGTAAAGCTGATGCTGAGAGGATGTTGGCAAAGGCCAGGGTGTACAGGCAGTATGGAAATGCGGCCATCATGGCTTTGGTTCTTGAAGCTTTGCCAAAGGTAAATTTGGAGTATAGAATACGTGGCAGGTCCATTTTAGTAGTAGCTAAGTTTTAAGGCTTGGAAAGGAATAGACATTTCTGCTTCAGAATTATTTTTATTTATCAGTTTTTACCACCCAGTTTTTCTAAGCGAATTAATCTCAAGGGCTCTGAGTTACAAGCAGGAATTTAAATCAGTGCTAAAGCGTACCGTGTGTTTCAACTATCATACTTCATAGATATTGAATGTCTTAGAAATAAAATACGCCAAAGAATCTACGAATCGTAAATATCTATCCCATGCGCGTTACTTATCCTGGACGTAATTTGTATGCTAGTTGTGGTTCTCTTAATTTGGGATCACGCGAAACACAAACTCACAAAATCATTATTGGGATCAGGATAGCTGTCGGTATCACTACAGTTACAGAGTTAAGATCCTCGAAATTTTGACAGGACTAAATTGAGTGTAAATTTTAAATAAGTCTGACTCCGCTTATTTGATTTTAGTATTTACCTTAAATGTCTTTAAATCACTAATTTTATTTTAACTCCACTAATTTGGTCGTAATTCGTTAATAAATTCTATAATATAAGTCTGGTTTAGTATACAAAAATAAGTATAATAAAAATGTGTTTATTTATTATAAGTATGCATTACATTACATTATAATTAGTATCGTAATATAAGAGTTGCCAACATACGAAACCGGGCTAGCGCACTTTAAGTTGTTGTCATTGGAGAATCTTAGAAAATTAATTGATATATCGTTTGCATTTAAGCTATTTAAGAATCCGGTGTGCCCCAACCTTTTAACTAAATTTAAACTTCGTGTACCCTCTAGATACCTCAGGCATCCGTTTGTCCTTTCTCTCAGAAGAACGCGTTTAGGCAAAAACTCACTGATATTGAGATAAACGAACTAGGTCCGGATATCCATAGTTTGTTATGTTTGCCTATAAGTGCTTGTCACATTATATATTTTAAAAAAAATCAGTGTCGCTACAACCTCTTTAGGTCTTGGCCTCAGATTTCTGAATCTGTTTCATGATCATTTTGAAATCTAATAGGCAAGTAGGTGACCAGCCTCCAGTGCCGGCACACGCCGTCGACTTTTTGGGTCTAAGACATGTCGGTTTCCTCACGATGTTTTCCTTCACCGTTCGAGCAAATGTTAAATGCGCACATAGAAATAATGTCCATTGGTGCACAGCCGGGGATCGAACCTACGACCTCATTCGCACGCTGAAGCCACTAGGCCAACACTGCTCACACATTATATATTGCATTTTATTTTTCTTGTACCAATGGATCAGTGGGCGTGTTTGGCCGAAGTAAGTACTTACTAAACTTAGTAAGCCAGTAAGCATAAAAAAATTAAAGTCTTACAAGCTGACTGTAGCGCTTTTCGGCCAGGACAGACTTACTGGCTTATTAACATAACACAAAACACCGGTTTATGTCATATCCCGTACATAACCTCATAGACTGAATATAATTGACAGTACTAAATTTAGGAATATAATTTAATACCTGTGAAATTTATTTATTTTACCTATTTTCGTAGTTTCAAATGGATAATTTTATGAGAAATATTTTATTGGATATTTTATTGTCCGTTTTGTTTACATCAACAATAAGCAAAATGGCGTCGTATATTAAGCCATATACTTACTGCGTTAGCACTTATTTTGTGTCCCGGCCGAAAATTTTGTAAGCATAGTAAGTGACTTACTAAATTTAGTAAGTACTTACTTCGGCCAAACACGCCCAGTGTGCCGAGCGTTGGCAAGCTTTTATAAATAAATAAATTACAATGTGTAAGATTTGGGAACCCTTTTAAGTAAGAAATATCTGTGTCCCTGACACAGCTCATTCCCAGCTCTTCCATAACAACGTTAATATATGTTTTTACTCAAACTGGTTGTCCTTATTATCTTCCAAGTCTTATTAATAAATTATCATTATTCACAGATTGCAGCCGAGGTATCGGCTCCTCTAGCGAAGACAGATGAAATAGTCCTCGTTGGAGACAATGGGGCAACTGGGGAAATGGCCCGACTGGCTGGAGGCATTCCACCCGCAGTACGAACACTTACTGGCCTGGATATTAACCAGGTGTTGAAGAGACTTCATCCGAGTGCACCAGGTATAGCGCAATTTCTCAGATATTCCTTAATGGTCGCGCAGGCTTACCCTGTAACTTTTATAGCTATTTCAATATTGCGTCATTAGATATGGATATTAAAAGGAATACAACGAACTTGGACAGATGACATTTTAATTATTTATGCTAATTCCATTCAAGTATTAACCTTTTAACAATCAGGTTTTACAGAGTTACTCCAAAGATCAGGCTGGCATTTCTTAGGTCGACTTTTATTCTCTGTCTTATCTCCAACTCAAAGCATCAATAATACAATTTTTTGTAAGACAATTTTTACAGTACTTAAGAGAAAATTGTGACTTAGACTCGCTTTTAAAGCCGAAATTGTGCCTTAGACTCGTTTATAAAGCCAAAATTGTGACTAAGACTTGCTTTTAAAGCCAAAATTGTGACTTAGACTCGTTTATAAAGCCAAAATTGCGACTTAGACTCGTTTATAAAGCCGAATTAGAATTAGAAAACCGCTGTGGTTTGTATAAATGTAAGTTGTAACCATAGCAGTCTTGTTTAGGAACGCGGCAAATGCAGATAAAAGAAGTTTTTCAAATTACTTTTTATGTTATGTTAGGCTATCTAATAACTGACTGGATAGTCCATTTATTATCTGAGGTAGCAAAACTCTAGCCATAAACGTTGTTCGTCAGCTATGTACAGAACTGAACTTGCGTTTTCGCTCGGGTCTGTACGTCACGCTCAAAAAAACAAGAAGTTTTTATGTCACCTCGAAATAAAAATAAGGACTTGTGTCTGCTGTCTTTGGTCCTCTATTGCGTTTCCATAGAGATTTCTGGCTTAATGGATTCCTAAACAATTTTAAATTGACCTTTACTATTTGTTTCTCTTCTAGATGCGTCTCCATTGGCAGCAGCCAGTAAGAAGAAAGAAGTTGCAGCTTGCTAAAACTATTCGTATGTCTAAACTGCACAAAGCATTTTTATTTGTTTAGTGATTATCGTACAAAATAATAGCACAGTATTAAATACTTTGATTTCCAATATAATTGAAATTCCATTTATTGTGCTAAGCGTGGAATTTTTCTTTTTAATATCTTTCTGGAAATACTTTTCAAGTAAAAATGTGAATAGTTCTGATGTACTATCCACGAGTATGTATTTATATTAACTACTCATGTTATTTTTTAGTGAAAATATCTAATGTAGAGTTGATTTAGGAGCTTATGGTAGACTAAAATTTTTATTTAAAAATATTTAAAATGTATGAAAACTTCGATAACGTTTTTTTAAAATTCACGCTTGGCACTTAGGCAGTCTGTTTAATAGAACAAATTATTTTTATACAATTTATATTCTTAATATATTTTTCTCGTAGTTCTTAGATACTGTATATGAACCAGTAGATTTTGTACTGTTATCTAAAGTGTTCTTAAGGCACTGCCTTTAAAATCGAATATTACTATCACTGTGTGTTTATGAATTTTGAATTGACCTAGTGCCTGTACATATCAGACCCGGTAGAATGTTCATCAGTCTTTGCTGTTGACGACGAATTCCGTTTCTACCGAGTCAAATAAGTGTGAGGCGTTGACGTGAGAATTGTTTCTTGAAATAAAGAGGTGTAACCCGAAACGGCGACGCTACTCTGTAACTCCCAATAGCGATAACTTTGTGTACTTTGTGTTGCGCAGTCATAACATGAGCTCTACGCTTATTGAAAGAACTTGCATTTTTAAACAACAGTAACAGTATTGAAAGTAACAGATTACCGGCGCTTTAAATTTATTTCCAGTAACTTTACTTAACTTTACTCCATTAAGGGAGCTTCTGGGTCGAGACGCGCCAAGTGTGACCCCTATGTCAAAAAGTGTTTAATTTTGACATACGGAAGACATAGTCCCGTCACATCGGAGCATTCTGGTATTGTTTCTACCGTACTTCAGTAAATTTTGTTTACCATAGAGCCAATTCTTGCGCAGACCAGCGCCAATTTGGGTCTGACTCCGAAATTTTGTCGCTAAATTGATTTCTGATTCTCTTTATTTCAATGAAGGCAATCTCTACTATTATTTGTGTGTTATTTGTGCCATATATTTATGAAATGTGTAATTTTCGTAATAAAGTGACTATATATTAATCAGTGTATTTTATTTATCAATTTATTTAGTATATTTTTAATTTTATTTAGTAGAAAAAGTATATAGTTGTTTAAATATAGCGTGTGGTGTTGCAAGACACATTTAAATATATTTTAGTATCGCAATACAGGCTCACTGCCACTGTGGCAGTGCCACAGGGACCAAACTTTTTAAAATTTATTACTACTATTACTCTGTAGGTTAAGAATATTGTAAATACTCTTTATTTTAATCGTTTTTATCAGATTAAAACGCATAAAACAATGATTAATCTCTCCGTTTATTTGTATGCTATTTTACAAATAAATTCGGGATTATTTTATATAGAACTAGCCGACCCGACAGACCTTGTATTGAACACGTCCTTAATACAAAAAAAATTTAATCCACTTGAATACACAACATTTCATCAAAATCGGTATGTTAAGGAGTTTAATTACAAACACACTTACAGAAGTTTAATATAGATAAATATTTAAAAACTTAGAGAATTTTTTTTCGATAGTAGGTACTGATAATGAAAGACAATGAAAAACTTAAATAATTTATTTGTTAATACGATTTCTTGACTACGCGTTGAGATGTGGATTCTGAAGCTCGCCACGAATGTTTGTCTTCATAAGCTAGAACAGTTACAATTTTAAAATACTTATTTAACTAGCTTAGCTACTTATTAAGGTTTTTGTCAAGTGTCCGGTTGACACAGAGCCAAGATTTGACGCTAAGATTGACAGGTGTGTCAATTCCAATACCTTTTCGACGTACGAGATTACGATTTATTTATATTATATTGATTACTGTTATGGTTTCTTGTTTACTTTTCTTAAAAGACAAGTCGGTCTGACTTATGTGGAGTTTTTTGGCTAGTTTCCTCACGAAGTTTTCTTTCTTTATGAGCACGTGGACACAGTTAGTGTCCAGTATTGTTTTTCTGATGTTTACGATACAATAAAAATAAATAAGTGGCGCTACAACCTTCTTAATTCTGGCCTCAGATTTCTGTATCTGTTTCATAACCATTTGCGAATCTAATATACAAGTAGGTGATCAGCCTCCTATGCCTGACACACGCCGTCGACTTTTGTGTCTAAGGCAAGTCGGTTTCCTCACGATGTTTTCCTTTACCGTTTCGAGGTAATGTTAAATGCGCACATAGAAATCAAGTCCATTGGTGCACAGCCCGGGATCGAATCTACGACCTCAGTGATGAGAGTAACACGCTGCTCTTATGTATACAATAAATAAACGTGTTGATTGGATACGTGTAAATATCCATTGTGCACACAAAGCCCAAGCTCATATGAGAACCTAAGACTGATCAATATTCTAGATACTCTTATGAATTATCAAGTATGTAGTTTTTCAAATCGGTTTTTATAACTACCTCAATCTGTTGTTGGTAATTAAGTTCAGTCTTGCTGAGAACGTAAGACAGCTTAGCAAGCGCTGCCTCCGATGTCATGTCGAATGCGGGAACCACGCCGCACTCTATTAACAGCTGAAATAAATTGTATAAGAGACATTACAAACTGTTAGTATATTTTCCCTTAACATTTTATTCAGATGATCGTCAGCGGATTAACTCTGTATCTGTCTCACGTTCACAAGCGCTCGCTACATCCCCTTACTGTACCTGACATTATTTGTCTTGGGATTGTACATAAATTAGAAACAAGACAGGACCTACAGTTGGCCTATCTACTTAAAGTCTTGTGGTGAGCAACCCAAGTGTTCTTCTACTCGGTTTCTTTGTACCTAAGGGATATATGTGACGGTGAAGCACTGATTGCGATACTAAGGGCCAGAAAAAGGCCAGAAAAAGTCTGTTGCTCAGAGCCCCGTTAACAAAGACGTTGCTCCGACTGAATGCGGTCTCTGACACTATCGACATCTTTATATGAGTTCATAGTAGCGATATTTTGTACTTATGTGTTTTATATTAATTTTAAAATTATTAGCTTAGAATAAAAATTCAAATTTGGTTATGAATAAATGAATAAATTCTAGCGAACTATCGTTGCAGGGGTGAAAGTAGTTAGAAAGGATATTATTTGTAAGCCAATACCTATGCATCTGTAAAAACTATAAATTAACATTCTTTAGTTATGTTAAACCCACTATAGTTTAATAATTTAGAAAGCGTATAACATTAACTATCCGTTTTGATCATAAAAACAAAATATAAGAAAGGCGCCGTAATGTTTCATAGACACATTTGAGACAAATATTGTCAAACACAGTAGAGTAACAGTTTGACAGTTTCGAATGGTGAATGGTGAACTTACAAGTCCGGTTTCATACAATGGCTTCCCATGAACCATTCCATTGACACACTGCGTCACATTGACCACCAGCACCTCGTTTTTGACAGCTCTCTCAATCTCTCTGTAGATCTCTTTGCGTTTAATCGGGATGTTACCATTGCCGTATGTCTCTAAGACCACACCTAAAAAAGGAATTTTGATAAAAGTAATAATATTGAACAAAAACAAAACACTAAATTATAGTTTCTATTGAAAGTGTAATAAGGAGAGGCCCTTTTGTTCCCATTTTCTTAGTCACACCGGCGCAACTAATTGAAAGTTCCGTATATAACAATATTTTTACACTCCCCAATTCCGATATGGACAGAAAAATGCTTCTTCATCATGTAAGAGATAAGGGATTTCGAATATACGAGATTATCAATGGGGTCAATTTTTAACCTTAGAGGTCACCCCACTACCAACTATCTTTGACAGTGATGACCTATTTAAATGGATATTTATACAAATTATGGGTCATCAAAGTTTTTTTTCGGACCATCATTTTCCGCTAAGTGGGAGAGAAGAAATTGAATACAGGAATGTATGACTACAGTAGTATGTATTTACGTGGAACAGAAAATTTGTATCTATTCCAAGTAGTTCTCTGTCTTCCAATAAAAATTGGTACTCCTTACAATCCTCTGATTTCTGTATCTGTTGTATGACCTTTTTTCCTAAACAGGCAAGGTCCGCCTTCTTTGCCTGTCACATGATTTTTTGTATGAGTTAATAAAGAAAAGACCATTATTCCACAAAACGTAAGTTTCGTTTCAAAACTAGGACAGAGTAAGACCCTATAAGGAACCAACCAAGTCACCTAGCTATTTGTATTAACATTGTTTTAATTAATTTAAATTATTAATGCAAATACAATAAAAAGATAATTTATACCTTTCATTCCTTCAAACACTCTCCTAATAATGTCTGGAGTGATGGTCGGAGTAACTTTTAAAATGTATACGTCAGTGCAGAGTTTATCGTGTAAGATACATTCATTTGGTACAGATCCACGAGGATGGATCAACATTTTAGGGTCTACATCAATAGTTGTTTTGGCTTCTAATAGAGGAGGGAAATTCGGTGTGTCAAAAGCGTAGATCTTTGTATTCGAGACTTTCTTGACTCTGAAATAAAAAGAAATATAATAATTATAATAATTCTTGGACTTGATATATTACTACGTTCTCTTAAAATACGTCGCAAGCATGAAGATATCCTGGGATAGGCTATCTGACATATTGTTCGGGTACAGATCGCTGCTGGAAAAATTCTGCCATAGAATTGTCAAATATCAGTGAGATGAATAGCACAAGAGGTAACGCGGGTACCGCCGGGCAGCGGGCTTACACTCGCCCATAAATATCATGAGGATATTTCCGGAGTAGTTGTCGCCCGGGCCCAGCTGGAGACGCCAAGTCCAGCAGACCAAAGCAAATAAAGTCCCTTTTTAGGAAAGGGGAGATTTGACACTCCCCTGCTGCCTAGCTTCTCGGCTACAGATCTATCTGATCGCGTGCCTGATGTAGGGGATATTCCTAAGCAGAATTCAGATTACATAAGCCCTCTTAATCATCAGTTCAGGCTTCAAGGTATTTATTTTGTCTTTATTAATGTACGCACTGCAGTCGCTTTGCAGAATATAGAATATCTTCTATGTTAGAAATTAGATTCAGGGACCATGTATGAATATTGGTAGTTATTAGCACTGCTACTACACGATAGTACTCACAGAACACTATACACAAATAACAGAGGCTTTAATATGAACAAAACGTAAAATGATTCGTAAATTTACTAAAACGTTAAAGAAAATTTTATTAGAGAGGCGTGGGCGTAGATAAAAATTATAAAAATTATGTTAAAATGCTTGATTATTAGAATTACCTGGTTCCTCTGAACAACTTGGCTCCAAAGAAGACGGTTACTTCTGGGATGTACTGTGTAGCAGCAATAAGTATAGCACATAAGATGTTATTGTTACCATCACTTCGTGGTTGGAAAATTGGGACCTATTTAAATAAAATAAAATAATTTTTGGTTTTTGTGGAACTTAAGTCTTTAAGACACAATAACCCAATAATAAGATAATATAGTAATATATTTTTACAATCTCCAAGTGTTATCTAATTAGTAGTTATTTCAAGTAAAATCATGCTGACTTTTAGTTTTTCTTGTATTTGAATTTCAAAGCCCATAGCAACATACATTACTTTATTGACGTATTAATGTGCTACATAGAGATGCAGTTTCTTACCTGAGCTCCGGTAAGAACAACAGTCTTTCCAACAGATTCTAACATAAAGGAGAGAATTGATGCACCATACGCTGTGGTATCAGTACCATGAAGGACTACAAAACCGTCGTAATCGTGGTAGTATTTCTGAAAAAAAAAATGTTATACGTCACACACAAACTTGACTAAGGGTCCTTTATTCCCTGGGTCCACGGTGCTTCGACATCGCGATTCGTCTGTAAGGCTCTGAATAAAGAAATATAGTATACCTACTAGCTGACCCGGCAAGCGTTGTTTTGCCATGTACATTATTTAGAGGAAACATTTTATAGTTCAATAAAAATAACTATGTACTATAATAAGTGGAGGTGAAAAGTAAGGGTTGTATGTTGTATCATAAAAAAATAAAAAACAAATTTGTCTAAAAATAAAAAATACTTTTTTTGGGGTGGACACCTTATCACTTAATGGTTTGTAAGATAGATAGTAGCCGATTCTCAGACTTACTAAATATGCAGAAACATTTCATAAGAATCGGTCGAGCCGTTTCGGAGGAGTATGGGAACGAACATTATAGGCTTCGTAGCATGAACTGGCTATTAGGTGGAAATGCCGCACTCAGTTTGGATAATAAACTTCTATCCTCAAAACTATAATAAAACCAATATGGCTCTGGGGGTCAGCAAGCCGCTCTAATATCGATTTCTGCAGCGGCTACAAAACAAAACACTGCGAAATATGAGCGGTGCGCCGTGGTTTACACAAAATGCTGAAGTCCATAAATATTTGAGAATATCCACTGCCGAGGAAGACATTAAAAGATCAACCATGCGATACAAAATGAGGCTTCAGCAACACGTCAACCTCTAGCTTCGGGCCTCTTGGAAACGACGGACAGTGTGTATCGGCTGAAAAGGGCGAAAGTTGCCGCAGTCTGACAGTTTAAAAAACAAAGTGACAGAATAAAAAAATATTGGATTTGCGTTCCCTAATTGTAATCATTTCTCATGATTGCAGATGGATTAAAAATTAAGAAAAAAAACCACGAATACTTGTTGAAATTTTTTAATACTTTACGGGAATTTAATATGTTCTTAAAATATGACTATGATATATAAGGCATATAATGATTTAAAAACGTTACTGTTACCTTAATATCTCTAGCCATGTTGATCCAGTCGTCTGTCATAAAGTCTGATGAATCTTTCAGCTCTTCATATTCTAATATCTTGTAAAGAATCTTCTGATCTGTGTCTTTACCATCTAAAAATTATCGTTGATTTAGCTAAATCGTTTTATTATAAATTTCCTAAGATTCTCAACTTTTGATGGAATTATAAATTTGTAAGCTTCGTAATTTTTGAATGAACGTAGATACGGACACCACATTAAGTCATTAAATCTTATCAGTTGAGTTTGATTCCATGGAAGATGGGCCGGGTCTAGTATGGGATGCAACCTGTTCAGACACGCTGGCCCCTTCCCATCTACATAGAACCAACAACAGAGCTGTTGCGGCTTGTGAAGCGGCTGAAAAAGCTAATGCATGCAAATACAGGGGTCTAGGCTCCGAATATGATTTTGTCCCATTCGATGTCGAGACCCTTGGTCCGTGGGGTCCTAGTGCTACAAGGCTTTTTAAGGACATAGCAAATAGGTTAGTCGACATTATAGGAGACCGAAGAGCTGGCAGCTACCTCGGACAAATAATTAGTCTAGCTATTCAAAGGGGGAACGCTTCCAGTATCTTTGGAACCTTGCCTAAAGGGACTCCTTTTAATAGATAATATATTTTAGTAATTATATTATATATGTTTTTAAGGTTATTATCGTTATATGTGTCCCTCATAGTTATATATTACAGATATCAGTTATCTAATATGGTTTCTTACAAAACATGGAATAAATTCTATAAGGAAAATTAAAATATTATTACCATCACATTACCTAGGCGAGACACGGATCACCGGGGTATGTTACAAGATATAAATTCGAATCATAATCATGTTTTTCTTGTTTTTGTTTGAATAAATCATTTATTCAAACTAGAGATACCATTTACCGATAAAATAATAATACCAAGGTTAAATATATTTTAAATAAGTGCTTGGTCATTGCACGACGAATAAGTAGGTAAGCCAGTGTCATTAGATGCGGATAAGTTTTTTCATACACCCGAGATTTCGTCACATTTTTGGACAAGTGAAAATTAATAAATAATCATAAAACCATAACTATTGATGAATGATGAGTACAATGGGTATTTTTGTATAGTTTTATGAAGATTTAAATAAAAATAAGCATTAGACAAAATTTAAAATGTTATCGAGCTTTAAATGTAAAGTCATCGTTAGTCGACCATTTGGACTTGATTTGTAGGCAATCATTTAAACAAATGTAAGGATAGGCGATTGAGAAGGAAATCTCTAACTTTGGCCATTCACTAAACGTTTGTGGTCACGATTCTCACGCTTCTCCCCATAACAGCTGCGCTAAGGAAAGCTATAGTCTGAACAAAGTGAATAGATAGCACTAGCAGGGCAACAGGTTACAGTGGCACGACCTTCAGCAATGAGAAACCTTTGTGGCCAGTTAGAATTTCGATGTTACGACGTCAGCGCTGATTGAGAGAACAATATCGAAATTACAAACGAAAAGGCGAGATAGCGCTGTTCATTTGTTTATTAGATTTTTTTGTTTACTTAAAACAATAATGCACACAGCTAAGAAAGATAATTGTTCTTTATTGTAAAACTTTCGAAATTTATAAACTCCTGGTACTCGACAAATTTTATATCTGTTTTTGACGGCTCGAAAGCATACAATTAATTTGCTTTGAATGCTATTCGAACTATGTTTTTCTCAGCTTTTATTTAAGTTTGTAGGTATGGTATGATAGGTAGCTATTAGGGGAATTTACATCCCAAATTAAATAGCTATCAAGCTATTGTGAGAACCCAGAGGCGATAGTTAAAATAACCACGACATATATGGAACTAGCTGACCGGGCAAACGTCGTTTTGCCATATATATCATTTATAATAAAAAATAGGGGTTGATCGTAGAGGGGTGAAAGTTAGGGGTTTGTATGTATTTTTTAATGCTGTATCATAAAAAAACAGAAAAAAATATCTAAAAATAAAAAAATATATTTAGCAGTGGACTACCCTTAACATTTAGGGGGATGAAAAATAGATGTTGTCCGATTCTCAGACATACCCAATATGCACACAAAATTTCATGAGTATTCTGTTATTAACCGACATCAATTACACAAGAAATTAGTTTTGAATTCGAAATATGTATTCATATGAATGGTTATGTTAGTTACTTTTGCACAGTCATGTTTTCTATTATTTTATTTATTGGAAATAAAATTATTTAGGACCGAGTAAGATTCAGAAACGAGGCTTAGCTATTATTACTCTCGTATGTCGAAATCCAACACGAGATATGAACCACGCAAAGAAATTCGTAGAACTGCACCTGATGCTTTTCAACATTTTTCTCAATAATAGCGTGATGGACAACATTATAGTTAACAAGTTACATGACTTAGTAATTTATAGAAATAAATTCAAATAAATTACCTGGTAATACGAGGTAGTCTTGTCTGTCTGTTTTAGCGAGATTTTTCTCCCAATATTCATTGTCGTGAAGTTGAGTTAATTTTCTAATAACTCTGTTCTCAATGTTCTTCTGTGGGACCAGTACTGAAATATTTTAATGTAATAAATATATGTGCGGATAATGTTTATGCGCATATTTTAATTAATCAAAAAATAATGTTAAACCCTTATTATTATAAAGTTTTAATTTCGAATAATGTTTTTTTTTATGTAATAGGAGGCAAACGGGCAGGACGCTCACCTGATGCTAAGTGATACCACCGCCTATGGACACTCACACTGCCAGAAGGCTCGCAAGTGCGTTGCCGGCCTTTCAAGAATCTAGGTAGTATACAAGTATTATAAATAACCGAACAACATAGTTCTTATTGCGTATTTTTCATAAGTATTTGATTGTACTCAGTTATTTGAGAGAAAATATAAATAAAATAAATTCATTTATTCAAAAAACTCACCGCCTTTTTCATTCTTTAACATTCCAAATGTACCACCAGTGTAAATAACCAATACTCTTCTTTCTTGAACCATGTTTATTTCTGGTAAATTACAACGACAACGTGTTTCGCGCGACTCAGCTGTCAAACTAATGATAAAATGATGCCCCAGTTATTTAAATATCAGATGTATTAACTCACTGAAGGCTTATCAGTTGCTTATCGGATGGAGCGTATCTTCGCTTAATTGAGTAATACTCTAATAAACGCGATATAATTTGCATGAAATTTTATATGTATTACGTAATGGCATATGGTAGGTAATGAGATTTGAAGAGACAACAAAACGGTCTTATTTATTTATTTATTTGGGAAACAAAACAGTTACATCTCTATATAATAAAAAAAGTTAAAAAATAAAACATAAAATAAACATCGGATGTATCCACAAAAAAATATGATACAGAGCAAAGCAAATCAAAACATGACAACGCAAAATTTATAAACCCGGAGAACGACAAACATACTAGTAGCTATAATAAAGAAGAAAGATACCAGGATTAGGACATTAATAGTTGTTTTAAATTATTCTTAAATGAAGCAGTAGTTTTATTGATAAACGTATGTAATTACGTTATACGAATATTTATGTTTATAAATTAGAATTACGTGCAAAATATGGAAAAAATCGGTGGCAGAAACTGGAAACGTTGCATTATTGATGACGTTTTTTAATCACTTTCTCGTTATGAACACTTAGAGGCGTGTCTGGGCCAAATTTTGTTTCATTATTGTTTAATATTTGATTTAGGGTAATACGAGATAGTGTTATCATTATGTATTAAATATAAATATTATTGATGATAAAATATTCTCATCACCGTGACTACGGTGTTTCTTGAGCTGTAGTTTACTGTGAATCCGTCAATTGTGTAATTTAATTTATTTATTTCGAATATTTTACGGCTTAAAGTTCAAAGTTTAAACATAGTTTTATTACAAAAAAAGGCACGGTATAATGTATAACAAATTAACTTTATATAACTTCGTTCACATTTTTGTTTCTTCTTCTTCTTTTATTACACTTCTTTGTGTTATTCTTTGCTCTCTTTTCCTGGAGATTTTAAGCGATAATGTCTTTTGTAATTTTTTTCCTAATTTAAGAAGCAATAATAATGCTTGGCTTGTGCATACCTCAACCCGGGGGCGTTCGAATCACGGCTGAGTACTATGTGTGCAATGAACACTCGCTCCAATAAAAGAAAAGATTGCGAGGAATTCCTTAGAGCTAAAAATCTACTGCTGGTGTCAGGTACAGAAGGCACAGGCACAATACTTGTCTTTTAAGAAAGTTATCTGGAAACAGATTACTTTTTTAAATCTAAATAAGTAAAATATTAAATTCTAAAAGTATATTCACAACTTATAGCTTATTTTCAAATATATTATACAACGTCATTCGTATTAGTTTTCCACCTCAGTCCATGGAGGTGACGGTGCCTCGTCATCTCTTTCAAACATACGTCCAAAAATACCGAAGGAATATAACTCTACGTTTCCATTTAAAAGCTTATAATTATAAAAGGTTCTGTCTCCAATTTGGTTGATATTAAGGGAATAGTCTTTGGCTTCGAGAGGCAAAATTGATGGTTGTAGCGATATTGGATAATAAACTATGTTGTCAGCTTGCAAATCTTCATTTCGTTTTGGAGTTGTTAGGTTCGCAGCTATGGATAGCTCTTCAAACGTCGCAAGAGACTCCGCTGTATATTTGGGAAATCTGTAAAAATTTCTTGTTATTAAAGAGATGCGTCAACATTTATTGCCATCAAATAGGAATACATGTATCTCAGGCTCCTGATATAGAGATTGTTGTGCTTAAAGGTCAGTACTCACATATGGTATTACTCGATCGAGCTAAACTGTCGAGTAAAACCCATGGCATGGGCTTTCGTCCACACATTGAGCATTGATCTATCGAGTGAGGCGCGCCGTTCAGTATTCACCGAACCGTTCGAGCCAAAGGATGTCTGTGCAACAAAGGAGACGGTGGTTGTATTTAGCAAGTCTCACAGTGCTTTATAAGAAAATCAAAGAAAATGAAAATAAATTTATCACAACATTCATTTCTCTTATTTTTCTGGGAGTAATCTTTGGACTTGACATTCCATAAACACTCACACTGTCTATATGCGTTAATAAAGTCTTCTATAGCGCTTTTGGAATAAACTCGCAAATCCATTTCTCTTAAAAACACGTGTTTCAATAAAAAATAAAAAAATAAAATATGTTTATTATGGAACATAAGATACATGTATCACTTATTCCACGTCATTAAATTTGAAGGCATCCCTACTCATCGGCAAAGAAGACAGAGGGTGTAGGCCGAGAGAAAAAGCCGGCGTTAAAAACTCTCGGTACTCTTTTAAAACAGCAAATCATCAAACAACACTTATTTAAAACAGATATCGCAAATTAATTAGAAGTAGCCTGTCTAGCACTAGTCCCAGGCCCTTTTATCAACTAGATAATCGTTGACTTTATAGTAAGCCTTTTTACACAGCTTTTCTTTAATACATTTCTTAAATTTATTGAAAGGCGGTGATAAAAGAGCCTCTGGGATTTTATTAAAGAAGAGTATCCCTTTCCCCAAAAAAGAATTACTAACTTTAGATAGTCTAGTACGGGGAAATTGCAGCCTGCGTTTGTTCCGTGTATTAATCACGATAAACAATACCAGACTGACGCGCCACTCGCAGTCACGTACACACCTTCGAGTCAAGATTGACGGCTCGCTTCGAGTAGGTTCGAAGGAAAGTACTTTCATGTAATTCCATCGAGCCGGCTCGGTGCGAGCCTTCGAGCTGTAAGTTTTGCGGTCTACACGTTGATTTTTACTCGACTTCGAGTAAAACTATCGAGTAATACCGTATGTTTGTACTGACCTTTAGAAGCCTTAGGTTTTATGTACAGTATTAAACTTTCTTAGGTCCAATATCCTTTTTAGTAAATTAGGTTAGTTTTAAATTACTTATTAGTCTTAAGTAATAGATCGTAATGTTAAATTGTGTCTTTGTACTGAGACAATTCTTATAAAAAAAACTAAACGATAAAGAAAGTTATAAGGGTTAGACTCACACAAATCTAGTATTACCTTTTGCTACATGAATCGATCCCATCTCCTGTACAAGCGAATACAGCACACACCTTTATACCTCCAGATGCCTTGCCGTCATATGTGCGAACTCCACTTAACACTCCAGCTCGATATTTGTATAACTAATAAACCAAATATCAGGAAGTAATAGAACCTCTAAATAAGTATGCTATGTGTTTCATTATTTTTATTACACATTTTATAATATTTACTGTTTACTAAAAGCTATATCTTGTTAATATTTAATTAAAATCGATAGCCTTCTTTAAGTTGACTATCTGTTTACATATTAAAGATTTCTAAGTCTCCTGTCTTACTCATCATGAGACTTAAAATAAGAGATTTTAATTTTTATTAAAAATGGTCATGTCATTCTGACAAAAAAGAAGGAATTGTCTCATGTAATCGTTTTAAGTTATAGTTTATATTGTAAATGGTACAAAACGGTACCGATATCAATCATACAAAAATCATCTGAACCATTCTCGAATTCACTTGAACACTCGTCACAATGGGTGCAGCCGTTAGAAGAAGACAAAAATTACATTAAATGTTTTGAAGTTAGAAACGAAGTATAATATGTGTTTTTTTTTTTGTTTTGTTATATAAGATTCTCGTTTAAACCTCTGAACTTCCATAAATATATCGACATTAGCCAAATAGGTCCTGCCATTTTTGAGTTAGCGAGACAAACAAACAGCAATTCATTTTTATATACACATATATATATATATAAATGAATTGCTGTATAAAAATGAATATATTCCATGACTAATCATATAATCGGACAAAAAGCGATTACTAGCTATGATGTTTCTAAAGCCAGCATAAAACTAATTTTGTTACATCACTAAGTTAGTGTTTATAAATTGTTTTTATAACTTGGTTTATTTATTTAGTGATAACATTATTGTTCTGTTACTGGGAGCTCTACTATGACTACAACTAAGTATACTTCAAGAACATGTACTTCTGTATCAAATATTTATTTTAATAACAATGCCATACGGTTACAGTGATTACGCTGAGATTTCCTATATTTTTGTTTCTCATACACTGGGTCAAATTGGCATTAGGCTCACCTGATGTTAAGTGATAAAGAAAATCATTGGCGGTACAATGTTTTTAGGTGTGGGCCTCAGATTTATGTATCTGTTTTATGATCATTTGTCAATCTAATACGCAACTTTTTAGGCTAAGGCAAGCCGGCTTTCTCACGATGTTTTCCTTCACCGTTCGAGTATTCAAATTTCAAGTCCATGCACAGCCTGAACCTACTAGGCGAACACTGTTTTTATGTTGATGATGATGTTAAGTGATATCGCCGTGGGCAGTCTCGATGCTCGGGCTCGCGAGTACGTTCCCGTCCTTCTAAGAATTGGTACGCTCTTTTCTTGAAGGACCCTAAGTGGAATTTGTGTATGGGTGACACACGTTTGAACATTGATATTTGGTAGAGCTATTAAGGTAAACATTTACTCCTTAAAGTAGGCGAAGTTATCTTAATCTTACCGTCTTGTCCGTTTGCGTCAGATTAATATTAAAAGAGCAAATTATGTCCCCACTTGTAAGTGTGAAGCTCTGATAACCGGGTACAAGTAACCGGCTTGTGTGGGCTGCCATCGATGGATCCCCATTAATTAAGAGATTGTCATGATCTGAGGGGTCGTTATATATTGGTCCTGGATAGGATTGTACCTAGAAAAAAGTACTTTATACAACCATTATATGTTTCCCGCTTCGACTATGAAAATGATTCCGAGGGCCTGATTTTGAGTTATATACACACTGACCTTGAACTTCTGAGTAACAGATGTTCTAGAGTGGGTTGATTTTCACAGTAAAGGACGTTAATGAAGCCAATTCCAGAAATTAAAATTATAAGATAAGATCAGAAATATCAAAGAAATTATTATACAACTTAGAATCGTAAGGAGTTCATAAACTATTTAAATAAGGTTTTCAGAAATACCTGTCCAGGAACTTTAGGAACCCTTGTGACAAGAAGTCGTGTAGTAGGTAGACCAGGCATGATGCTTATTAAAGCACCCGCCTTGCCAGAATAAATGCCAGACCCTACAAGACAGGATCATGTATGAAAACGTTAATATTTTTAAAGGTATTCGTATTAAAACTGCATTTCTGAAATATTCTTTTGAAACAATTTCTGTATACTTTGTCCCTGCTGCGTACGAGTAATCGGTGAGCTACAAAGTTCGTAGGCTGACACATAGATGGCGCTAGTTTTAAATTAATATGATTTTTATTTAGCCATACGTATAAATTTGACCACTGTCGTACTATATTTTTTGTTTTAGTTTGTGAGACATACTATTTTGAGTGAAGGAACTCAGACCTTAAGAGCTCGCTGGACAGAAATTTTGCGCTGATGACGAGGTAATTGCCGAAACTGATGCCTATTTTGAGGCCAAAGACAAATCGTACTATAAAAATGGTATCGAAAAATTTTAAAACCGCTATAATCGTTGTATAGCTTTCGAAGATATATCGAATAATTTAATCAAATTCAATAAAAAAAATCTATGTTAGCCTACGAACTTTTCAGCCTCTTAGGTCGGTAAAAGATACTTTAATAAGTCATCATCAGTAGAATAACTATTTTACGTTTACTAACAACTTTTCAGGCATCATTCAAAATCTCAAAAAAACTAACATTTAGGTTGGCTTCTTAATATATAATAATATAAATTATTATAATCCTTCTCAATATATTAATAATATCAATTAGGCTTTTATAGGCTTTCAAAATACCAATGACATTACCTGCTCCACCCTCAGTAACATTATTGGCTCCAGCTGCTATGAAGTTCACATTCATTGAATGCGCATACGCCTCTTGAATCTGAACAGCTGAAATATTTATATTATATATACCAATGGCGCTACAATCTTTAGGTCTGTGCCTCAGATTACTGTTCTGCAGTCATAGGCAAGTAGGTGATCAACCTTCTGTCGACACACACCGTCGACTTTTTCGGTGTAAGGCATGCCGCTTTCCTCACGATGTTTTCCTTTATCGCACGATCTATTGTTAAATGTGCTAATAGAAAGTCCATTGGTGTGCATTCAAAATTTTCATTTCATTCATTTATTCTTATAGGTAACACAATGTCCACTTATGAAAAATGCTTCTAATTTAACATTTACTGCCAGTTCTTAAATCAAGGGCGTAGAACGGAAGAAAAGAACGGGCAATAAACTCTCAACCACTCTTTTTAATCGCCAAGTTTTTTGTTTTACACAACGTTTGTAAGGGGCTGCAACCATTAAACCATGTTCCACATGACATCTTAAGTAATATTAATTACTTTTATTATAAAATAATAAAATACATTAAAAACAAGACTCCTCTATCAGCAGGAGGCATGGTGAAATAGGAGCACGCACTTACGTACATTGGGGAACGAACCTATGATAAGATGTGAGTCGCACGTTGAGACCACTAGGCCAACACTATGCGTATTAATCTTCCTTAATTAAGTTAATAACCAAAGACTACCTAAGAAATATATGAATAAACAAAATGGCTCAATATAATATGATTTGGAGATTTTAAATTTTTTTACACTATTACGGTGAAACTTTAAAATAAAGTTTTTGTTTAACTGTGTTTTTCTTTACTGACTTCGACGCAGTTGACGACAGAGACAATGTTTACAAAAAGGAAGTGGTTAGTGCTTTGTCTGTGATTCGATGTACTATGGATATAAGTAGGTATAGATAGTTTTTATATATAGCTGTTACTAATGTGTTATTTCTTTTTCGTTCTTTATATTATCTTCTATTTTTTTTGTTTGTTCTTGTGAATAAATGAACTATTATTTCATTTTTACACCGTTTCGGTACGAAAAACAAGTATGCCTTTTTGCCTTATACCTGTTAAATAGGGTAACTCTGAGACCCACATTCCGGTGTATATGATATCAGTTACATTAAGCTTCTGTGGAGTCTGTACAGCTGGGACCTGGAACATCAGGTCGAAGCAGATGAAATGTCCAAACCGGACACCAAAGTCTGTTGAGAACTCGCCCAAGTCTGGCCTTAAAGCTGGTGTGCGAGAATACTCTCCGAACAGATTCATTTTCCGATATCTGAAATTTTACCAAGCCTAATATTATATTATACAGTCAAAACCGTTTATAACGACATTGAAGGGACCGTATAGTTGCCGACGTTATATCCGATAGTCGTTATAAGCAATGTCATATACACAAGTACAGTACATATGTATGTACATAGTTATCTATCTAGAATAAGAAGGTATGGGTTACAATATGGTATGTTAATATTATAGTATGTAAACGAGTCAAAAAAGAAACAAAAATATTTATTACGAAATAATTAGGTACAAAAGTCATTTTGGTCGTTTTTTAAATATTCATTCAATGCTTATAAATAAGATTTAAAATCGTTTGTATTGTTTTGTTTTGCTGAGACAAGAAGCGGTTGGTCGTTATAGCCGATGAATATCGATAAAATTTCGTCGTTGTAAGCGATATGTCGCTGTATCCGATGTTGTTATAAGCGGTTTGTTTGCTGAATAGTTTACTAGGCATTCGGACGGGACCATACAATCTGGTTGTAATAACCGATAGGTCGTTGTAAACGATGTCGTTATAAACGGTTTTGACTGTAATATGTAATAATTAGTTTTTTTATTCTGATTTTTGAAACTCTTTAAACTGACTGTGTTTTCCAAAGTTTCATGAAAAACAACAAGTACAATGGAAGAGTGTAATGACAATAATAATGTGACTTTGTCTCAAGCAATTTAATTTTAAAAGAAATATTTTTTATGTCATATGTTTCATCTTTTTTATTTCTGTCAAATAATCGTTCTAATATCGTACGAATGTCCTAAGCATTAGCCAGCCAGTTTATTAAATTTTGTAAAAAACGCAACAGATGAACATTTTCCAGGCTAGTTAAACGGCTAGGCTGTTAATTGAACGGCTAATAAAGCTATTTGGCTGCGACATATCTTACATCACGTCTATAATCTATTAGATTAAAAATTAAACGAAATAGATTTTTTAGAATTATGCTTTACATTATAAATCGATAATAGTGATTCTCACTCACTCATTGAAGTGCTCATTGATATCTTTCAATTTTATCATAACTATAACCTTCTCTTGATATAATTTTATCTCATATAACTAAATAATAATCTATCTGAGGATTTTATTTTACGTAAAACGAAACAAACCGAAATCAAACTTGCAAATATTTTTATTTAAGTATCTTGTATAATATTAAAACGGTACTTTATACTATACGAGTATTTGGTATAATAATACGTCATTGCTTTTTTTGATAGCTGGTCATCGTGGCCCAGAGCGGGTTTTGACCCACAAAGTTTTGATACAATTGCGATTCCAACTACAGGTTCTTCCCTTGATATATAAATCGCTTTAAATGCTATTGTATCTAGAGCTTAAAAGGATAACTTACCTACTAACAACTGCTCCTTGTCTGTCGAAAACGATGTTAGTGTTAAAAATATATGTCTTCTTTTCCGGACATTCTTCACCTGGGGCGTCCTCACAGTTCATTATTTCTTGAATGTTAACAACTACGTAGATCGAGTTCTCACGCGCACCAGCTGATATTGCTACTAAGATCTGATAGTACACATGTAAAAGATGTATGGTATTTTGTGGTTTATATGCAGAATGTATATTTCTTGCTTTCTTTTTGCTGAATCACTCACGAATACCACTATGTTTGACTTTTTTTTATTTTTTTTATGGCTCTGGCACGGTTTGTGCATTAGCCAGCGTCAAGTATAAGATTTTTATAATTTGTTGCCTTAGAAATTGGACCGTGTCCTCCATGTACGGCTTAAGCACTCGCCCGGTACCGCACAACCCTCCCAAAGGCCGAGAACAAATTTAAATTATATTAAAACTTGCCCTCGAACCGGGAATCGAACCCGGTACCCCTCACCTAGCTGCCACTTAATAAGACCGCTAGGCTATGAGGCCCCTAAAATGATTTTTATGTTTGACTTGACTATAAATTTTAGGTTTTTGAATAAGTATTTAATTAGTTAATTCTTTTTAATTTAGTTAAATTTGGTACAGTTTTAGCCAGGGACTGGACGCAGGAACTGCAAGGCTAGACATTTAGAGCCCTCTGCTAGTCAGAGGAGTAAATAGGTCTACTAAAACACCTCAGTCCTCCACAGCTACCCAATATTTTTTTTAGTTAGGTTAAGTTAAGGAAATTCAACTTTATTCAATGATTTCCCTAACTTCTCTATGCGTTCGGTTTATTTTCGTTTTTTCTTTAAACTCTTGACCTTACCTCATGATATAAATCCGCTCGTATTGCTGGTATTGGATCATCCTTCAACAAGGAATTAATTGGAATAGGCACATAATGATCTTGACCAGGATTTAAGCATAACTCTGGGAATACCACCACGTCAGCATCCTGTGAACGCGTTCTTTATTTAGTATAAAATAATTGTGGTTTTACTGTTTATTTATTAAAACACCCTTACAAATAAAACAAGTAATATAAATTATTATGGATTCAACGGGTGGCTTTATCGCTAACAAGCGATCTCTCCCGGGCAACCCTAGTAAGGATTTTAAAAAAAACACAAAGCGTAAAGTGCAAGAAGTGCATAACCAAATTTAAAAAAAATATACAACTAAAAGCTAATCTTAAGATTCATGAATCACAATTCAACATGCAATACAAAAGAATAAGAAAATAGATGAATTGCAAAAGGCACTATTGAGGAGGATAGATATGAGATTAAGAGGTGATTTCCCAATACATATTATTATTCCCGATATTCCCAATTACCACTTTATATCTAATCTCTTTGCTTTATATCTCTACGGAAAGCTACTGCTGAATTAAAAAATATCAGCAATTAATACAATATCGACAATTAAAAGTACATATTTAAATTGAAGCGTTAACTAAATAAGGTTGCGTACGCTGTACTATCAAATACTCAGATTTACATTCATATAAACTTATAGTTATGCGTAATGTTACATCCCTAGATTGCTAGCCTTAATGCTAACTCATCATCTGCATCATCAATGCATACTTTTAGAGAATTATGATCATGGTGACTTCAGTCAGTCTGCGTACATTATTCCTAGAGAGCGGTTGTCCAATTATTGTATTTTACTCATTCTCATACTCATTTAATTAAATCCTTTTTTTAAAAAGGCATTTTAATTTCACGGCCTAACATTTGGTGGCAGCGGTGGGATCCGAAAATCCCCAGTGTCCGACATCGCTCTGCAGACTCGCTCTTTGTTCGTGGCCGTATCAGTTTTGTATATGTGCAAAAGTGTATAAAGTGCTTGAAAGTGTTTAAAGGCGCATAAAAGTGAAGTGTTTCACCCCGCTAGAAAATTGCATTTAGTCAAGTCTAGCAAAGAATCTGTTTTGTTCCGGTATTTTGTAAGACAAAGTGTCAATTTAAATAACAGGCTGAGAATAAATCGTCGCTAATTTCGCGGAATGTTACTGCACGTCGTCTCGCTTCTATCAATCGCCCACGCAGAAATTCAGTAAGTCGCTGGTCATTGTTTATCTTTAACATTCTTAGGGCTCAATCATTGTTATATGTATTCATATTAAATTAATAAATATTTCTGTTTCTCGTTTGTAACTTGCTTAATTATTTAACTAACTTACTTATTATGCCAAAGGTGTCAAAACTTGAAGAAGGCAAAATTACTATTGAAATTCCTGAAATCGAGCAAGGTACAAACGAATTTAAGGATAAATCACCTGTTAGCTCTCCTCGCATTACGAGAAAGACTGCCGCAGCGCTCGCCATGGCTGAATTAGAATTAAACATAATTTTTAAATTCATTAAATCATACGATGGGAATCGTGAGACCCTGAACTCATTTTTGGTAAATTGCGATAACGCATTCGAACTTGCATCAGAGGGTCAAAAACCCGTATTATTCAAGTATGTTTTAGCTCAACTAAATGGTAAAGCGGAAATTGCCTGCTCTATTAAAGAATTTACAACTTGGGAACAACTCAAAGAGTTTTTGAAGACTCAATTCAGTGAGAGGAAACATTATTCACATCTTTTAATGGAATTGCAAGAGAGCAGGCAAGGTCCACAAGAAAATGTCAGCCAATATGCTTTAAGGATGGAAACTTATTTATCGCAATTGCTAACAGAAATATCTTTGTCTACATCAAAAAATAAAGAACTTCCAGGCAGAACAGCTGCTATGGAAGACCTATCTCTTCATCACTTCCTAATGGGGCTACAGCCTCGTATCTCAAATATTGTTAGATGCAAATCACCAAAATCTTTAAATGAAGCCATTAATTTCGCGATCTCAGAAGAACGTATACAATTGACGCTATATCGGCGTCCACAACCTGATCAAAAGCCTAACAATAACGGCAATAATAATAACAATAGGTTCAAATCAGGCCCTTCAAGGGCTAATATCAATTTCTCTCCGTCCCAAAGGCCTGTACCTAATGCTAACTTTCAAAGAGGTCCAACCAGTAATAACACTGCTTTTTGCCGTTATTGCAAACTAACTGGTCACGATATAGCGCAATGCAGGAAACGGGAATATAACAACAAATTACGCAATCAACAGAATGGCCAACCTAATAGACAACCTCCACGTGTAAATTTCTTAGAGCAGCCCGATGAAGAAACGGGTTATGACGAGGAAGATCAAGCCCCTTTAAACGAATAAATGTCTCGTCCCGGTGTCTCACGAGACAAAATATTAAAAAAGACACCAAACAATACCTATCTATTTCAAACTCCAGGGACCACTCGGGTAACCAGCCCCCAAAAAGCGCCCATTCTATCAAATTCAGGGACCACTCGGGTAACCAGCCCCCAACAAGCGCCCATTCGCTCAAATCTAGGGACCACACGGGTAATCAGCCCCCAACAAGCGCCCATTCCATAAAATCTAGGGACCACTCGGGTAACCAGCCCCAAACAAGCGCCCAACCTCACATTCAAAAGAATAAAATTCATAGAGACCACTCGGGTAACCAGCCCCCAACAAAGGCTCAATCAATTTCCAAAGAAATATATGAAGTGCATATAGACACAACTAAACGATTCCTACCACATATTTTAGTCCAATCCGAAATCTCGGATATCCCATTGTCTTTATTAGTAGACTCTGGTTCTGCTATATGCCTACTCAAAGAATCAAGCATCCGAAGCAATCAAACATTAATTAAAGAAACCATTAAACTCAAAGGTATTGATCCTAATAATGAGTCAACTATGACTGTAGGTCATTTTCAATTTAAGTTAGAGGTAACAAACACCAAACGTTTGCCATTTAAATTTCATGTTGTCCAAAATATTAATTTGCCTTATGACGGTATTATTGGTACGGATTTCTTAACGGAATTTGGTTGTAAAATTGACTATACCCGTGATGTGCTAAAGATAGGTAAATACGAGATTAAATTAATATTTTCCGAACCATTCTTTGTCATTCCCCTCGTTCAGAAGCTGTCATACAGTGTACAGTTCATAAAACTAATCTTAAGGAAGGGCTAATTACGGATCAACACATCTCAGAAAATCTTCTCATATCTAATTGTATTGTTAAGGTAAGAAATAACAACTGTGTAAATATAACCGTAGCAAATACCTCAGAGTCTCCTGCTAATGTAAAAACTAACTTAAATCTTACTATCATACCCTTAGATTCCATCTCATATCCTATAAACTTAATAAGTCATGATATAACTCACCGTACTGATGAAGTCATTAGCTCATTAAGATTGACTCATTTAAATATAGAAGAGGAAAAGGCTCTTATTGAATTGTGCTCAAGTTTCTCCGACATATTCTTTCTTCCTAATGATAAACTTACCTATACTTCTGCTATTGAACATCGTATTAAAACTAATAGTGACATTCCTATTCACACTAAATCATATAGATTTCCGGAATGTCACAAGAAAGAAGTGGAAAGACAGATCAATAAAATGTTAGACCAAAACATTATAGAACCCTCTTCTTCTCCTTGGAGCTCACCAATTTGGGTAGTACCGAAAAAATTAGACTCTAGTGGTGAAAAGAGTTGGCGTATTGTGATAGACTATAGGAAATTGAACGATGTCACAATCGGAGAAACTTATCCAATTCCACAGATATCGGAAATACTCGACCAGTTGGGTAAGAGTAATTATTTTACCACTCTGGATCTAGCTTCTGGTTTCCATCAAATCCGTATTTCTCCTGAGGATGCATCCAAAACCGCATTTTCAGTCCCTCAAGGACACTTCCAATTTAATCGGATGCCGTTTGGGTTAAAAAATGCCCCCTCAACCTTCCAAAAACTCATGAACACCTGTCTTACTGGCCTCCAAGGTTCCAGGTGTTTCGTTTATCTCGATGATATCGTCGTCTACTCCTATGATTTAACCTCTCATATCCATAACCTTAAATCGGTATTCCAAAGAATTCGTAATTACAATTTAAAAATACAACCTGCAAAATGTGAATTTCTTAGAAAAGAAGTGACATACCTAGGGCATATCATCAGTCAAAATGGTGTTCAACCTAACCCAACCAAAGTCAAAGCTGTCGCAGATTTCCCTACGCCTAAATCCTCTAAAGATATCAAATCATTCTTAGGACTCGTCTCATACTATAGACGGTTCATTCAAAACTTCTCCAAATTAGCCAAACCTTTGACCAATTTACTTAAGAAGGATGTACCCTTTTCATGGGAACATGAACAACAACTGTCATTTGAAACATTAAAAAACAACCTTATTTCCGCCCCTATACTAGCGTATCCTGATTTCTCACAACCATTTCTCCTTACCTGTGATGCATCCAACTATGCGATATCAGCAATATTATCACAAGGCGTCATAGGACAAGATCGTCCTATAGCCTTCGCATCCCGTACATTAAATCGAGCCGAAGGTAACTATAGTGTAACAGAGAAAGAATGCCTTGCTGTAATTTTTGGCACAAAAGTATTTAGACCCTATATTTATGGGTATCGATTTACAGTTCTAACAGATCACAAACCATTAGAATGGTTATTCAAATGCAAGGATCCAGGGTCACGCCTTATAAGATGGCGTTTAAAGTTAGAGGAATTCGAATACGATATTAAGTATAAAAAAGGGAAAATCAATACTAACGCTGATGCTCTATCTAGATTCCCCGTAAATCCTGTCCAACCTGGAAATATAATTGAATCAAATCCAAATATAGAAAATGCTTCTACACGAGATTTAGATAGAGATCTGATGGACTTATTGACATCACCACCTTCTTTTAACCCCCGACGAACTTATTTCAACTTCGGATCCGCTTCAACCCGACGAAAGTATTGTATTGCTACCCGAACTCAATTCTCCCCAACAAGAACCTGATTTGGTTCCCTCGACAGACTTAATCTCGCCCACCAGCGCTGAGAATCCTCTGAGAGAAGAAACTAGTATTATTGTACCTGAATTAACGCAAGCAATCACTGACCATGCTGGCGAGGGCTCAATTCCATCTTTAAGGTTTTCACCTGGGCTCAATTTACCTGATGACAATTACTCTACTTTCCTTAAGACTATGAATAAGAACGATAAGATTTTCACTACAAAAATATTAGAGTACAATGACGATATAACGAAGTCGAAATGTAAAACTATCATATTGCCAACTTCAATTGACCTTGATGAATCCAACCCATATGTTCAGGGTATTCTTAATACCCTACCTGAAGATTCAGAAGTAATCAACAAAGAAAGAGTCTTAAACTCATACATATCCTTTAAAAACAATAACAAAACTTACTTTTTATTATTCTTCAAAGTTCATCATTTCGATAAGTCATCCTATGTAGACATCTATAAAAGTCTTAAAACTCTAAGGGACGAATTAGTGGCAAACCCTGATAATAATAATGTCACCGATATAGCAATAACAGATTTCAAAAATCCTTTTGACACGCACCAGTTTGTTAAAATCTATAACATGCTTCTTTTTCTTTTTGACAACTCCGAGATAACTATACATATTTACAAAGATAGAATTATATATCCATCTCTCTCGGAAATATCTAAGATACTAAAAGATAATCATGATATTCCAATTGCTGGACATCTCGGTTCCAATAGAATGTTGAAACGCATCCAAGAAGTGTTCTACTGGAAAAATATGCGAAGTGATATTGAACATTTCGTAAAGAAATGCCCTCAGTGCCAAGCTAATAAAGCACTTAGACAAGTAAACCGATCTCCTATGCAGATCACCAGTACTTCAACTGAGCCGTGTCAAAGAATTTCTTTAGACATTGTAGGGCCGTTACCCGAATCAGGTCTGGCGAAGCTTAAATATATTTTGACTATTCAGGACGACCTCACCAAATTCTCCTCTGCTTATCCAATCCGTAGTACAACAGCTGAAGAGACTAGCGAATGCTTGCTTCATTTTATCTCAATATTTGGAATTCCGAAAACAATTCTTACTGATCAAGGCACTAACTTCACCTCAGAATTATTCAAGGAAACTTGCAAATTCTTAAAAATTTAAAATCTATGGTCTTCTCCTTATCATCCACAAACCCAGGGTGCTTTGGAAAGGAGTCATTCAACTCTTAAGGAGTATCTAAGATCCTTCGTAGACGAGGGTCAGTCAAATTGGCCGCGATTTGTTTATACGGCTATGCTCACTTATAATACATCAGTCCACTCAACGACCCACTATACTCCTTACGAGCTAATGTTTGGCAATAAACCGGTAATTCCGAATTCCATCTACGAAGAAACACCAGGTGCAACATATCCAGAGTATGTGCGCATGCTCCAATGTAGATTAAAACATTCACGAGATAAAGCATTAAGTTTTATTAGGAAATCAAAGGAGTCTTCAAAAGCTTACTATGACAATCACACCCGTCAAGTAAAATATAAACCAGGAGATTATGTTTATCTCAAAAACCATTTAAGAATGAGAAAAGCACTCTCAGCCCTCTGGAAGGGACCATATAAAGTAGTTAGGATAAATGGAAACAATACACTCACTCTATTGATAAATAGACGTCATGTAACTCATCATTTTGATCAAGTTAAGTTAGCTGAAGTTGCCACAATCGATGTATAAAGAATAATACAGTTAATAGAATAGTATAGATAAATTAATTATTTACCTTAAATATTATTTCACAGCTCAACTCTTGGAGAGCCCCAACGCGACCTTGTCAAGCCAATAACTTCAAGCTCGGGCCTCTATTATGATTACTTAGGGAAACTTAAAATTAATAATGTTCAACTACAAATAATAATGCCAGTAGACATTTCACATTTTAAACCGCACTTGCAAAATATCGAAGATACCCTAGTGGTTATTGAAAATCTATGTAATAAGACTCGTATCATAGAAGTTATGTCAGAATGTCATAATTTGTTACTTCCTTAACAGCACGATTCGAAGATATGAATAGGCAATTCTCTTCTATCTCACATCTTATTGACAATAGAGTTAAACGTGGTGCCTGGGTAGGAGGTGTAGGAACCATCCTAAAGCATATATTTGGCACCTTGGACGAAAATGACGGTTTAAAATATGATGAAGCTATAACATCCTTGCAGCATGACGAAAAGCGGTTAGTTTCTCTCGTGAAGGAGAATATTTTAGTTAGTAGATCGGTATTAAAAAATTATAATGATACTATATATAAATTAAAGGATAATGAAAATAAACTTAATTCCGCTATCGACAAGCTCTCTCAAAAAACTAAAATCATTAATGAGAAAATAAACGGATTCAAAATACTCTTGAATGTAAACGAGATATTTAATATTTTGGAGACATCAATAATTACCCTATCATTCCAATTGGAGGATGTTATTAATGCTATCTTATTTAGCAGCCAAGACATACTCCATCCTGCCGTGATAACATCTAAACAGTTATATGAAGAGCTTGCTGATAACTATAGACATCTATCTAGCAACTTAGAGTTGCCAATAGCTTTAGATATTAATTCTATACATTTAATTCTAAGTATATCTAAGTTAATTTGCTATTACATTAATAATAAGATTATATTTGTTCTTCAAGTACCACTTGTTAATATTAAGGAATATATAATGTTTCATGTTATTGCTCTGCCAACGCCACATAATCCTAAAGAGCCAAATTCATTTTCTTTAACAATTCCTAGTAATAAGTATATAGCAATGACCACCGACAAATCCCAATACTGTGTTTTCAATAACTTGGAAGTTTGTAAAATGGTGAATCCTGGAAACTTTATTTGTGACATAGAAAATGTATATTCCACGGAAGCAAAACCTATTTGTGAAAGTGAACTATTAGTCAAGGTAATAAGTGAAAAACCGTTGCAATGTGATTCAACGATTATAACAGGAAAGCTTGACATTTGGCAGCCCCCTAATGAATAACAAATGGTTGTTTATACAGTCAGATCCACAAAGAATATCCATAGACTGTTCAGGATCCAAATTATTTGAAACAAACATTCTAGGTACTGGAACACTCCATATACCAAAAACGTGTGTAGGATATTTCAAAAGTACTACTCTTGTACCAAAGTATAACATTTTAAATATTTCGTCACCCATTAATCATTTCCCTGATTTTAATCTTATAAATGACACATGTTGTGATTTAGTTAAGCTTAGTGATAAGGCTGATAATGTATCTCCTGTTCACTTAAACAGTATAAATTTAGACGATCTGAATTCAGAGAATAAGTTAAAATTAAATTCAATCCTTACCGACCTAGGTAAGTTAGAAACTTCTAAGCAACCTCATATTGTGGAATATGGGACACATTATTCAGCAACAATAATTGTAACTTTTGTTTTAACAATTTCATTTTTATTATATTTAGCTATTAAGAAATTTTGTAAATCCTTTTACAACCGCCCTCTTCAATATACAGAAAACCTTAATAAAACCATGACTGAACCTCCTACTGAGGACATAGAAAGTACAGAAAAGAAAAATCCCGAAATAGAAATTGTTCTCCAAAGTGCTCCAATTAGAACTAGAATATAAAAGAGCCTTTAATTTTCTCACCAAAGGCTCTATCTTAAAGGGGGGAGATGTTACATCCCTAGATTGCTAGCCTTAATGCTAACTCATCATCTGCATCATCAATGCATACTTTTAGAGAATTATGATCATGGTGACTTCAGTCAGTCTGCGTACATTATTCCTAGAGAGCGGTTGTCCAATTATTGTATTTTACTCATTCTCATACTCATTTAATTAAATCCTTTTTTTAAAAGGCATTTTAATTTCACGGCCTAACAGTAAGTAAATATTATAAGTAGTTTATTATAAACTATATGAGATATAGCGTGGACAAGTTTTTGATAAAATTAATCTATAAGTGGGATTGTCAATAAGAATTGTTATCTTAATCTTCGAAATAAAATTGTAATTTATCTTTTTATATACTCGTATGATATACACGCGTAGACAAAAATATAGACTTACATTAGAAAAAACAATTTTTTAACGGATTGCAGTTATGTATTCTAAATTTTTTTTACAATTATTTTACATAATTTTAAAATTTTAACCGACGTTTCGCGTGCGCGGTCACGGTGACTGAAGACAAAATGTGTTGAATGTCAAAAAGTATCACAGCTGTAGAAAAAGTTGTATTATCTGTATTTATTTCTTTGGAGTTGGTATCGACTAAAAGATGGAGGGTTTTGGCAGAAATGGCTCACGGTGTCCTCTATTTTCGCGGATTGTTTATCTTGAGATTTTAATTTGGATATTATTGGATCCCAGGTGTTTGGCAATTTTAGGCCGTCTTCTCTATTGAAATTGGGGTGTTTTTTAATTTCAATTTCCGGGGAAATAAATACAGATAATACAACTTTTTCTACAGCTGTAATACTTTTTGACGTTCAACACCTTTTGTCTTCAGTCACTGTGACCACGCACGTTGTATGCACGCGAAACGTCGGTTAAAATTTTTAAATTATGTAAAATAATTGTAAAAAAATTTAGAATGCATAACTTCAATCCGTTAAAAAATTGTTTTTTCTATGTGTAAAAGTTATGTCAATAAAAGACAATACTATAGACTTAGATTAGTTTATAATACTAATTTAAAATAATTATAATCCAGTGGCCAAATTTTTTTTCATATGGGGTGATCAGGCTTTTGTCTGACACATGTCAACGATTTTTGGTTTTCCTTCACCGTACGAGCAAGTCTTAGTTGCGCACATAGACAGAAAGTCCATTGTTGCACAACCGGGAATTGAACTTATGTCCACAGGAATGAAAGTCGCATGTTGAAGCCACTAATCAAGTGCTGTTTATTTTAAATAATAATTATACTTATTGTTTACCTTTTCAGCAGCATCTCTGATCAACGTTAGATAGTTCTGTACATTGCTAGCTACATCCCAACTGAATTCGTATTCAACCACTGCCGCCACATAGCTCAAATCTTCTGGTGTTGATTTCTTAAATTGTATATAAAATCTTATAACCACTCTATAATAGTCGTTTCTGTATAGAACAGGGCAAACGGCAGGAGGCTCACCTGATGTTAAGTGAATCCGCCGCCCATGCTCACACTACCAGGCTCGTGAGTTGCCGGCCTTTGAAGAGTTGGTACACTCTTCTTGCAGGACCCTAAGTCGAATTGGCTTAAACAACGCTCTGTTGTGGAACGACAGACGTCGAGATGATACGGATAGAATTCTGCCTCGACGTCCGATGATGATCCACACCTGCTATTAATCGTCTATTTAATTATTTTATTCTAACCGAAAAAAATTGTAATTAGGTTCTGTATATAACTTATAAACGAATAGTTTGTTATAGTTGTTTGCTAAATATGTTTTAGTATTTTTATTTACAGATTTTAATTGTTTAAGGATATGTTATCTTACAGTTACAGAGTTATCTCCATTTCTTTAAAATCTGTCATTAACTAAAGAAATCATAAAAAGCAACGTAATCTTTTAATGTCCTCATTTGTATATATTTTTGAAAATGTTTATAATTAATAAAAATTTCTTTGTAAACAATCACATATGAACACCTATGTTATACGAAAAGCACTCACCTGTAGCGATAACGGTATCAGAGATGTTAATATCAAGAAAATGAAGTGCATCGTGGAAGAAATTCGTTTAAGTACCTTTCACGCCGCCTATACGAACACGAATATCATTGTTTTGAGGAATGAGGATCTTAAATTAAATAACCTTTGAGCAATTCAATGTCTCTTGAGATAAAAGATTAACGGGTTATCTCAATTTATCAAAATGTTGTTTTACTATACGTCGCTTATATTGGGAAAAACGGATTCAACCGGCAGTAGATAAAGCTATGCCCATCTCTCAACTCAACTCTGACGCTGTGCCCAGCTATGAAGATCTATGTGCGAACACTTGACCCTACTTTGTAGGTTAATGTGAGCCTCGCTCATAATTAAAGACCGATTTTGACAAAGATGTTAGACACAAACGTTCGAAGACAAAAAATGTTCGAAGCAACAGATTGACAATTTAATTACCACCGTCTGCTGGTTTGTCTTTTTATAATAACACATAACGTAGGGTGATTTTTCACCCACTCGAAATCTTTTAGAAAACGCAGACACGTAATGGCCCCACCCAATCTCTGCATTATCATCTGGTAAGATCTAAATCCTGCTGTATACAACATACATAGTTCCTGTAGATACATTAATTTCAATTGACGATAGGATAACCGATCTATTATTTTTTGTTCTCAATTAAAATAAACGTTGTGATTATTGCTTCAGGTTTTGTTGCACTTTGCACCGAGATCCAACTATCAGTTATAGATAGAAAAAAACAAATATTACTTTAATACTATTTATTAAAAATAACATAATAATGTGTATATAATTACCAAAGACTAATTAATTACGTATGCAAATAGATAAATGCGTCCGGCGCGATTTATTTAACATATTAAACAATATATTTTATTTTAAAATAAATTTTAGCATCTGTACAAAAATATCATAAGAGTAGAATAGTTTTGGGTATTCGATTATTATATTACATAATGACAACCGCAAATATAAAAACGACTAACATATATACTGAATGCAAAGTTGTTGCTGATCCTGGGACAGCATCGTCATCCGGCGATTCAGTATCAGCCTCCTCCTCCACCCATGGAGGTGACGGTTCTTGGTCGTCCTTTTCAAAGGCCCGTCCAAAAATACCGAAAGAATACAACTCAATATCCTTTCTCAGAAGCGTATAATTATAAATGTCTACTACTCCGAAGAGTGACGTGGTTTCTAAAGAATAATCATTAACTTCTAATGGTAACAAGGTCGGTTGTAAAGATACTGGGAAGTAAGCAATGTTGTCGACTTCCAATTCTTCGTTACGCTTTGGAGGTGTAAGGAACGCGAAGATACTCAGCTCTTCGAATGTTGCCAGCGAGTTCGAAGTGTATTTATCGAACCTAAAAAACAAAAAAGTTGTACTGCGTTTATTTTAATAGCCTATGGTCAAATTCCGGCGTGAACCAACTTTCTGTCTATGTGCGCATTTAACATTCGCTCGAACGGTGAAGGAAAACTTCGTGAGGAAACCGACTTAGACTGGCCTTAGACACAAAAAGCCGACGGCGTATATCAGGCACAGAAGTCTGATTACCTACTTGCCTATTAGTCTGAAAAACGATTATGAAACAGATACAGAAATTTAGGGCCCAGCCCTGCGATTCTGTAACTCACTTTTCGAACTCACGCAGCGGTTTTCGCATCGGCGGTCGCTCTCAAATCAGTCGTGAAGCAGTCATTTTATGATTTGGCATTCTGAAAAGGTGGGAGCTTGTAGAACCGATGTGTGAGTTCGAAAAGTGAGTTACAGAATCGCAGGGCTGACCTAAAAAGGTTGAGTGCCACTCATTTCTTAATTTTTTTTTAAATTCTTATCTTCATAATTCTTAACATAAAAAAATCTGTTTAGTTGTATTGCACATGAATTCAATTTAAATAAACATTTAACAAGAACTAAATAAAAACTACCTTTTCGCGCATGTGTCGATGGTGTCTCCAGTGCAAGCAAAAATACAGCAGGACATAGACCCGCCGCTCGCAACACCATCGAATGTCCGGACACCACCTAAGACACCAGCTCGATATGTGTATAACTAAAAAAACAATAAACAGAAAATTATTTATCCTGCTTATTGAACCTGCGCGTGGACCGAATTTCACGTTAAAATAAAATAAAATAGGTTTTTTATGGAATATAAGATACAGGTACCACTTATTCCACGTCATTAAATTTGAATCGGTAGACATCCCTACTCATCGGCAAAGAAGACAGAGGGTGTAAGGTACTATGTATAAGGCTATAAGGAGGGAGCTTGTAGTTTATTGTTTATCAGAATGCCAAATCGTAAAATGACTGCTTTACGACTGATTTGAGCGCGACCGCCGCTGTGTGAGTTCGAAAAGTGAGTTACAGAATCGCAAGGCAGATCCGATTTTAATAGATCTTTCACAAATAGAAAGCTACATCACCTCTAAGTAACATATGCTATATTTATTTTCAATTATGTGTTAGAATAATATACGAGGCATGCCTTTTAAGTTTTGTCGTTTGCAGAAAAGAACACAACTAGAACCTTATAGTACTTTTTATTGTTTTTCAAAATATTCACCACGTAGCTTAATACACTTTTCCATTCGCTGAAACCAGTTATTATAACATTAATTCCACTCTAAAGTGGAGGTGTTCAAAATGGCTGACTTGAAAGCGTCGACTGCTTCACCGGGCTGGAACCTTTGACCACGAAGACTTTTCTTACTTTTCTTACTTTTTGGAAATGTAAAGAAATCGTTAGGGCTCAGGTCATGACTGTATGGAGGATGGTCAAGAATTTCTACTTTTTCCTCCTTCAAATACTGAATTGTTTGACGAGCGCTGTGTGAGCTTGCGTTGTCGTGGTGCAGGATGATGCGTCGCTTTAAGTTCGATTTTCGAAGTTTGGCGATGACTTGTGGTAAATCAACTGTGGTATACCACTCTGCGTTAACCATTCTACGATCTTCAAGTGCGATAGTCGCAACATGGCCGGTTTTTCTACCGAACGTGGCCACCATCTTCTTTGAAGTGCTTCGAGAACGAACGAGTTTAGTCGGCTTTGGCTCGTCTTGAAAGACCCAGATTGTAGATTGTTGTATGGAATAAGGATCGTAGGCATAGATCCAAGATTCGTCACCACTGATGATGTCGTAGACGTGATTTGACTCTCTTCGATTGAACCTTTGCAGAGTTTTCTTACACCATCTGACGCGGGCCGCCTTGTGATCGTCGGAAAGCAGATGTGGTATCCAACGGCAAACTAGCTTTCTCACACCAAGCGCTTCATGCAAGATCTTCTGAATGGTTGTCCCTGAGATGCCTAATAGAGCCTCTATCTCTCGATACGTCACATGACGATCTTCGAAAATTAATTGTCTCACAGCAATGATGTTTTCTTCAGTGAAGGCGGATTTTGGGCGTCCTTCGCGAGATTTGTCACTAACACTAGTATGTCCACGCTGGAATTCTAAATACCAGCGTTCGACAGTCCGCAGACATGGGGCTTCATCACTGAACACAGATATTAGCTCTTCAAAACACTGAAGCCGTGTCAGGCCTCTTCTAAAGTTGTAGAAAATTATTGCACGAACATTTTCCTTAGAAAGATTCATTTTCGTAGGTAACTTGACAGATTCAAATCGACGCTGTGACTAAACAATAGCATTAATCCTAATACTTTTTTGAGATTCAAAATTTAAACACTTTCGAATATAATACAGGTCCAAATTCAAAATTGCCGGGAAATATGGAAACGACAGAACTTAAAAGGCATGCCTCGTATAAACCTAAATGTTATAATCTGTATGAAATATTAAACAGTGAACTGGTGAAGTCATATATATTTTCAATCAATAATTCCAATCACAATAATTGATGTTATAAATAAAACAAATGAATAAAGTTAAACATTTGAGAAACGGCTACCGAGGCAAAGTGAATGCCCCTTTTGCGAGAAAAATCGCAGTATTGCGATTTGCGGGAAACTTGATCGCTGTGGAACGAAAGATTTTTTTGTGGAATAAACATCTATATGCCCCGGCGACACTTCGTTATACAATTTTTATAATGTTTTTTCAGGGTATAATAATAATAAGTATTTAAAGTAAGTACATCAGAAACTTGTTGTTAAATATACATATACTCTGAACCCGTACCGTATTATAAATATATCCCTGAAATAATTCTAGAAATTTATTGTACTTTAATAGAGCCATATAAACAGACAAAATAATACACTACTATAGACAGATATAACACTTTTAGATAAATTTCAATAAAACAGCACATTTAATAGATTAACAGCACATTTACACACTTACAAGAAACAATAGCTCATAAAATCACGAAATATACAGATCTTGAAAATGAAATTAAAAGGCAACCCTTAACAAAGTATCATGTCCACCGGAATAACCTCGAAATAGTAACACGAAACTATTACATTGTTAGACCTCCCGATACCATTTATATCCACAAAGCAGTAATATTAACTAAATACAGTAAGAATTCATATTCTGCCGAAATTAAACAGTTACCAATAATAATAATATTATTTTATTTCATTTAGATAACATATCTATCTAAGTATGTAAGTACAACTTAAAACTAAATTTTGTACCAGCATAAACAACAAATGAAAATACATATATAATCAATAAGCAGCTTACACGTAAACTTGTCTCCCTTAAATAAAATTAAAGTTAAAAAAATTACTATTCCAGTCCAGCACTGGACTGGAATGACTCACTGGATTACTGGACTGGAATAATGTGAACCGAGCATTACATGACAAATTGGAAGAAGCACATGGACACTTTGTTAAAACAGTAAAAGTAGGACTGTTACAGTTTTTATAAAGGAGGTAAGTTTATAAGTAATTTTACGAAATATCTTTTTTTTCAAAATCTTGGTTATAGAGAACTTAATAAAATAGGTAGCTATCGTGAAATTATGTGGGTTGTATGTAGGTATAACCTACAAATCTGCATTAACATTGTCCAAACCAAAAATAATATTTTCAATATTAATATAGTTATTGACATCACTATTAGTTATTTCGTGGGGAAAAACCTTATCTTCATTATAAATTCTACCCCAAATTGCAAATGCTACTAAATTGTTCTGTGCTGCGTTTATTTTAAATGAATAACTGGCTTTTTCATCTTCATGTTTTGTAAATGTATAATTGGCTGGGTTAAGAGGGAATTTATTGTCTCTTAATGACAATCCGAAGTATTCTACGTCGTCACATTTCAGCGTTGTGTTATAATTAAGAGGATGTGATAAAATGTCTATACTTAATTCTTTGAATTCTATTTTCTCCTCATCTTCCTTAAATCTGTAACAAATTAATAGTTTTACTTGAAGTTTGGATAGCCTCAAAGGTGAATCTTAGATATGGCCTTTTCAGTTTATTGTTTACCACGTAGATAGAGTATAAAACTAGATGAGCTTCTAAAATAACAATAATAACTAAAGAGAGAAGGCATTAACGTGAAATACTTAAGTGCGAGCGAAACAGAGTAACAGTTTTTCTGTCTCTATTTGCGTATCGGATTTTATTTGTTTACCACCGAGCCCTTGGTGGTAAACAAGTTTTCACCGCTTACTGATAAATCGGTGAAACCCAAGTCAAACCCATATGTTAAGACTTTATCCTTATGAGGTGTATTTAAAGTGTCAGTCGTGGTGAATTGTTGCATAATTGGCTTTAAAGCTATAGTAAACGTAAAGAACCACACATCTTTCATCTGTAAGAAGCTTATTTTGTCACGACTCAGTAACTTTGTTCAAGAATTATTAATTCGAATGTGTATTTTGGTCAATAATAAGCAATCTTCAATGAATTAAAACTGTAAATATGACATATGTCAATCATTCGCTATCTCACACGCTGTACGCTGATGCCTGGTCTATACCATAGTCCGTCTACGGTTTACCACTATTTTATTATTTACATTAATGACAACTTCATTGCTTTTGTCGTCTTAATCAATTACAAGTAATGATGTGTCAGTCTTGTTTTATCTTTACATATTTTATATGGCGATTACCTGTACGGACAGTCTTTTGGATTATCAGAAGAACACGAAAGAATAGAACATGAAGCAACTCGTATGTGGCGAATGTCTCCGTATATGTTAAATCCCTCATGAATAAACGCACGATACTTCAAACTCTGAAATAACAAGTCATTAGTGAACTGATTTTGTCAAACAATTGTTCAAAACTTTTCAACATATCCGAAAGATATATGCAGTGACAGATATTTTAAAACGGTAGCTTGACTAGCAGCGCAAATATTTTAGACGATTGTTAGAGTTTTATACTTTGTCAACCTCAATAAAATAGAGAAGTATGAGTATGTAAAATGATCTGGATTAAGTATAATCATGCATTTACTTACCCGTAATCAAACACTACGTGAATAGCACTTAATAGTTAAGTTAGTTCGCATTCAGTAAGTCATAAGCATGCACTATTTCATCATAAGATCCAAGGAAGCGCTCTTTACATTATACTTTAAAATTACGTTGTATTGTTTTTCAAGCTCAAACATTTAAATTGAGTGGATATTGATATATCCTGAGAATTGACATATTCACAAATCAGGTTAATATTTGGTGAGTTAGATATATAAATTAGTATTGTTAATATAATATCAATTGTGTGTTCCTATACGGCGCAATAGCATCATAGCAATTACGAATACCGGTAAGCCCGAACAAGCTTATCAGCTATTAATGTTATACTCGTTTTCTGAATCGTAAATAGCATTTCAAAAGCGGGTTCATGCAATTAATAATTTTTGGCAATGTTTAATCATATCATTTTATCATATAATTTTTATCATCAAAGGTAGCATAAAGGTAGGTCTTATAATAATGATTTAACTAGAATGTTTTTTTTTCTTCTTAGTATGAATTTTTATATTATATCTTTCTTAGTTATGAATTTTAAAAGTGAAGGTGCGTTTATAGCGTGGAATAGTATTTAGACCATAAGTTTTTAATTATAAAAAACATAACTGGTCTTATTATTATTATGGCATTATGATAATAAATTTTACATTTGCATGGCCATTTTTATATGTCTAATTGTGCGGTTTTTTTATAATTAATTAACTTAATTTAATAAAAAACGGTACAAAACTGTTTTCCACTTACGATTCGAATGTTTACTGAGGGTTTTCGATTAAATTAAATCAAGCGGGAAACCTATTCCAATCATGCAATCCACATATCACAGTAAATTAAAAAACATCAAATTTCTCACCGTATCATTCGTTTGTGTTATATTAACTCTAAAATTGCACATTGTTTCCCCACTTGACAGTACGAAAGATTGGTACCCTGGTACTAGTAGCTGGCTTGTGTGAGCTGATAAGGATGGATCGCTTTTAAGGAAGAGATTGTCATGTATTGATGGGTCATCATATATTGGCCCTGGGTAGGAGTCTGTTACCTGAAAATATTTAAAACTTAATTAGACACCGTGATACCGGATAGAGTAATATAATATACAGTAGAAACAAACACGTCATAAATATTTTAAGCATTCCTTCGGTAGTTTAAGCGTACGACCAACCAAGCTCCAGAAGATAAACCACTCCTTATATGGAAATTGTATTCGTATTTACAACAAACTCCCAAGCGAAATGAGAGAATTATCACTAAATAAATTCAAAGCTCTCGTTAAAAGTAAATTAATTAATAAACCTTTTTATAAATTTGACTAATATTTAAATGATCCTAATCCTTGGATTGATTTGCTCCAGTTCAAACAATTTGTATGACTCAAAACTTAGCGGTTAAAAAGAGTGGCGGAAAGTTTATTGTCCGCCCTACGCCCTTGACTTGCGAACTGGTAATAAATGTAAATTTAGAATTAATTTAACTTATTTTCTGACATTCATAAGTGTACTTGTTTAATTATATGAATAAAGTTATTTTGACTTGACTTGACTTAGTAACCTTTAATGACGATAGCGATACCGGACCACATACTTTTGTATACAATTTCGATACACGTAGGACTAATCGCAATCGCCATCGCTATTAGAAATTACAGTACAGGCGCAGATGTTATTTTAAGGACAGAATATCTCTTAGTGTAAAATAATGAAACCTAACTACATTACCACGACCAAGCCAAAATTATTGTACCACATGAAAAACAAGTTAAAAATATTCTACGACTATACGTGCCAAGCATAAGCCGTTTCCTTATATTACGTTACGTATACGTACGTATACGTTTTCAACGATAGTTTTAAATTACATTTTGAATAGGCTACCAAACCACAGGAATATGGAGACCAGTACGCTCTTTTCTTTAAAGCTCTAACTCGGATTGATTCAGAAAGCACCCATGTTGTTGGTGTCATATATATAGTGGTTGAATCTCAATCATGATTATTCCATAAAAGCCCTTTCGAATACAGTTAGACAAAGTTTTTAAAGTAATTCAGAGGAAATCTAAACAAGCTTTTTAGGTAGTAAAATCTTAATACCTGTCCAGGAACTTTTGGAACTCTCGCAACCATTAAACGTGTGGTAGGAGCTCCTGCCATGAGGCTTATAAGGGCTCCTGCCTTGCCAGAGTAGATTCCTGAGCCTGAAAAATGAAGTCTTTTGGTTAGAAAGTAAAAGAATGGTAGCACAAATGCAAGGATCAACTTATATATAAAATTCTCGTGTCACAATGTTCGTTCCCATACTCCGCTGAAACGGCTCGACCTCTTATGCATATTCAGTAAGTCTGAGAATCGGACAACATCTATTTTTCATCCCTCTAAATGTTGAGGGTGGTCCCACCCCTAAATTTTTATTTTTCAGACCAAACTTTGTTTTTATTTTTTTATGATACAGCATACAAAAATACATGTACAACCTTTAATTGTCACCCCTCTACGATCAACCCCTATTTTTATTTGGTTATTTTAAACTTATGACTTGAACTCAGAGGTTTATATAGAGAACAGGTTTTACCTGTGCTTCCGACTCTAACGTTGTTTGCACCAGCTGCGAGGAAGTTTACATTCATCTGCGCAGCGTAACCCTGTTGAATTTCGACCGCTGTAATTAAAGAATGGTAATATTATCTAAATATATAGTATTGGAACGGAATATATAATTCATTCGGGTAGCCTGGCAGAGATCGCATATGGTATGGCTGTCGCTGCACTATTTATATATAAATCCTAGTCTAGTATTTTTTCTAAAAAATGAAAGCAGACATTAGAGTCAATAAAAAATATTAACGACTTAAATTTAACTTATTAGGAATACTGTCTTAGTTAAAAGATTGAAAAGACAGACTAATTTTTACTTGAATCAGTACAGTGTCGTCGCCATAACATCAGCTGCTTCAACAGCTTTTCATTTCAAATTTTTGAATAATAGTTCAGGACACGCTATAAACATACAGATGCTTGTAATTTAATCAAAACCCTTTATTCATGTATTCATTATACATTCATATTAGTATTTTTCTTATCTTCATACAATAAATGATAAGCGACATGTATATGTAAACAATTAATACCTGTAAGATATGGCATCTCTGAGAACCACATAGTAGGGAATATAATATTCGTAATGTTCAGTTTTTGAGGCGTCTGAATAGCTGGGATCTGGAACATCAGATCGAAACAGATGAAATGACCAAATCGAACGCCGAAGTCCGTTGTAAAGTCTCCTAAGTCAGGCTTCAGTGCTGGCGTGCGTGTGTATTCTCCGAACAGATTAATTTTACGGTATCTGAAATTAGTAAATTAGGTCGTCTTAAATTTTCAAATTAGGTACTGTAATTCTCGGATTTAGTTATGGGGAACAAGAGAAATTCTTTTAAAAAAGTTTGAAGATTATGTAGATGCCTCACTCCCATGGGTCTTTTATCAATGTAAGATATTGATAGGTATTTATTAATTCTTATTTACACAACAAACAAGTGAAGAAAAGTCGTCACCTATTCTCTAAATTATATTGTCATTCAGGCTTCAAAAATGTTTCAGTTAAAAACAATAAATAATAATAGTGTTTCGTCTTTATGATTTTGCAAAGATTTTATTTTATCACAACTCTGATTTCACATCAGCATTATGACTTGTGCAACGGGTTATTTAAATTTAAAAGAGTTCTAATATTCATATCGATACTGATTTCCTAAAATGAGCATAGTTAAAAGAATGGTCTCAAATAATACATAAAAAACACTTTTAAAAAAACCGCTTGCAAGCTCAGTAGCTCGGTTGCTCAGTAGCAACAGGCAGACCTTTTTTTAAATTTATAAATCTTTTGTCGCGATAAGGAAAAATGATGAGAATAAATTTTTACGATGCGCGCGCACACCGTCACAACAAACCGACACCTTGAAGTTAGCTATATTCAACATTTTAGTTTTTTTGAAATTATACTTCTTTTGGCGCGTTAGGGAAAAATGATGAGAGTAATTTTTTTCTATTGTTAGTGTCGTTTTTTCTCCAAACGTAGAGCGGCGGAAGATAAAATTTTTCAAAAGATTTTTATCTTGTTACTCCACAGAAGTATAACTTCTAACGCGTCTACATAAGTACACACACGTTTTTTATTGAAATGTTTACCTATCAATAACTGCTCCCTCTCTGTTGAGTACTACATTTGTATTGAAATAGTACGTTTTCTTCTCGGGGCACTCTTCACCCGGGGCGTCCTCACAGTTCATTACCTCCTGTATATTTATCACTACGTAGATCGCATTTTCACGGGCCGCTGAAGATATAGTGACTAATATCTAAAAAAATACGTGTCATGTTACGTACACCTCTTGAATGTCCATAACTACTTATGAGTTCCAACAATTTCATTAGAATAAGGAGGAAAGGTGCATAACGCTCTCTAAGTTTCGCAAAACCGTCAATTGACTCGAAAGTCTATACCGTATTGGAAATACAACTATTGGATCTAAATGGATATAGAAGGTCAAAAAACGGACGATGGACATCGAAAAAAATCATTAATTATACTTTCTTCCTGATTAAAAGTCCTTGAAGAGGCCCTGGGTTTTAATTCTATATCAAATAAAATACGTTTATTCAGTTTAGATGCGTCTTAGCGCATGCTTATCAATGTCAAAAACATTTACAAAATTCGCGAAAGAGCAAGACTACGCCATCCGTTCGCAAAACTACCAGGAGGCCTTGTTCTGAGAAGAACGGGCAAGAAACTCAGCAAATTTTACCCTCCCTCTACATTACAATTATTCATAGGAAAATGTCATAAACCACGTCATTAAAGTTACATAAGTAAAAAAAAATCTGTTCTGCGATTTACCACATTCACCATATTCACAACACTTCAAAGATAACAAAACAAATTATAACAATTTAACTAAAACTATTATAATATTATAAATTCTTGACAGTTCAAACCCGGTTCTACCCCGTTTATGTTTTAATGTATGACTCCCCTGTCAAAAACGTTGGATTTAAAAACCATAATTCGTGATATGGTTCGCCTCTGAATCTTATCTTACGAGTTGAAGCTTAAAGCGGCATTGAATTATTATTCATTAACACATTAAAATACCTACATCATTGTACAAATCTGCATTTAAAGCAGGAATGGGGTACTCCTTTAGCAAACCATATATTGGGACAGATATGCTTTGACTTTGTCTTCTATTCAACGTCATTTCTGGAAATACTACGATATCGGCATTCTGTAATTGAAAGCAATTAAGCTTGAGAGGTACATTTGTTAAAGATAACACTAAATATGTTTTGATGTATGTAATTGCTAATGCATATATTAATCTCATGTCAAAACACATTTACACTATCGCGTGAGTCATCTGAGGCATTACTTTAACAATTAAAGTACATAGTATCAAAGTTAAGTACAATTTATTTCTCTTATTATATTAAAAAATATATTTTTTATTGCTTTTTGCAGTTTGTATTAAATAAGTATTTTGACTAAAATATTTTACGTTTAAAATATTTACGTGGCATTACATCATGAGAAATAAAGTATTTTCTTGTACTTTATTGTTTTCATAAAGTATAGATTACAATTACCTGAAATAACGTACAATAATTTGTTATAAAGTACCCTAATAATTGGTATATCAAACGACCGATTAGTACAATTATATATATTTTCAAAAAAAATATAACAAAACTACACCAATCAGGTAGTACTAGTATGTTGAATACAACATACTTGTCCATTACAAAGAAATTTATAAAATCTGGGTGGAAATTATTATTTTGGAATTACTTAATTTAATTAAAAACGATACAGTCCAAACAAGTTGCTTCACTATTAGCAAAGATTGTTTCTTTTAAAGTAATGTACATCGTAATGACGGCTTTTTATATCATTAATGTACATAAAATTTAAAATAAATTGTATCAGATTTGCTGGTGGCTTTGTCATATACACCACAGCGTCATGGACGAATCACGTATGTTCCAATCAAGGAGTTTGCCTTTCATCATAAAGCTTTTGTTACCTGTGCAGCAGCATCTTTTATCAGTTGAACATAATTTTGAATATTTGTATCCGTGTTGGCATTGACTTCAAACTCAACCACAGCAGCGACATAGCTGCTATCCTCTGGTGTAGATTTCTGGGAACAATGGATTAATAACAAATAAATATGGCAACTATTTACCGTTCCCGGAAAAACAATATTTCCGCCTTGGCCTTACTTATGTTAAAACCGTGATTTGTAAATCAACACAGAAGTGTGTTGTGTGTATGTGTTACAACCCTGTCTTGGCAGCACGCAATGGAAAGAAGCATCTTAAAGTGAGAGAAGAATAAAGGAATCTCAAAATGTTGGAATTCGTAATAAAACGAAACCTACAGATGCACTTGTACACGCTCTAAGGCTCAAATGGAAATGGGCAGGTCTTTATATAGGATATATCTAGAGCGCGTGATAAAAGATGTACACTTGAAACAACAAAATGGACTGGACCTACTGGACAGAGATGGACGACAAAAGAAAAAATGGACAGCTGACGTAATAGAACTAGCGGGGAAAAACTGGATGTATGTTACTCAAGACAAAAATAAAAATATGGCGGCTTTTACTCTAAAATAGGCAATACAAATATAAATACTAGAACACTAACAAAACTGACCTTAATTTTTACAGCTTATACTAACATAACTAATACTTATATTAAGAAATTGTCAAGGTATAGGCTGTGTAGTTGGTTTCGCCCTTGCCTCTACAATTGTTATGTCTTAGATTATTTTTACAATCCAATAATTTCGTTGAAATTGCACGTAAAATAATTTTTGGGTTTGATTTTTGAGCTCAAAATTATACACAATCTATCCAGTTCGCAGCCTCCAATCAGTAGTAAGACTGACATGTATAGGGAGGAAGAAAATACATTTTACTCATACAAAGAGTGAGCTGAGAGCGCAGAGGTCGGTTACTGGGCGGCGAACTAACTGTATTACTGTAGAATCTGCAAGTTTGCTACACCGAATGTACAGTGACAAGTGAGAGGGGACTGTCATCGCCAAAAATTGTTGCTGACTTGCCGATATTCCGATTTACCGATCTGTAGAACGCCAGAAAACATCATGCAGAAATCTTTTTGAATTCTATGAGGTAGCACAAGTTATCGGTTCCCAAATTTGCCGCCCCAAAAATCTGCCGCCCTAGGCTGCAACTTACTCAGCCTGCTGGCAAATCCGTCATTGTCCCACCACCATTTCTTTTTGGTGTAAATGTATCAGAAACTAATTTGAATCAATAACTATTTTTTTATATATGTAATACCTATTGGTCGTTTCCCAGAACTTCTTGACCTACCTATATTTAGAAGTAATTTGCTTCTCATTGCGGGCAGTACCGCCGATATCTCTTTTGCATAAATCTATTAATGAAGAAGGAAAATGGTCACTTTAATCACATCTTATGAATCATAGCGTTTTATCGGGTTGACAGGGCCTCTTTAACTGACAAACGCATTATAAATTAAATTCATTTATATATTTCGACGGTTTTATTTATTTAAATTGGGAAATATGATACAGTTATGTAAAGGTCAGTACTCACAGACGGTATTACTCGATCAAGATAAACTGTCAAGTAAAACCCATGGCATGGGCTTTCGTCCACACATTGAGCATTGATCTATCGAGTGAGGCGCGCCGTTCACTATTCACCGAACCGTTCGAGCCAAAGGATGTCTGTGCAATAAAGGAGACGGTAGCTGTATTTAGCAAGTCTCACAGTGCTTTATAAGAAAATCAAAGGAAATGAAAAGAAAAAACGTTGAAGCACAGCTAGTAATTTTTCATAACATTCATTTCTCTTATTTTTGTGGGAGTAATCGTTGGAATTGACATTCCATAAACACTCACACACTGTCTATATGTGTTAATAAAGTCTTCTATAGCGCTTTTGGAATAAACTCGCAAATCCATTTCTCTTAAAAACACGTGTTTCAATCACGATAAACAATACCAGACTGACGCTCGCCTTCGCCTTTCAGTTGAGATTTGAAAAAATGGGTTAAAAATTTAAAACCTTTTTTTCGGAAACTTTACTATATTCTAGACCTGAAAGACGATTGTCATATGTTTTTGTTTAACCGTAAAATATTGAGGGTCTACCAGTTAGTAGTTATATAGGTAGCCATTTAAATATCATAATAGGATAAATGGACAAATAATGGGAAAATGTGAATGGACAAATATGAATGTGTAAGATTTTGCATATGTGTATAAGAAATTACGCCGGTTCTAGTGTGAAATTCGACAAAGGTCAAAAGTGCAGCGTTATATAAATATGTAACATGTTTAAAGCCGGTTCAACTATTTTAATACTTTCTTTGTTGGTTGGTGTTGAAATTCAATTTACAATAAACATATTTACAACAAAAAAAAGTTTGGAGAATTTTTTATCGTACTAGATACGTATACCTATTAAACATAATATATTACTTAGTAAGCATGCATTGCATATATACATATATCACCTGTTCGCTTCCAATTACGAGACACAAGAATATAAAGAATTTCATTGTCACACTTTTACACTGTTATCTAATTTGAAACTTATATTTATGTAGATAGAGTTAAAATTTATAAATACAACGGAAACATCGTGATATGGACTGATTCCATTGAAGGGTATTTGTGTACTAAAGTCTGCTTGCTATTAATCACACACTTATTAAAATATTGTTTTATAATGTACAGATAATATTAATGAATATAAGTTTAAAAGGAAATCTCTAATTTCGGTGAAATTAAATAATTTAATATGTTAATAAAAAAGGTTACTTTGTTCCTGTGAATACCAAAAACCAAATGATAACAATCCAAAGTTTTTAACAATTTCTTACGTATGTCATTAGAATTTTAAACGCAAAATCGTAACGTGCCTTTTTAATTTATATAATAATTTAGCTTCGCAGACGTAAACACCGTCACACGAGTCGAGAACGAAGACGTTTATAGCTTAAATTAAATAAAGATAAACCTTGCTTGATCACCTTTAGGTACTATTTTACGTAGCAAGTCAAATGCGCAAGTAATGCAACTAAATTAAAACCATAATCCTTTAGCATGAAGGTTTAGAATCATTTAAATATGTATCAAGGTAAATTTGCGATGTGTCGTACTAATTCTTATACTTTGGCATAAGATCAATTTCACTGTACTTGCAAATTACAAATATGATTATCATATTTTATGGACTGATTAAATTTAATACCATTAATACGTACGTCAATAAAGTATTTTATTTAAATTAGACTTCAGCGGATATAAATGCGAAAGTACATTTATTATATGTATATTCATTTTAATATAAATTCATTAATTCGATGTTTCGAGTTTCAGCAGTCGTGATTAGCGAAAGACTTTTTCCTTTTAATGGTCTACTGATTTGGCTTTAAATTGTATTTACAAAGATTTAAATTTCTAAAGTAAATTATTATCTAGTACTATGTACTTTGTATATATGGTTCTATTATAATTTTAGTATTTTATATGTTTTTTTTATTTATTATCACTTGATTGATGTTTCTTGATGAGATTTTAATTACAACTTTGTATAATTAAATTTATCATTAATAAGATAAAATTAGCTATATGTTAAAAAATACAGAACTAACAGACTGAAAGAAAATTTAATTATAATATAATAAAATTTAAATTATCATTAATAAGTTATTATTAGCTATAAGTTAAATATTACAAAACTAACAGATATAGATAATGATAATGGAAAAAAGAATATAATTAAATTTTATCATTAATAAGTTAAAATTAGCTAAAGTTAATATTATAAAAATTACACAGCCCATACACTAAAAGAGAATATAATTGCAAAAAACTATAGTTAAATTTATCATTAATAAGTTATAATTAGCTATATGTCAAAATATAAACAACTAACAGATATAGAGAATGTAAATGGAAAAAAATCATAATTTAATTTCATCATGAATAAGTTAAAATTAGCTAAAGTTAATATTATAAAAATTACACAGCCCATAGACCAAAAGAGAATTTAATTGCAAAAAAGTATACATAATTAAATATATCATTTATAAGTTGTGGTAATATAATATAAAAATACCTGTATAGAAATATGTAACAGCCCCGTGAATATAATTAACAGTCTCATTTTCCTGAAGACACTTTTACGCACTGATAATTCTATCTATCAATCCTTTTATATAGCAAACAGCAATAAACGTAACCAACCTTTGTCCAATGTCTCTCACGATAAGAGAAATAGACGGATAACTTATCTTTAAAAGAAAAAACATTTTGCTTTTAATGTTTAACATTTTAATCTCATAATGTCTGTGAGTTTTTTTATTAAGGATACTTCTAAATATCCCGTGTGAAACACTTTTTAAGTTACACTAGGCGTATTCAGTATATTGGAAGTTCCTAAAGACGCGATCTTTTTACAGCGGTATCATCACTGATCAAATTATGGCATGAAGGGATAATACAGTGATTTATATTTTTAAGATATAGGAAATGAATATTTTGGTCTCTTTATGTTAAAAAAGTCTCGTAGTTTTAGGTTTTATTTTCTAATTATGTTCGTTTTCAATTTATATTATAATAAATCTAAGTTTTCGGTTATAGATCCAGTTTTTAAGTTATTTTATACATGTGTCTTCACTAAGACATCATGGAATATAACGATCTAGCCTAACTTAAGACTAATAAGTAATTTAAGTCTAACCTAATTTATTAAAAAGGATATTTTACATTAGAAAGCACTACTTACAGTCTCTATTAAAGGGAAGACACTTTGTTCTTGTGTTCTATTTTTACACTTACCAATGTTTAGCACTTAAGACTAACGTGCACTAACACTAATTCACTAGTTCAAATGGTTTTGTCCTTTGAGTTTGGTATCCAGTGTCCTACCAAGGTACCTAGCTGAATTTTGGAACGGCACTTTGACCAGTTTTTAAATAATAATAATATTGTTTTTCCATAATCCCTCAATGAGACAGAAACTATTCTAAATCATTTATATTTTTTCTGGGTTTAGTAGATAAGATGTTGTAATTTGGTATCGGGATTCGATTGTTTTGAATCAGAATCGAAACCAGAAAAAATAATACTGTATAGTTCTGTAACGATTGTCTTAACGATTTCATATATCAATGTACAGTTATGAATAACGACTTACACAGAAAAATATTAAATGACTCAATGGAAACAATTCAGTCAAGCGAGGGGATGTCCCTTCCCAGATGTGTGCAATGTAAATAATGTGCAATAAAATTTACATACACAATGCACCTTGTGAAGTCCCGCGACCACCAGCTTTGTCGTAAGTGCTATAGTCTAGTTTTCAACTTGTTGACTAGACTGCTAACCTAGTATCGTGGTGCACGCCCTAACCTTGGGATCGAGCATCGAACCCAGACTGCATCAATGTATTTTTCTATATACGTAATTACGTAAAAAAACATTGAAGAAGGAAGTGTACAGCTACAATCACTGCGATGACGTCACACCTTGAATCACGCTAATAAAGTTGTTCTAGTTAATGATATATACAACTTCGTCCTTAGCCACTGGAGAATTCGGGGCAGTCAGTGGTTGCACTGGTCGACGGTCTGTTCTTTAAGTTGTAGCTAGAACAGCTTCTTTCTTCCTCTAACGAAGGCATATGACATATCTGTGTCTAAAGACACGAGGTATAGAATGATGATGTTTCTACTAGAAAGAAAACAGATACACAAATCTGAAACCCGGGCTTGTATCACTTGTTTTCTTGATGTTGTTGCACGATACATGATACTAGAAAATGAACACTTTTATGATCTATCTCGGACTCAGCTGTTCCCATTATGGACTTATAAAAGTTCGTCGTAACAAGAATGTTTTATCTTTTTAATCCTTAAAACTCCTAGTTATTTAAAGCAAAATTTTATGTTCCTCTCTGGCGGTAGTTTTGACTTGCGTTCCTTCTTTTTAATCTAATTCTTGAAACTCCTATTCATAAAACTGAATTCTATCACTCCTCCTTTACTGTGCAAAGTATTCTGCTTTGGAATTCAGTACCAATTCATATTAGACGAGCTCAGTCCTTAAATTTATTTAAAAAGCTTCTTTTTGATAATTTTCTTTCTGCCTCGTAGCTCTGCTAATATATATTAATTATTGTCACTCTGTTAACCTTTTGATTGTATTTTAAATGTTTGTCTATACATACTTTTATTTATTATTATTGTATTTTTTTCTTTAGATTTTTTAATTTAGATTTACTTTCTTTTATTTAAGTTATGGTAACGTGTTAGTTTTGAGTTTTTTTTTGTTAATAATTTTTGCATTTCTTTTTCATTGTTGGGGGGTTTCAAGGGTTGCCTGGAAGAAATCGCTTGTTAACGATAAGGCCGCCCGTTGCCTAAATTTTGTAACCTGCTTTTTTATTTTGTGTTTTGTGTATGTTTTTGAATAAGGTAATAAAGTATATAAATAAATAAATGTTCATAGGAATAGGAATACGAATAAATATAATATGGAAATCATACTCAGCGTGTCTCGACTCTGATAGTAACATTCAATAATGAGACTTAGCGACAAGTCTCACTTCGGTAGGTCAAAAAGTATTGAATTTGGTCGTTTCTGAATATCAATCTGAAATCTTACTTTAAGGTTCAAATCTTCGACTAAATCTTGACTTACTCTATAAGCAGTGTCGTATCTACTGAATGCTAATTTGACCATATCTGAATTTGAAGCAGAGTAAAAAGAATATATTATGTACTATAAATTCAAAGCAAAATTCCTTTGTGGATCGAAATTCGTGCGCCTGAAATTTTGTGTTTAGCAAGCTTTTTGACTTCATATTTTGCTAAGCTATTCTTATCCACTCTCAAGTATTTTAGACAATACAAATACAGTGCAAACTCCAAGAAGTCAGTGACACTAAATATTCCAATATCGGAAAATTTGGCTGACATACCACATTTTTAATAAAATAAAATACAATAAAAAATAGAATAAGTTATTATGGAATATAAGATACAGGTATCGACACACAACGCGCGCGCACGCGAGTAGTTCGCGTCGGTCAACTATAGACTTTTATAATAGAATTGCGTGTGTATTTGTTCATAATTTTGTAATTAGTGATTGTACACTAGGAATACGTTATTGATTTGTTGAAATAACCTATTGTTATGCGTCTAAACGAAAGATCTAAGTCGAACATTAAAGTGAACACTTTGTGCCTATTTTGATCTACCCGCATCTTTCACACGGTTAATTTTAATAAATATTAAGTGGTTTGTGTGTGGATTTTCGTCATTAACGCATCAAGGTAGCGGGTTTATTACCGATACTTTTGTTGTATACCGTGTGTACCGTAACAAAATGTTGACCCGTAAGGCCTTAGCTCACCAGGAGGAATACCAACGGGTTCTGCAGGAATTGAAGGTCTCCAAGGAGTTGGTTGAGCAATTGCTTAAAGAACGGGATGACAGTGAAAAAGAAATGTTGGATGCCCTTGAAAACAACATAAAGTTAAAGAAAGAAATGGCTGATTTGCATACTCAAAATTTAAATATTATCGATGAGAGGAATAAATTGCAGTATGTAATAGACAGGTTTGACCAATGCAATAGTGAGTATGAGCAGACCCTCACGCACATTGCTGAATTGGAAAAACAACTACAAGAAGCAAACAATTGCATAAGTCAGTTGGAAACAGATAAGTTAAATTGGACTACCTCTCAAAACCACAGTCTTTTTGAGGAATTAGTCAGTGGTGCTCCGGATATGGTGTCTGCAGTATACAATATAAATCCTGCTGTCTCATTAAATTACTCATTAAGTGACACAAGCAAGATAGAAGCTGGTAGGAGTATTGAATGCAGCAGGAAAAAATTTTTTAGGAAATACTTTAAACACAATAAATTTATCAAAAAGACAAAATGTTTAATTAAGATACAAAAAAGCTATTTAAATGGCTTAAAAAATAAAGAACAGCATATAGCATTAATTGACAAGTTAGAATCATATTCCAAACAAATTAAGGAAAATCAAGAAATGTATGAATGTAATATATTATTATTAAATGATAAAATAAAGTGCTTACAAAAGTCTCTGGCAAACATTACACATAAATATAATGCATTGTCTTCTAAGAGGAGCATGAGGGAATACACACTGAACCTCAATCACCACCTGAATAATACTAACCTGGTGGATTCCCTGGCACCAGGCCTGGTTGCCTTGGAACAACTTGAATGGTCTATGTCAGTGTGTGAGCCGTCAATCTCTGAACAGCTTAGCTTCAATAATGATGTTAACAAAAAAGAAAATGTTTCTTTAAAAAAAAACAGTAATTATGTTATGTTTAGCGATGAAGTGGGAAAAGATTTGGGATACATTTCGATGAACCAGATGGGGCAAAGTGTAAGCAATTATTGTATGCCTGGCATTTCTTTCAATGAAATGTCTGAAAAAATATTAAAATTTAAGTTTAGAGAAAATGACAATTTAATAATAATTATAGGAAATAGGGAGAATGCAAATAAGAAATCAATAACAAAACTATTTGACCATCTTCAAAGTGTTGAAGTTAAAAACATTGTAATGTTTACATTTCCCTATAGTAAGAGTTTGACGCTGAAGGAAAATAATTTAAGATACAAATTAAATGTGACATTGGATAGTTTATCGTATTATTCAAACAAAATAAATATAATTGACATAAATAAATTGTCATTTGTTGATAGCAGCTTGTTTTTGAGAAAGGATAGATTGTTTCTATCTAAATTTGGTAAAAAACAATTAGCAGTAACGCTAAGCTTTTATTTACTAACTTCAGCCAAGAACTTGGCTGCTAAATCTGCTTTATTTGAGCAGTCTTCTATTATTAGGTTAGACAATGCCTTTATACAGCAGCAGAGTTCCGACAGTGCTCCCTTGGACCAAATTAGTCATGAAATAGTTGCCCCTATTGAGCAATCTAACTATGATGCACATAAATGTGTGACCCAAATTAAATATTTAAATTAAATAATAAGACAACAGAGAAGGCCTCTAGCAACCTTAAAATAGTACACCAGAATATACAAGGTTTTTCTGGAAAGAATCTAGAAATCTCTTTGTTTTTAAACAGTCAGAATATCCATGTATTATGTCTCACAGAGCATTGGTTAAAAAAAATGAATTATTAGATTGTATTGAAAATTATAAAATTGTTAGTGCATTTACTAGGGAATGTGCAATTAGAGGTGGGTCATTAATAATGTTACAAAACAATATCAAATATAAAGAAAGATTAGACATAGTAAAACATTCCATTGAACGAACGATAGAAATTTCTTGTGTGGAATTTGAACAATTTATAATTGTGTGTGTATACAGACCCCCTTCTGGAAGCTATGATCTGTTTGAGTCTTCCATGGAAAATGTTCTTAATATTATAAGTAAAAATAACAAAAAGATGGTTGTCTGTGGGGATTTTAATTTAAATATTTTAGTTTCTAGTACATATACAAGTAGATTTACTAATTTATTTGGGTCGTTCAATCTACAATATTCTTTCTTTGAACCAACTAGGATTACCCCCCTATCAGCTACCTGCTTGGATAACATTTTCTCTGATTGCGTTTTATATCAAAAATGTATTGTTAACTGGGTGGATTCAGATCATAGTGGACAAAAAATCATTGTTGAGCGCCATAGGGTTAAACAAGACATAAAAATTACTTTTAGGCCAATAACGGACAAACGCTTAAAGGTTTTTGAAAATAATATTAAGAATAAACTTAGGTTTCTTAAAAATTCAAATGATGCTAATGAGCAATACGAATATTTATGTCAACAAATAAACATAGAATTTGCTAGCATATTTAAACAAAAAACTGTTTCTTTAAACTCTAAAATGAAATTCTGTGACTGGGCCACACCAGGTATTTACGTTAGTAGAAGAAAATTGTATGATCTATATTATGAAAAGTCTATTTCTACTGAGCAGTCGCTTATAAACTATGTCAGAAATTATTCAAAAATATTTAAAAAAGTTTGTAATATAGCAAAGGCAAATTATTTGAGTAATAAAATAAAAAAATCGGACAATAAAATTAAGACCACTTGGAACATTATTAATCAAGAAACTGGTAAAACTTCATTTAAAGATAGCTCTTTTGAAATTAATATTAATGGCAAAATTATAAAAAAAGATGCAGCGGTCGCAAATGCTATGGAGTCCTTTTTCTCTGAAATTCCTGCAAGAATCACTAGTAAACTGAATTCATCTACGCAATTCGCGCTTTCACTTTTAACGTCTAGCACAAATAAAAATAGTAGTGCATTCGATTTTCATAAAATTAACACGGATTCTATTGTAAAGGCATTTAGATCGTTGAATAAGAAGAAAACAGAAGATCTATGGGGCATATCAGTAGCTGTAATAGCACCAATAATTGGAAATATTTCTCCTTATCTAACGATTATTTTTAATAGATGTATCGATGATGGGATTTTTCCCAATCTCATGAAATATAGTAAAATTATTCCTTTATTTAAGTCTGGAGACAAATCGGACCCCACGAATTTCCGCCCTATATCAATTTTACCAACTCTAAGTAAAATATTTGAAAAAATTATTCATAATCAATTGCTTTCACATTTTAGATTAAATAAACTATTTCATGATAGACAATTCGGTTTTACTAAGGGTAGATGTAGTACGGATGCGGGTGTGGAGCTCATGAAGCAAATATTCGATGCCTGGGAAAATAAACAGGATGCTTTAGCTGTCTTCTGTGACCTGTCCAAGGCTTTTGACTGTGTAGACCATAAAACATTATTGGGAAAATTACAGTATTATGGCGTCTCAGCAAACTCAATAAAAATAATAAATTCATACTTGAGTGACCGATTACAAAAAGTGGTTATAAATAAAGCAGAGTCTTTAGGAGCTCCTATTCTCATAGGTGTGCCTCAGGGGTCGATATTGGGGCCGTTGCTCTTTCTTGTCTACATAAATGACCTGCCATTTTATGTAAATAACTTATGTGAAACGGTATTATTTGCAGATGATACATCTCTTATTTTTAAAATCAGTAGGAACGCAATAAATTTTGACGAGGTGAATGATGCCCTTTCCCGAGTTATGTGTTGGTTTACTTATAATAACTTGTTACTAAATTCTAATAAAACAAAATGTATTAGATTTTCTTTGCCTAACGTAAAACAGGTCAGTACAAACATTAATATTAATGAGGAAATAATTCAATGTGTTGATTCAACTGTATTTTTAGGGATCACTCTAGATTCTCGTTTGCAATGGAAGCCCCATATTACAAACCTATCGTCAAGACTTAGTTCGGCTGCTTTTGCGATAAGAAAGATTAGATGGTTGTCTGATGTCGAAACGGCGAGGCTTGTATACTTCAGTTACTTCCATAGTGTTATGACATATGGTATATTGTTGTGGGGCTCAGCGGCCGATATTCAAGATATTTTTGTTTTACAAAAAAGAGCAATACGCGCTATATACAAATTAAAACCGCGTGACTCGCTAAGAGAATTATTTAAAGAGATTGGTATTTTAACAGTTGCCTCCCAATATGTGTATGAAAATATTATGTACGTTTATAAAAACCTTAATAAATTTATAAAGCGCAGTGACTGTCACAATTTAAATACAAGAAGTAGGAATAGACTTGATTTTCCAGCTTTCAGACTGCATAAAACTGCTCACTCATTTATGGGGAAATGTATACACATATTTAACAAGATTCCGGACCGTGTAACCAAACTTCCGATTCATGAGTTTAAGCTTTGTATCAAGAAAACCCTAACAAAGGGAGGATATTACACTGTTCGGGAATTTATAGACGATGACAATGTGTGGGCACTAGTGCCGCTGTAAGATGAGGATAACCGAGTTGACATGCATAAGAGTACAAATTGTACCTAAATGATTAAATGACTTTATTATTATTATTATTATCACTTATTCTCGGTTCGTGTTCTCGGGTATATTCGGGGTAAAAAACTCTCGGTACTCTTTAAAAATATCAAATCATAATACAAAACGACATTGGCAACCATAGATATAAGAAACCAGATCACTTTGCAATCTTAAAAATGTGGCGAACTGAGCAGACAAAATAAGTAATTAACTAAAAAGTAATTAAGTAATACATATACATGAGACTGAAACTTCCCCCTTTAAATATAATGTATAAATAAAACAAGCCTTAATGCTGTAAAGAGTCATCAAAACATGTATTTCTTGAAAACTTGCTTTGAAAGCCTGCTTACTCCTTGGGTTGGCATTGCATTGACTGTCATCCGATTTAGTATTATTTTAGAAAAAAACAGTAAATATATAACAAGAGACTGATTGGCCCGTAGTAATATCACATTTATCTCCTCTTTTCTGTAATATCTAGCTCCAATCAAACTACCCTACCTGTTTTAGTAATGTATATAATTTTAATTGAAGAAAAAAATGCACATTGTTGAATATGATCTATATTCTAACTAAACAAACCGGTCTATGTATCAATTCCCTTAGTTAAAACTAAATAAAACTATTTTTAAACCAAAACTTAAAGGTTTTTTGTTAGGCCGGGTTCCCACTATGCCGGACCGGCAGATTTCCCGGTCCGGTAAAATTGCTGGAAGGCCTAGTGGCTGTACAAATTGTATGAAGCTATTCACATTATCCCGAGTCCTGCTTTTTCGCCGAGCCCGCCATTTTTACCGAGCGTTTTGTCACTACAAAATGCCGATAAAATCACCGGACCGGAGTAATGTGAACCAGTTCCGGCGCGTGTTCCCTGCCCCGCCCGTCTCGGTGCTACCCGCACTTCATTCGACTCGCATTTTCTGAGTACAGTAGACGTGTAGCATGATGAACGACATTCAAATAGAAACTTTAATTAAATAATTGAAGAACTTTGCTCCATCACTTCTAAGTTCACCGATCAATGTTTCAAATGTCCCAAGTGAAAATCTTTCCCGTAAAATAGGATGTACCTAATACTTTCTTCTTTTATTTTGCCTTCTGTACTACCACCACCACAACACAACAATTTCGTCGTCCATTGTGGGCACTGGTCCAAATTCAACTGAGTTGCTTGTCCGATTTTCTTGTGGGGTCCGGTGTCCGGTTTCCGGCAGATCTGCCGGTCTGGCATAGTGGGAACCCGGCCTTACATTTTACAACTTTTTTAATACTGAGAATTATTTAAGACTTTATTTCAAAATACAAATAGAAATTATGTTTAAATTAGTATCACAGAAATTAAAATTAAACAAAAATAAAATTTATAAAAATTTCAATTACAGTTTATACACTGTCTAGGTTGTTATTTTGTCTAGAATGTTCGAAGTGACTTCGTAGGCTCTGGCTGTTGAGTTTTTCTCGTCGTATAGCTTGAGATCGGGCACGTCTTTTACCCGCTGGAGATGCCATTATGGAGCGTCTTCGATCAGCTAAACCTATAAGGGAAAACTGTTTATGTTAAAATGTAAAACATATATTACCTACTTGTGAAGACATAAGTATAATAATCTCAAAAATAAACATAAGGATTGGTTTACATTGCCCTACATTTTTTAAACATAAAATCTTTTTTTTTTAATTTTCGAACACTCCAGCATTTAGTAACATTATAGGTATGTGGTATTCGTACTTTCTTTGGTGAATATATTAAAAAATAAATGCACAAATCCACGACTACTTCTGGCACTATCCATTAGCTAGACAAATCTATCATTATCTAATCTATAATGGATTATGCTATAAATTTTTAATAAATTCACTTTTTATAAAGTTATGATAAATACGTCAGGAATAAAAAAGATATATACCTACAACTACCTTTCTCCTATAATTTCTAGAGTGTTTGCCAATAAAACACACTTTAAAAAAGCAATGCTATTAATGTGGTAAACAGTTCATATTACAACCTTTTACGTATTCTATGGACAGACCGTATAACACCAATACTATACAAAAAGTGTATCAATTCTTGAATTGTTGTTGTTGTTTATAGAACCTAAAAGTTAAAATTACCACAAATCAATGCACTCTTTTAACTGTAGTACTCTGTCGTCTCATTCTGTTAAATTGTAATTAGACCTCTTAGTTTATTTAGGGTATAAGTTCAGTGCCAATTATACACAAAAGATACAGCCTTTGTGAACACTGAACACAAGTGTTATAAAAATACACGGCAGTTCTTTAAAGACACTATTGATTAGACTTTAAGAAAACGACATTAGTTAATATAAGATTGAAGATTGTGATAGCACAATTCAATCAAAAGGTTATAGAACTGGCTATATCACGGTAGAATTAAAGTTAAAACATGTTTCACCTTTCAGTCTAGTTAAGTCATGGACATCGTGCTTTTCGACTTCATGACTGGCCTTCATCATTTCTTGATACAAGTCGTTGAATTCTTTACCTAAATGGGCATCGTCCAAGGTCCGACCGAGGCGCTTACCAGAAAATCCTAACGACTTGGATAATGGTACTTCGTCTATCGACTCTAAGTTGGGTAGTTCTGATATTGTTATCTGTAAGAAAAAGCTTCTAGATTTCGGGTTTTTGTTTAGACTTAAAAATAAAAGATGTATCATTAAATTATGAGTATTATATTATTTAGAGATTTTACTAACTAGGATACAAAGAATATGTTGATACTAATATAAAAGATATATGTAGTAACTTGTGAAAAAAAATACTTTGTTCTATTAATATGTTACTCATTATGGGTTTTTATAAATTGATTTTTCATTATGTAATCAAATAAATTAAAAATACGTAAGAAATTGGTAAATTAATAGATTAAGAAGGCATTAAAACAAATTTGTATAAAAACCCATCGTTACATTGTCATCATTGTTGTGTATTTAGTTATATATTTGAAAGGATTACTATATAGCATGATATTAAGCATTAGAAACTGTTACTCATTGGTTACGATCGAAGTTATCTATCAAAGAAATAAAGACAACAACAAGATAACAGTAAAGTATTTTAGTTAATAAATACGGTCCGGAAATATTCCAAGAGCTGGCGCTAGCACACTGACAAAATTATCTTTAAAATATATAAAACCTGCCCGTCCCGGCTTCAGACGGCTTACCAATTATATTTTTAAATATTTGACAATACATAAAGCCCAAATCAGCAATAATGTGGTAACAATTTTTAAAAAATACGGCCAGTAGCTTTTGTTATTCCCTACAAAAATACAAAAAATCTGTTTTACAATTAGTATAGATAAAAATACAACAACAAATTTTATAGGCATTTTGTCCTTCATCAGGCAAAAATTTGGTCCAATAATCATTTAAGTTATGCATACAAAGCTACGTAATAAAGTCACCAGCCCTGATGATATTTTTTATTAAACCTCAAAAGGAAACGAATGTTAACTTACTTAGAAGAAATCAAACCGGAGATTTATGTTATAAGTGCATTTACGAAAAGTAAAAGTGCACCACATTGGAAATTTAATTGTTAAATTATATGAAGATACCTCGATTAGTAGAGAAAACAATAAAATCAAAACCATCACTAAATCAAAAAGACCCATCACTATGTCAATCAAGAACTATGTGATAACTGAGACTATGTCACTGGTTCAGCGCACTGACTGGTCTTGCATTGTTCTTAAACAATGGTATTTATAAGATTTTAAAACAAACACAATTATTGAGGCGTGTGTTGGTAATGTAAGCTGTCTCTTGGAACAAGCATCATTGCAACGCCATGGCGTTATTTTTTTCTTGCATAGATAAGAAGAAAGAAACTAAAAGATAGAAGGTAGGCGATATTCTATCGTTGATAATTATAATGTAATTATTTATAATATAGTAAACATAACGTTTGATTTGTTATGGTAACTGTATGAACCAGACGACAGTTAATATATTAGAAGCAAAGCAAAGGAATTAAAGAACTATATGCCACTGATTTAGGAAACCTTTGCAGAAGAATGCGTCCATTTGGCACAGCTTTTAAAATCTGACACCGAGGCCGAGCATTATATTTCTGCTAGAACCCCAAAGGGTTTAATGCACTTAATAAAAAGTTATATTATGTTATGATATTTCATGCACGTTCCCGAATGTGGAGATAATATTAAGATTTTTTTGACAATGAGTGTTACCAACTGCAGCGGCAAAAGGTCTTTTTCAGCATTTAAAAGAGTAAAAAGTTACTTGCACACTCCGCCAGCAAAAACTTGCAGCGCTCTCGCTAATGTACATAGAAAAAAATTTTTTACAAACTTTTAAATTTGGAAAAATTTGCTATCGCTAAAGCAAGAAAAAGGCCTTTTGTGTACGCTAATAATAATAAGTTACTTAATTTTTTTAACAGTTGACAAAATGTTTCACTTGTTTGATTCCTCTCATCTTTTTTAAAGATAACAACAGAAGTGTAAAATATTTTAAAAATAACTTAAAGTCGAAGGAACATCACACACTAGATGACCATGTCTATGGTTAATAGCTGCAAAAACTAAGCTGTCCATAGAAACTAAGCCTAAGATTTGGTTTTCTACTTGGTAGCCTGTCATGATTTTGGTCGTATAGTGCGTGAGGTGCTTTGCCTTCGTGTAACGGTCAGCTAAACATGGTTACAAGTCGTGCAAATTAAAGGACATCGTTCGTTTCGCTTGCAAATCGATCTGTAAACTTTTATAGATAGTATGAACCATTTCACACTAGTACCTAAACAAAGTCAAAACTAATATACTACTTAATAAAACACTATTTTGACCGGATTGAAGTTATGTATTATTATAAATTTACAACTATTTAATTTAAAATTTATCCGACGTTTCGCGTGCTTTACAGCGTGCGTGGTCACGGTGACTAATATAATAATACATAACTTCAATCCGGTCAAAATAGTGTTTTATTAAATGAATAAAAGTTATGTTAATCAAAGACAATACTAATATACTACTTTTTAGACCGACCGTACCACACCTATCACCTGGCAGGGGCGCATCCTGATAAATAGCCTAGAGCGGCCAGAACTCTTGATCAGTCTCTGACTAGACTTCATACACAATAGAAATCAATTACATTCACAGTTGCTATATCAATAATATTGTTTTTGGCAGTTTGAGTCTTCCAACTTATTACATAAGAATTGACATTTCTTCTAATCCATCCTTCTATACTAATATTAGATACGAACTATTTTTTGGGTTGAACGTGCGATTCTGTCTCACAGAAACACTTCCAGACATTCGCAGTCGGTTCCAACACCAAATATAAGAGGGAATGGTCACGTGACGAAGTGAGAGTCAATTGTATGGTGCTGACGTCAGTCTCTTTCTTTTGTCTCAGTCTCCTGGTTCGACAGAAGGTTTTAGACTATATTATACTACGACCTTTTTTACGATTTTTTTAAATGTAGGTTCATACTGTTAGACAAAGAAGCGAGGAACTTGTTACCATAATATAACACGGGTTTACTCTATCTGTTTTATTAAAATTAAAACTAGCTCTCACGATATAATATGTCTTTACCGTGTCTATTTTAAACCAATTACTAAGAATTGAATCACAATAGCTATATAAAGGCGAAGCAGACAGGATATTTAAGACAAATTTAATATGTCAAGAATAATAACCCGTTATTGAAAGAAGAAATTCTACAGATGCTGAAAATTTCTTACAATATACCGCCCCTAAATGGACAATGAAAATTGATTTATTGGACAAACTAAATAATAAAAACATCCCTGTTTTCAGTCGATGCAGTCCATTCATTAATTATTAAGATCTGAAAGCTACGTTAGTAGAATTAGGATAAAAGATCTTGCAACAGTACAGTTGGTTATGATTTCCAAAACGTCGATAATGTTGTTTTGTTTGCAAATTTGTATACTACAGGAAAAACAGATGGTGCTAAAAGCTTTCTCACAGTTTTTTTCTGCGTTGAATGATTTTGCATTATTCTCCTTAGGGTAATCTGATCTTGCACACGTCTGAGATTTCGAGTCGAATGCTGGTTCCTCTAATACCCACTCAAGAAATTCCGCAGGTCGTCCGTGCCATTCCCGGCTGTTCCCCAAAGGATCTTTTTGCCTTTGTGCATCATGAACACTTGCTTGAACGCTGAATTTTAGTTTAAGTGTCTTTGATATTTCAAACTGGCATATTAATTATAGACGAGTGCCCCTGTCCGTGACACATGATTGAGGAAGACTGTATTAGTGTATAAAAGAAGAATGAGCAAAGCAATAAGCAATGTCGCTACTTGTAACGCCACTGGATCGTTCCATTACCTAAAGATGAACACGCATTAATTTAACAAAAACAAATGAATAGCGATCAAGAACTTTTTCCACTAGTCAAACATAATACTAGATAAGAGTGCAATAAACAATATTTCTTTATGTCATGGGTCAAGTGATTGTCAGTATCGCCTCTCGATGTAACCAGATTGAACTGGCTTCAAACGGTATTGCCAATAAATAATTTGTAAATTCTCGGGGAATTTCTCAACGTTAGGCAAGATTATGGTATCGTTAATTACACAAGTCGATTAATTATTCTATGCTTGTTACAATGTAATATGCCACCTGCCAAGTATAGTGATAAAATATATAGATTCAAATAATATAGAGAGATATTAGGCTTTTTAAAATATATTATTATTTTAATATAAAATAAATCACATACTTATATCTCGTATCTTGTATATATCGTAATATTTGAATTACGAACTGCAACTTTTAAAAAATATACCATCATTGCTTAGAGCTTCATTATTATATTATACTAGTGGACCCCACAGACGTTGTCCTGCATGATATTTAAAGCGATTAGGATATTAAGCAAAGTATGAAAGTACCGACTGCAGTGCCATCTGCCGGGCTGATTTGTGAATCTAAACCATTCCCAGATCCCCTTGAACACACACAAAAAATTTCATCAAAATCGGTCCAGTCGTTTGAGAGGAGTTCAGTCACATACACACGCACAGAAGAAATATTATATTATATGGACAAACTATAATTTTCTATAACTCTGTGACATAATTTAAAAAGGTGTGTGAAATATACACAGGTAATTAGGTAATGTTAATTATGTTTAGGTGACAATTTAATAAACGTTTATATCACATAGATTTTTCATTAAAAAAAACCCAAATTGTTCCCATTACAAACAAATCGCCCAAATTACGTTTATAAATTTTATGAATAATGTGTAACCGCTAATATAGGAAATAAGTGGCATACTTTGCACGTAGGTTAATAACTTAGAAATAAAATTGGCCTTTATCAAGTTAACGAGTTTGCGAGTCGAGTCCCCGTTCATAATGATAGGCCGGCTTTCTTGAACTATCTGAACTCATTCGATGAACGGCACAGAACCGCTTTGAACTGGTTATATGTCATATTTTAGTCTTTATTTATGTTATTCGGAATTGACCGCTTTGCAAATTAGGGTTAAGAAACCGGAATATTTTTGTTGATAAAAGGTTTGATAGGGGCAGGGGTAAATTCCCTTTCACAAAACTTATAATGGATTAGTAGTACAGCACAAGTAGGTATTTTGGGTTTATACCAAAATGTAGATGAATCTTTATAACACTACTTCCGTAACATTTAATGAATGTAATATATTAATACAATAAATACTTATACAGTAACTAGTGGACCCCACAGACGTTGTCCTGCATGATATTTAAAGCGATTAGGATATTAAGCAAAGTATGAAAGTACCGACTGCAGTGACATCTGCCGGGCTGATTTGTGAATCTAAACCATTCCCAGATCCCCTTGAACACACACAAAAAATTTCATCAAAATCGGTCCAGTCGTTTGAGAGAAGTTCAGTCACATACACACGCACAGAAGAAATATATATATTAAGATGTAGCGGTACAAAATTTAAAAAAAGTATGCAAATAAGTGATTTATATTTTGTAAATCATATATTTATTAGAATACAAACTCCTGAGTAATAAAAAATATAATTAAATGTAAATTTAGATTTTCCTTTTTTTATTGATGTTCATAAGTGTATAAAATATGTTTTTAATTTGATTTCAAATAATCTGACATAACTCCGATGAACTTATAAATATAAATTGGCACACCCAGGTCTTCAATTTGTTTCAATAAATATACACAGTTGTAATTGACTTGAAAAGACTCGTAAAATATTATAATATTTACTTGGCTTATCTTGTATTAAATATTTAAACACCAGCGCAGGATCGGGCAAATTTTAGACGTTTGGGGGTTTTTTAATTCGATTAAAAATTTAACTGTTTACAGTCTTCAAGTTCATGGTCTATCAAATGTTTCAGATGACAATCAAAACAATGACGAAATACCAAAGTCAAGGACGCAATGAACCTACAATTATTCCTTTATAAAGGAACGAGATCATAACTTCGTGTTAGTTTGACCACAGTCGTAAACGCGGTCGGGCGAAGATTACCTACTCAAAGATGCCACCCGTTGCTGTGCCTAATGAGGTAATACTCGATTTAAATTATATTTTTGTAAAAGCATTCTATTTTATAACCAACCAGCTATTCTTTTTTTGTTGTTATTTTTTTTTTAATTTTTAGGCGCCAAAAAAATCGCTTCGGATTGCAATTATCGGACAGAGTACGTTCGCGGCGGAAGTTTTTAAATTGCTTTTAAAGGATGGACACCAGGTCGTCGGTGTATTCACTGTCTTAGATAAAGGGAACAGAGAGGATCCTTTGGGTAAGCATTTTTAATCTAAACATATCTTTTAAGTTACCTCCACTTTAATGGTGATGTCAAATGTCAAATATTTTTTTGCTATTTGAGTCCCAAACATTGTTGATCTGTTGATAAATTTAACTTATTTCAGGATTACAATTGGTTAAGTAATAATCAGCAGACATTCATTAAAATGTAGGGCAATTATAATAAGCAAAAGTTTAATTATTAATAGTAATGCTGATAATATACAAAGTATAAATTAGATCAAATAGTATTTCCTCAAATTTAGATTACATTTCTTGCGATAATATTTTACCTCAATAATATACAGACATTGAAATATAATACATGTTCGTATACACTTATAATATATTTGTTTAGAATTTTTACGTTTTCCATGTTTTTTAAATAAAATAACATATACTTGACAAAATTTGTACATCAAATTGAGTGCTTTGCGTTAGAAAAATATAATTTAATGTAAGTGAATTATAACTTAAACGGTACAATTGAACCAATTGACACAAAATATAACATTATAAGTACCGTGAGCGGTTATAAACGAGCAAGGACTGCCTAATGCCTGACTATAATTTGTGTATATAATTAGTCAAATAAAATTCTTTTCAGCAACCATCGCGTCACAAAATGGAATACCAGTGTTTAAATACAAGAGTTGGAGAATCAAAGGCAAAGTTATACCGGAAGTTTTAGAAGAATACAAATCCGTAAGTTTTTACTCTTTAGCTAACGTTTTTTATTTAGTTACTTAATCTGTGGAGAAAATGTTTTTTAATTTTGTTCTTTACCGAATTAAAATTTCGACCATTAGTGTGAACTGTATTTAAAATCTAACGCTGGTATCTATTTTTTTATATCTTGTTGTTTACATTTTCCTATGCAAACGGCGTATTTTAATTTAATAGTTTCGATTTCTTTCTGGTATTTGCTTTTTACCGTCAATACAGAGTTAATATACGTTAATGATATGGGAATAGAAAAAAATAACCGAGATAACTAAACGTGCTAATTTAAATTTTACCTTTAATGATTTCTTATGATAATAATATTAGTTTATAGACGATCTTGGATCTCATTATTCAGAATATTTGCAAATGATTTATTACTCATATATGCTCGTAGTACTAGGAATGCAATTTACATTCTTAAGTTCTTATACGGAAATGCATATTGTGTGTCACAATATTGTACAACCAATTGTATTCTGGCTTCGGTCAAAATTTATATTCATTAGAAACAATTTTAAAATGTACAAAATATTTTATAATAAAATGATTTGATTACTAAAATAAGAACAAGAGTTTACGAACATTAAAAGATACAAGTACCACGTCGTAGATGATAACCCATACTTATCAGACAGCACGATGCGTGACAGTTTAACTGATATCAACTTACCTCTTATGGACTCCCAATAATCAATTAATTTAACAAATGTAAAATATAGCTGTCAACAATTTAAGATTGAAATGAATCGCTTTGGTATTTTGATTAATAATAAAAGGGGAAACATATTTTTTTATTTAGTGCTTTCTTAATTCGTTCTTTAAGGAAATAACGTACTGTAATTTACATTGTTTTATTAAACATATTTCATATTTACAATCAAGTATGTATACAGTATTTACAATTTTCTTAACCTACCTAATTAAAATAATTAAAAATAAAATCAACAAATTTAAAAAGATCCCTGTGGCAGTGTACCTTTAACGCTGGCAGCATTTCCTTGCTGTATTGCTATACTTATTCGTTAAGCCAGGAAAGTGCCAGCTCTGGGTCACCGGTAGGCACTATCTACTAGGCACCAACTTAAATCTTTTAGTGCACCTGTGCACTTGAACCCCACGGCCAAATAAAACGTACTGTTAATTGTATAAATCTAAAAAATATAAATTTATTATTATAGTCTTCCGTGAAAAACATTTTTAAGAATTTACTAGCTACATGACATTTTGTGCCTTGGATAAAGTTCCTTGTGCTTTATAAAATATAAATTAAAAATTGAACGAATTATGTTCGTGGTTCCATTTACCCAAGCCAAGCCCAAGTTTCGTTAATTGTGCTATTAAATATTTTGGTATAGTTCGCTCAAAAGGTAATTTAATTATTCTCTTTACTGATAACGTTACAGAATTAATTTATATTCTGTACGGTAACAAAGAATGCATAAGGCAGTAAAATAATTTAGAGCAGATATAGAAGGTAATAATAGAACAATTTGAAGTTAACTTTATGGTTTTCTTTAATTCATGACATTTACAATCAACATAGTAAGGTTGTATATCAAAAAACTAAATGTAACCAAGAGCAAAATTAAAGGGCCTCATAGCCTAGCGGTCTAATTAAGTGGCAGCTAGGTGAGGGGTACCGTGTTCGATTCCCGGTTCGAGAGCAAGTTTTTATTTAATTTAAATTTGTTCTCGGCCTTTGGGAGGGTTGTGCGGTACCGGGCGAGTGCTTAAACCGTACATGGAGGACACGGTCGAATTTCTAAGGCAAGCACGAATTATAAAAATCTTATACTTGACGCTGGCTAATAACAAACCGTGCCAGAGCCATAAAAAAAAGAGCAAAATTTTAAACAATATTTTTTGAAATTTCTATAGAGTATATTTACCAACTCACTTAGAACATGTACTTCTCGTTCGAGGATTTGTGTATTGTGTAACCAATAGTTTATGTAATATCGTGTGTATTTACATTAACCATTATAACTCTAATTAGTTTAAGGATACGGGTTTGTTATATAAATGTCGCTAAAGCATATTAGTTAAGTATTACGGAAAAAAACATTCTTCCGTGTTTTTTAAATTAAATTTCTTCTTTATGTCCTCCTCGTTTTGTTTTCTTATTAAAAAAAAGAACAAATTGCAAGACGCTAGTCTAAAAAGGTTGGACTAACAGCGGGATAATACAAATAGTCAAAACAGATTTCGTTCTGTTTAAAATGATTCTAAGAGCTTAACTTCTACAAACACATAAAATTACCTTTACATTAGAAAAGATTGAAGAAACCTCCGCAACTAGAACACGGGTAAAGACTTTCTTCCAATTTGATTTGTGGTGCAGGATTAATACCTTCTGAGAATTTAATCATGCATAACAATGATTGGCATTTAGTTATATAATACTAATTGTTGTATAATAAGCATATACAGTGAAATTAGTCTCGAGAAATTTTTGCATATGTAGTGGTGTGTATATTACTCAGATCTTAGAGCGCGTTTCCACTATATCGTTCTGGCCTATACAAAAATGTTTCGATATCCTAACATTACTATTTAATATTATACTTATCCCTAGCAACACTCTGATTTTTGTTATCAATAAAAACAAGTTTTTATTTAAAAAAAAGGTTTTGACTTTATAAAAAAAGGTGTGTGCGCGATTCACACACGATAGAAGTGAAACTTCAAAGAGGAGAGACCGATATATATTTTTTTTCCTTTCATCTAGGTTTTTAAAACTCCGGGGGGTCTACGGGGGGTCAAAATTTATTTTTGGCCTAGGACGCACCGTTTCCGAGATATTTCAATCTAAAGCAAAAAATCGTCACTTGATAGTGGAAAGTGGAAACACGCACAAAACCAGAATAAACCAGTTTACGCTGTCCGCAGGTGCCACGTGCAGTCCGGCGTCAGTCGCTTGGTACTGTTAGAACATAAAGCACACATTTCATTCAAAAATTATAATTATTACGTTAATTGTTAAATTTTGTATTTGTTGATTGTTGTTATTGTTTGTTATTATTGTTATAATATTTGTTGAAGTGTTTAATTTGTGTGTAAGTGTTGCAACTTTATATTGTTAATTAAAAATGGCTCCAGTGTTAAAACATGGTCGAGGCAAGCCTTTGACTTCTCAAACTAAAGAAGTTTTGTACTGTTTGTACAAATATTTCGAAAATGAGTGTAATAACAACCCGAGCAGTATTATGACTCCCACTCAATTAGTTGCTAAATCAACGGGAATTTCAATAGCATCCGTCAGAAAGGTAGTATCAGAAAGCAAATGTCGACCTTCAGATCAGGAAGTAACATTTAAATCTCCTAAAAAGAAACCGAATCGTAAACCTACAATAGTAATCGATAACTTTGATCAGCAAGTTATCAGAAGAACAATTCATGACTTCCACATCACAAATAAAGAAATTCCCACTTTGAAAACTTTGCACGCAAAATTAAAAGAAGATATCGATTATAAAGGTTGTGTCAGCACGTTACGAAAACACGTCATGTCATTAGGTTTTAATTGGAAGCAAACAGAAGATAACCGGAAACTTCTTATGGAAAAACACGAAATTAGATACTTGCGAATTAATTATTTGATGAAAATTGCTGAATATCGTGAACAACGCCGACCAATTGTTTACACCGACGAAACATATATACATACATCACATACCCTCTCGAAATCTTGGTCAGATGGAAGCACTTCAGGTTTGAAGCAACATATATCGAAAGGCAACCGCTTAATCATTGTTCATGCCGGTGGTATGGGTGCTGCGTTTACCACCATACCATCCGGAGTTTAATCCTATAGAAAATATATGGGGGGATAGTGAAAACATATGTCGCAAAAAAGAATGTCGCAATGAATATGAAGGTTATAATGTCATTAGCTGAAGAAAAAATGAACGCCATAACTGTAGAGGAATGGAGAAAAGTTTGTCTGCATGCTATTGAGGAGGAAAACAAATATCAGGGTAGAGACGCAGCTTTAGACACAATATCAGAACGAATCATAATTAATTTAAATAATTCATCTGATGAAAGCGAGGATGGGGATGATTGTGATATGCCTGGGGTTGATGAATTATTAGAATAAAACATTTATGGCCGGAGAACACCTAATTCATACACGTCTTCACTGAAGTGAAAACCGGCATTCACTGCTTGTAATATTTGGAACTGGCTTATCTGCCTCATACAGTTCCATAGATTACAATGCAGTGGATACACATTTTCACGTCCGTATTAGTACGTAGTGCGTATGCGTAGACGTGTACGCATTTGGTGTGCTCCAGCCACAAACGTATATTACCTTTAAAAAAATAAAAACTAAAAATAAAATGTTGTTTTTTTTTTTTTGCTGACCATACACTACTACAAACGCAAAAATTTCTCCAAGCTAATTTACCTGTACTTATATATTTAAATTTGAAGTAGATATGCTCTAAATAAATAACGCCTTCATCAGCATTACTTTGCACTTTTTATTAAATCATATAATTGTCTGAATATATGAATATGACATATATATTATACCACATACCTAACCTTTTCCATGAAGATGTGATGCCAAACTTTGCGTAAAGAGAGCGCGTATATTTTTCGCCGTACGTAACCCTTAATGTAGAAACAATATAAGTTAGATGTAAGCTAACATATTTTTAAAAGTCATTCATCATATGATTTTTTCTACGATTCAGCAATTGTCTTTTTTCACTTGTAAAATTTTGTATATTCAGGTACAAGCAGATTTGAACGTTCTACCATTCTGCACCCAATTTATCCCCATGGAAGTGATTCTCTACCCCCAGTACCAAAGTATTTGCTACCACCCCAGCATCCTCCCGAGACATAGAGGAGCGTCATCCGTAAATTGGTAAGTGGAGTTAGGATTAAAAACATTTTTATTTAGTCTTACAATGATATACAGTCAAACCTGAGTAAGTGACAACTGGGTGTGAGAAAACTCTATTAATGAGAGTATTTACCGGGTCCCATCATTTTTCCCTTCTAAAACCCCAGACAGTCATTTTTCACGAGTGAACCTTTATAAGTGAGATTGATAGTTGCCTATACTTCTGTCTTTAAGCAGTTGAACGCGTTTACTTTTGCTATTTATGGCACATTCTTAAATTTCGAGGGACACTTATTTAATTCAAACCAAATATGCGTCTGTTATTGTTTTCTTTAGTTTTATAGACCTCTATATGTGAGACAGACTCTTTCTGTAACTCTGTAAGCTAGAAACTCGGGTTACTGAGAAACCTTTATAAGAGAAAAAGAGGTCGCGGTCCCTTGAGCTCTCTCTTACCCAGGTTTGACTGTTTTAAAAAACTTTACAATCGGCAAATCTGATAAAAAATTAAAAAGAGTACATGTACTTTAATAGTGTCTTTACTTTCTGAACAACAGTGAACCTTTAATCCATAGAGAACATATTAACACAAGTTATTTCTTAATTTTTTACGTTATTGTTTTATATCACAATGGTTTTAGTATTGTATTATTTATTTTTAGGACCCTTATAGAAGGCGACACAACTTGTGGTCTTTCCATATTCTGGGCGGATGACGGTTTAGATACAGGACCAATTTTACTGCAAAAAAGTTTTCCGTGCACTATTGATGACACTGTTGATACAATTTATAATAAATATTTATATCCCGAAGGTAAGTTTACTGAGACAATAAATCAGCCATTAAAATTTATAAGGTGAAACAGCTCGGATTAACTGATTCCCGGGTAAAAATAAATATTCGGTTTTAATTGTCTAGCCCAAACATGATAACGAGTTACAGGATTTCATTCAGAACATTCTGTCAGTTCTCTATGCATTATTTTTTTTATGCCTTTTAGAATCATTGTTATATTACTAATAATATTTTACAGGGATTAAGGCTTTATCTGAATCGGTAAATATGGTAGCAAATGGTACAGCACCTAAAATTAATCAAACAGAGGAGGGAGCTACTTATGATCCAGCATTATTTAAGGCGGAGACGCATCAGGTACCATTTTAAAATGTTGCTATGCCACGCTGAATTAGTTCCAAATAAAGCATAATCCCTTAACGTACAGCCTGGTATATGAAATGTATATACATTTGCTGGGTTTTTGAAGCCAGATTAAATTATTTCATCAGCTTCGGAACTATATAAAAAACATCTAAACTCTTTTATTCTCCAAAATAAAGTAACATTAAACTAAAGTATACTTAAAGGATTGGTCCTTGAGGCAGCTACCCTTTTAACTAAGCAGTTTAACAAAAGTCATATTACAGATCGATTGGTCCAAAGGTGGTGTAGCCCTACACAACTTCATCAGAGGACTTGATTCGTCTCCAGGAGCCACCACTTTCATTAAACCACAAACCAAAGATAGTGAAAATGAAAATATTGAGATCAAGTTCTTTGGATCTGCTCTATGGGAAGGCGAATATGAAGCAGAGGGAGATGTTATTATTATACCTGGATTAGATAAACCGGCTGTGATACATGACGGTGGTTTGCTGATTACAGCAAATGATGGTGTAAAGGTATGTAGAATTGATAGCTAGTTGATGTGTAGATTTATCCATTGTTTAGCTTTATAATTTAGTATTTTGAGAGCATTACACGTGGAGGAGTTTTTGAGTTGTTGATATAGAAGGTGTCTTTCTTATAATTAGTACCCATGACAAATTGGTTGAAGTGATTATTAGTTACATGCTTAATTAATAGCAAATAAAAGTAGAGACAAATGAATTGACTTAATTTTCTTAGGTAACGGTAACATAAGTGTGTATATCTTAATTTAACGTAACGATTATAGAAACTTCGATCTAAGCTTGAAGCATTCGTCCAAGTTGGTCCAACTGTTGAGTCGTACTTTTAAGCACATATAAAAATTTTAAAATGTGTAAATTTTTCAGTTAAATATACAAAGATTAAAAGTTAACGGAAAAATGATCAACGCGCAAAATTTTTACAAAGCTAATGAAAACAAAGTCTCACTAGAGTTAACTGACGAAGAGAAGCAATTCGTTGAGAACGCTAGAAATATTTGGAAAGCAATACTTAGAATCGACATAGACAATGACACGGATTTCTTCGACTCGGGAGCAGGTTCCATGGATGTTGTTAGATTAGTAGAAGAAATCAAAGACTTAGTTAATGTAGAACTACAAAACGAAGATATTTATATGAACACAACGTTTGAAGAATTTTACATGATAGCAATTTTAAAAGCAAGAGGAGATTCGAGTAATCAAGAAATTAAGTACGAAGGTGTTGAGATGGAAGTTAACAAAATGAAAATAAAATTCGCAACACAATTGTTCATTGATGGACAGTTTGTTGATTCTGATAGTGGAAAGACATTAACATTGATTAATCCAAGTGACGAGTCAGTTATATGCAAAGTGCAGAGTGCGTCCAAAAATGATGTTGATAAAGCTGTAAACGCTGCGAAAAAGGCATTTGAAGAAGGAGAGTGGTCGAAAATCAGCGCCAGGGAACGTGGACAGATTTTATTCAAGTAAGTAAACATTTGTAATTTTTTCTTTCGTTTTTGTTGCTCTGTAAAAAAATATTATTCAAAGTACTTCAGTCTTTAAGGATTTATAAATTTTATTTTATAGTAATGCAAAATTAATTAAAACTTAACAGAATGTAATAAAACTACCAAAACATGCGTAGCATGAGTTTAATATTAAACAGCTTATAGATATGAAAATAACCCAAATAAACATATTATGTTCCGACAGAATTCAGGTAAATCTAAAACTATTAATAATTTTCAGGTTAGCAGACCTTATGGAGCAACATAAAGAAGAACTAGCCACTATAGAATCGATTGACTCAGGCGCAGTATACACGTTAGCTCTCAAAACTCACGTGGGTATGTCCATTGAAACCTGGAGATATTTCGCGGGATGGTGTGACAAAATTCAAGGGTCTACTATCCCCATTAATCATGCCAGACCCAATAGAAATTTGACTTTAACGAAGAAGGAACCAATAGGTGTCTGTGCGCTTATCACCCCATGGAATTACCCACTCATGATGCTTTCGTGGAAAATGGCAGCATGTTTGGCGGCTGGCAACACTGTTGTTATGAAGCCTGCAGCGGTAAGTTTTGTTGTAACTGTATTGTTTCCATTCTTAAAAGAGGTCGTGATCATGCCTTCGAACACTGGCTATACACATATATATATTTTAGTTTCTATTAAATAATTAACATGCACATCAAGGACGTAACTTGGTGAGGAATCGGGATCTCTGTTGTGACTGAGAGCTGATCACCTACTTTATTTAAAGAAAATATTAAATGAAATAGATGCAGAAATGTGAATCCAAAACCTATTATGCGTTGCAGCGCCACTGGGTTTTTATTCTTAAAAAAATATACCTATTATAATTCGGTGACAAAATATAGCACACTCGGAAGACATGCGAGACAAATTCATTTCATTTGCCTTCATGACATTGAATTTAAAATACTGTCACTAATGTAATGGAAATTCTCTATTCCTATTGAAATTTAATTTGGCTTTATACTAATTCATTTATGCCGCAAACGGTTTTATATTGCTATTATAACTTCTATCTTTTTTATATACTCAAACTTACCCGATTTACGTTACAATATTACTTTATTTTAGGCGTGTCTCAGCCAAATGGCTTAAGCGTGAGCACCTGAACTCATGCTTTTCAAAAAATTGGATTTTCGATTAAATCCATTTTTTTTCAACCTAATTGTTAAAAACTTTGTTTTGTTCAGTGTTAATGCTCACTCCAGTGGGTCCACTGAAAATCAGTGTGGCTGGTGAAAGCAACCCAAAGTTGAGTTGGGCCCATTTTTTTATTAAAACTGTTACGACTATCGGTTTTTACGACCAAATATGAGTAGTCCATTCGATGTCGTTATAACAGATTTTGACTATATGTGTTTTAGTCAATGCTTTTTCTATCTTTCGAATGACGGCGTTGCTACAGTGATGGCAAACATTGTCAAGAAATCGGCCTAGAAGTAGTAGTAGACATGAACGTCTAGTATCTACCTACTTGTCTATAAACTAATATTAGTAACAAGACTCACGTAGTGTTGTTGCACCCTTAGATTATTATTATTATCAATACTTCGTTAAAACTAAACCGAATGCACATTCTAATATGTATTTATACAATTTCCCCCAGGTTTGTCCACTTACCGCTCTCAAATTCGCTGAACTATGCGTACGCGCCGGGGTGCCGCGTGGTGTAGTGAATATTCTCCCAGGAAGTGGCACGGTCTGTGGTCAGGCTCTGGCTGACCATCCACTGGTTAGGAAACTTGGGTTCACTGGTAGTACTGAAATTGGTAAGTGTGTATCTTTTGATTTAACGGACTCCGTGACTAAGGGGCCGTTCAAGTATTACGTAACCAGATTTACTGCAATTTATCCAATTATAATAGTAGATAAACGTATTAATTTTTTGTAGTAATCCTCGAAAATGCATTTCGTTGTACACATTGACAATGTGTGGGTAATATGTGTAAAAAAGTAAATAATTACTGTTGACGTAAACACCAAATAAGAAAATCAAAGCCTACTCATATAGTACTTACGTAATAGGTACTTGAACGGCCCCTAATTGGATTTCTGGCGAAACAATAAATATTTCTGTTTGATATACATAATGGATGGATCCTATGGTGGTCCTAAAAACCATTAATGAAATGAAGTCAGAAATATGTCTGCGCTATGCAGTTGTATGTTAATAATAAAGAGGTCCCACACAACTGGATACCCTTAATATTTTCCGTATCTTGCAAGTACATGCCGCTTAGTTAAAGGATAAAAAGTCTACCCTTATTTTCATGTTTATTTATTTATAGGAAGAAAGATTAATAGAAAGACACACAGGAAAAAAAGTTACACAAACTAGAACCAATGTGTGCCCTCGATAATAGGTGCGAACAACAGGCACAAACATTTAAAAAAAAAGAACCTAACAGTCAAGTGCTAACAGAATGCCTTTCCTATAATTGATAAAAATTACATTAAAAGGACAGATAAATACAATTGTGTTTTATAAATGATATATGTTTCAGGTCAAACGATAATGAAATCCTGCGCAGCGTCCAATATGAAAAAGGTGTCGTTAGAGCTGGGTGGAAAGTCACCGCTCGTGATATTTGACGACTGTGACCTGGAAAAGGCTGTTAGGAATGTGAGTATCTTCTTTCGGAAACCTTTTACTGACGTAACGCATTTGAATGCTGTACTTGATTAAAGTAATAGTGACTGTGATTTAATGGAAATGTATTGATTTAAGATGCCTCAAAATGTACTGTAATAACTGTACGGGATATTAATAAAAGACAAAAATATGTCAGTCCCAAACATGGACGGGGATTTCTTTCTCGCTTTTTGAAGTTATACTTCTTTTGGCGCGTTAGGTAAAAATGATTAGAGTAAATTTTTACGATGTGCGCGCACACCGTCACAAAAAACCGACACCCTGACGTTAGCCATAGTTAATATTTTAGTTTATTCTATTGTTAGTGTCGTTTTTTCTACAAACGTAGAATAAAAATTTTCGGAAAGATCTTGTTACGCCAAAGAAGTTTAACTTCTAACGCCTGTTCATAAGTACACACACATTTTTTTAATTGTAGCTGTTACAAAAAAGCTTTTGTTCCTGATTATTACAGATACTACATGAAATCATAATCTGTCAGTTTACCAGTAGATCTAAAACTTTGTGTCTACACACAAATCTCTTAAATCTTATTCATAAAATTAAATTTTTGACTGTGAGACCTTGTAGAAAATGCTACCTCCTCCGACCCTATAGGAGGTTAATTTTGCTAAAGTAAAAATACGTTGTACCTAACCTCTTTCGTATATAATACAACTTTAGTAACGGTTTCTATTTATTTTTTGATCCTACAGCATTGTGAAAACTCTGTACGAAATATTGTTTGCGTTGTTATAAATTATATCTTCATTGCTTATTTTTCCTCCTGAATTCCTCCAATTTTCAACTCTCCTACTGCATAGTAAAAGATCCCACTTAAAGTGGTTGAGGGCCCAGCACGCTTTCACTACGTGCTCATAATTAATAACAATAACTTAATAAATAACACAGAATAACAAATGTATTCATATTCTTAGGGTATGGCATCAGTATTCTTCAATAAAGGCGAGAATTGCATAGCAGCCGGTCGTCTATTTGTAGAGGAGTCCATACACGATGAGTTTGTTAGAAGAGTTGTAATTGAAACTAAGAAGATGAGTATCGGGGACCCCCTTAATAGAGGAACAGCCCATGGCCCCCAAAACCACAAGGCACATATGGATAAATTGATTAAGGTAATTTGGGTAAATTGATAATACATACAAAAGTTTTGCTTTGATACTCGAATTATTTCTGAAAAACGTTTTGAATATAAACACAATATTTTCTCAACGTAACGCCCTAATTTAAAGTGACATTTAACGAGACTTAGATGGTTCCCGTATGTCAAAAACGTGAATTTTGACATTTGCGAGCCATAGTTCGCGCTAATATTCTGAATCTTGGCTGAGATGAGACATTTCTATAATTATTGGTTCATGTTTGTAAAAATAAGTTTGATAAAATCTATTTCAGTTCTGTGAACGAGGCGTAAAAGAGGGCGCTAAATTAGTATACGGCGGTAATAGAGTAGACCGACCAGGCTACTTCTTTGAACCAACAATCTTTACTAATGTCACAGATGACATGTGGATAGCGAAAGAGGAATCGTTCGGGCCCATTATGATTATTAGCAAGTTTAATAGCAAGTAAGTAGCGTGCAATTCAACGGAAAACATTATAGACAAATGTTGACTGAATTTAAACGTTGACGTTTATACGATATGACCGGTCTTAGTAAAGGTGTAGCGTTAACCTATAAACTGAGGCTACAATGAGTACTATGATATCTTAGTAATAAGTTATTCCGACTGCTAAAGATATATATAACTTCTTGACCTTAGCCACTAAAGCTTTCGGCTAGTCACTAGTTAGACTGGTAAAAAATTCTCCATTTAAGTCGGAGGATAAGCAGGACCTTCCTTCCTCCACAAATGGTTAGCCAAAATACAAAGGCTAACCTGATGTTAAGTGCTACCGCCGCCCATGGACACTCTCAATGCCAGAGGACTCGCGAGTGCGTTGTCGGCTTTTTCATTTTAAAATTAATTTGCTTGTCAATTCTACGGTTGAGCCATATATAAACTAAACAACAACGAAGCGTAAATAAACAGCAACGAAGTGTAAATAAATAAAAATAAAAAATAAATAAACAAAGCTATTTTAAAGATACTATGTATTTTTGATAGCATTTCAAACGAACCTCATGTCTTTTGTTACTGAAACATGTCAGGAATTAGATCGTGGGCGCCAGATTGATGCCATATATACTGACTTTAGCAATGCCTTTGACAAAGTCAGTCACGCGTTACTGATTCAGAAGCTTCGTGGTTATGGAATGGGAGAGAATTTGCTAAACTGGTTTAGGTCCTATCTTCGTAACAGGCCTCAGTCAGTAGTTGTTGGAGGCGCTGAGTCTACTCCCTATATTGCGCGATCTGGTGTACCGCAAGGATCTCATTTGGGACCGTTGCTATTCTTACTATTTGTAAACGACGTTAAGAATCATATAAAGCACTGTAAAGCGTCTCTCTTCGCTGATGATTTAAAAATTTATAAAGTTATTAACACTGTCTGTGATGCTGCTCTAGTGCAAAGTGACCTTAATGGTATACAACATTGGTGCTTTTTAAATGGTATGATCCTCAATATAAATAAGTGCTTTCATATTAAATACACAAGAAAAAAAAAACACTTGTTACTGTGTATAAGCTTGACGGCGCGCCATTGAAGGAGGTTCAGGAGATTCGTGACTTGGGTGTTATTATTGACAAAAAATTAACGTTTACATCGCAGGTCAATAAAGTAGTCACCACATCCGCACGAATGCTTGGATTTCTTAAACGGAATGCGGATTGTTTTGGTTGTACGACTAAAACAATTTTGTGCAACGCTCTGGTGCGCAGTCATGTTGAGTTTGGTAGTATTATATGGAATCCACTATATGCGATCCATTCGCAACGCGTTGAAAGCATACAAAGATCTTTTACGCGACACCTAGCTTTCATAAGCAGAGGATTTTCACATAGACAACCGTACCATCAGCGACTTAAAAAATTTAATATGTTATCTCTTAACAATCGGAGAGCTCTAGCCGGTGTTATATTCTTGTATAAATTGCTCAACAACCATTTACAGAACAGTGACCTTTTACAGGAAATCAAATTTGTCGTCCCTTACTCATTCCCTAGGTTTAAAATTAACAATATATTCCAAATTCCATCTGCCAAAACCAACCTAGGAGTTCAGGCACCTCTCGTTCGAATTCTTCGCGATTTCAACAAATTGAACACAGCGTATCCAGAGCTGGATATATTCGGTAGTGGGCTGATCGATTTTAGAGAAAGCATTGTGGGGTGCCTTTCTAGAACCTAATTTCGCTGTTTTTCTGATGATTTTTCTTTTTTTTCTGCACATAGTTGTTGAAAATTTTATTTTATGTTTATGTTAAAAAATTGATTTTATTTTAATGTGTGCTTGCATTGTCGTGTTGTCGTTTAGTTGTGTTTTTTTTTTAAATTTCTATTTGATTTTTTTACTGAGAAACTTATGCTTGCATTAACTGTCACACATTTTAGATGTGGGATTTTGTGAAATAGTTGGTGGACTTATGACTGTGTGTGATGTTGTGGGCTTGATAACTAAATAAATAAATAAATAAATAAATAGCATTTAAGTATTATAAGCAGCAAAATGTATGTCTTGATATCTTTTCAGAAACATGGACGAAGTTATTCGTAGAGCAAATGACACAGAGTATGGTTTGGCTAGTGGTGTATTTACAAAAGACGTCTCCAGAGCTCTGCAGTTCGCAGAAAAAATAGACGCTGGAACAGTCTTTATTAACACTTATAATAAGACAGATGTTGCTGCACCCTTCGGCGGTTTTAAGCAATCCGGTTTTGGAAAGGATCTCGGTAAGTTAGGGGTATGGGACCAACTATAATTAACGAAATAAATCATATCCTTTTTAACATCTCTTATTTAAAAGTATGAATATTCTAAAGAAATAATTCATGTTTACGAATGAAAATACTAGGTTCGAGAACTGTCAAATGTCTATGAAGTTTGACATTTATGGTAATGCTTGAGAATCGAGCAAGTCTTGAAATACGTATTAATTTTATTACTTTTGTGTTTCAGGTCAGGATGCTTTGAACGAATACCTCAAGACGAAAACTGTTACTATAGAATATTAGGATGTCTTAGAATTAAAATAATTTTAAAATAACATTATAATGTAAATTTATTTATAAGTTATGTGAAATAAAACCAAAAATAATTGTATTTAAAACATTTTTTTTAATACCTCCTTATTACTTTGGAAAATACGTTCTCATCACTCTACTCGTATTTAGATAACTTAAGTACAAATAGTAAATTTTAACTAATATTTTAGAATAAAATAAATCAGTGGCGTATGGGTGGATCTTAGCGTGGTAAAGCGTCGAGCATGATTAGACAAAGAAACTTAATACTATCTAAAATAGAGCAATGCAATAATGGCGGAAACATACTACTAAAACGCGACGCTACACCATGCCATCCGACGCATGTCAGTACTTATCAATCCCATATATTTAATATGGTCAGGTGCACATAGACAACACGCCATGTGATCACACGCCGCAAACATCCAATCGATTTGGATCAGCGTGTTGTCGTGTTGTTGACGCCAAGCGTCAAACGTTCGAGTTTTTGGCACAAATGTCAATTTATATACTTACATATTTTTGGATTTATTTATTTGGCGAAATGAACGACCAACAATTAATTGAGTTGGTGAAACAATATTCTGTTCTATATGACATGAGATTAGCTCAATACAGCGACCATACTGTAAGAAATAATGTATGGGAAGAAATAGCCGAACAAATGAATACAAGCGGAAAGTTTTAATAAAATATTATATTACAAGACTTTTGTATGAGTTGCAAGTTTTTAATTTTGTCTACCTTTCCTCACAATATCAAGCTGCCACGGAACGGCGCCTTCACCACCTAAATATTCCTTAAATTTGTTTCTTACTGAAAATGCATACTGTGTGGAATTTCTACGAATTGGATTTAAGTCGTGGTGTCGCGTGTTGGTAATGTGCACGATGGACATCGGGTGTCGACACGTTGCGTCGCGTGGCGTTTTAGTAGTATGTTTCCACCTGCTAGCAGACAGACTTTGTGACAAGCGAGACCTAGGGCTAGACAAACTCACTTTTGGACAGGCGTGTGTGCCTTACTAACGTTGAACGAATTTGGGAATGCTATTAGCTCACGCTTTATCACGTGACCATTTCGTTTGGCGTTAATGAGTCAGGCCTCTCGAAAAGTAATTTTGTTGAGGCAATTTTTTTTATTACCTAATTTTTAGGAATTCAATCATGTCAGCCTATATCATTCGCATAACAACATAATTAATTATTTGATATATAAAACCATGACGTGGGCTCTATTTATTATCATCGTTTTATTTAAACAACTTTCGATCTTAATATAGATTTTAGTACTATTAAACAGAAAATATTGTGAGGTTTAATTCTGCTAAGAATTTGCTTTATACTTAAATTAAAATTTAACATTCATAATTTCGTTAATGTACAACGTCATGTTTTTACGTGTTAATTATTATATATTATTCTGAATTTACACCAATTCACAATACTTTGATCAAAAACAGTCTCCGACGAAATTCAACTTCAAGACAGTATTAGGATTAGACAGACGAAGAAATATTTACAAGCACGCCACGTGCTTGACTTTCCATCCTCTTTTGTGGCATCCGTGACGAATAAAAATCGATATTCTTAAGGGATTTCTTTCTATATTGTATATAATAATCATTATATTATGCAAGTTGTTTTTTTTATGGCAATAGTTTTAACTGTATGACAATTGACAGTTACAAAACCTTTTTTATTCCTTTTTAAATTTTACTTCATAACGCTTTTTAAAGCCTAAGGCTAAGGCCCATGTTGTATACAGACGACTACCAATAATAATTATTATAATGTTATGAGTATGAATAATTCGAAATATATTACATTTTATGAATTACATGCCACAACTATGGAATAAAATATAAAGTTACGATGTATTTTTTATATGCTAAATTCTAGAAACAAGAACGTTTGCCTCTGCAATCAAGAGGACAGAAATGTTGTGGAATACATTTATAATTTATACTTTAACTTTATACAGACGACTATCTTAAAATTTTAATGATCAACGTGCTGTTGTCTGTCAGCTCTCAAGTTGACAGTTTTAACTGTCAGTTCACAGCTGTAACATATTTACCAACCTATACTTCGCCTTACGAAAATCACTTTAAAACAGAAAGGTAACACAAGAGTTGTCGAAAATTAGTAAGTAAAAGTAGCAAAAATGGTAAAGGTGCCACCGCGTGATCTTTCGCCCTTTTTGCAAGCGTTTAGAAATTATCTTCTCGGCGTAAGTAGCATTGTTTTGGTGTGTTATTATGTAATAATTTTTATTATCCTCTTGTTAGAAAAATATTTTTAATTTTAGAGAAAATTTACGAATGCATTGAGGTTCGAGCCGTTTCTTGCAGCTCGAACTCAGCCACCTCCACAAATTCCTGATGGAGTCTCTCACAAGTTGGTATATAATTTGTAAACATAATTGATTAACTTTTTAATATCAATAACTTGTAAAAATTTGTGTTTAATCAGGAGGAATAAAGGTATCAGCTATAACTGAGATACATTGATATGAAAAGATATTCAAATTATGGTTTATTATTTAAAATCTTAACTTAACATTAATTAATGCTATATCGACTTTCATGATAAACCAAAATCATAATAGTAAAGTAGGTAGTGCAGTTGTGACAAACCACAAAATATAAAAATTCATCCTGATAGCATATTTGTTTAAACATTCCAGACATGCACACAATTACTACTGTTCCCGTGATGCGCGAAGAGAAGTAGCACCACCCCTTGAAATATCTACTAAATTGTTAACAACTGGAGCAGAAAAAGGGTAAAAACTTTGATCAACTGATTAAGAATTTATATGTTAGAGTATGTAGATTTAAATAGTTCAAAGTGAAGGACCAGATCCCTAAATAATGTTGTATTTGGCATAGATTTATATATTCTATCTATTTTACAAAGTGTCTAAAAGAAATGTAATGTGATTAATGGAACATATTTCACATACAGTGTCTCAAATCTTTATAACGTCATTCGTTATAACGAAAAAGTTGAGTTAAATGAGTTCAATTTATTTGATTGAACCCAATACTTCTTCCTTCCCTATAACGAATAAAAATGCTTGGTCCCTTGAAATTGGTTATAAAGTGTTTACACTGTACCTATTTTTAAACAGTTTTTTGATGTTAAAACAAAACAGTAAAACTTCGTACATAAATATATAAAAAAAAGTTACTTGTCATATTACTTTTAATGGACTGTACAAACTTTACTTTCAGTGAAGCAAAGACAGCTGCAACTGTGAGGCCTACACCTGGCAAACTATTCAACTGGGACAAACACTATAATTAAAGCAATTTTAGAATTATTGTGAATTATTTAAATGAGTAAATAGATTTATGAATCTAATAGTTTTTCTTAAGACAGTATCAGGTATAAACACACCTATCAAAGCATTTTTTGTGCAGAGTAACAGATTGTGTAAACATTCTTAGTAATTCAAACATTAAATGATAATCAACAACACTCAAAATAAGATTAAAATCTAAAAGCTATGTGTGAAAAACTGACAAAAAGTTATATTTGTGGAGACATGAAATCAACTATCACGAAAATCTTTGCCATTCTTCATCGATTGTTTGTCAAGCTTGTATTATTTATTTATAAAAAGGAAAGTGTTCAAAATATTTAAGTGTGTAAAAGACCATTTATTACAAAGTTTATTATCATTCACAGACACATTCATAAATACTAAGAGAATTCTTACAATGCAATCATAGCTCTGCTATGCCAAATTTACCTCCACACTAGCTGATTAAAACGCACATATTGTTTATCCAAATTCCACTAAATATTCATAAAAGCTGCAAACTGAGGCTAAAAAATTAACAATACATGAGTTTTAATCAGTCTCAATGTCTATATAGGTCTGATATCTTAAGCTGGCGGCTTCAACACATTTACACTTTGTGCTTGTGTAGTGTCTGTGAATAAGCGCGAGGCGTGACGTCACACTGAATATGCATCATGAAAAGTCTGTCCGTCTCTCGCGCTCGGTCAAGCTTATGAGTATAAAAGAGAGAGTTATTGTTTTGCTTTTGCTACTGATTATAAATACATGTTGATCTTTTTTCTCATTATTATTTTGTCTGTGATTGTTTACTTATTTGGTTGGAAGTTAGAATACTTAGAAAAAAATGTCTTATGAAATAATTGGTTCTTATGAAACATTAACAGAACAATCTCGTGAAATAGTGTACAATGTTTTTCATTATTTTAAGCACCTTAATAAAAACAGTTTAATGAAAGAATTGTTAGTTAAGTATGTAATCAAAATAATATTATATTATCGTATAATATATTATATCCAGAAAAAAACACAAAACCCAACCCACCCAACCTTACTAAAACCAGAGTAAACTAAATATAGCTTGGCAAAAAAGTCATATTTTTAAACATACTGTATAGTGAAATTGCATTAGTGTGAGTACTGTGAACGCGCCAGCTTTCGATAACCGACCTATAAGCCTTAAAATACGTATTTGTCAGGATTTATTATTTTTTTAATCCATTGATCAAAACAGTGTATCAAACTTGTTTGATAACAAATTTTAAGTTTACCACACAAAACACATAATAATAGTAGGTTGCTAATTACAAAGATTCCAACTCGTAACACTAGCATTGTTACTTCAAGTAACAAATATTTTAAAGAATCTAATCACTACTGCTATCAGTAGTGTTAGGGGTCTTGATCTTCATATTTGAGAACATCCCAAAGCTAAACTTGTGATTAGGCCTTTGCCTCCTAAACCTTTGTCATTTCTCTCCATCCACCTGTTTCCTGAATTGCATGGCATCACCAAAGGCCTTTTTCACCGCTTTCCTCTCGGTTGGTTTTCTTGATTCAACCATTTTTGCTTGATCTACTGCTTTATCGAGGCCTAAAAGTTCTAATTTATTTGGAGGAAGCCATTGCCAAGTTCTTTTAACGTCAAAGAATAGTACAAGGTAGAGTATTGGTTCATGAGCATAGTTTTTCTTCAGGTTAAGAACATCTTGTGGAGGTACGGGGAGTGGGACACCATTATAAATAAAACCTTTTGGCATTTTTGGATCAATGATTAGTGCGGGATACCATGGGTAGCCTCTGAAAATATAGATTTCTTTTGGTTAGTACTCTAATATTAGACTTTTTTGTGATACAAAATGGAATTTAAATACTTCTAGATAATCGGATTGCAGTTGTACAAATATGTTTTTAATTAAAATAATTTTAGATTCTCCATTGTATTATAATAGGTAATGGTGATTTAATAATAATAAAAAAAACCAAACCTGCATTTAGCCCATACAAGTTGCAGTGGTTCCATTATTACATCTGGGGTTGATGTCTTTAATGGCGTCTTTGAGGTAGTAGACCTGGTGCCACGACCCTATTTATAAATTAAAAGATTAATTAAATTGAATCATAATAAAATAATTTTAATATTAGAAATTAAAGTTATTTTTAATAATAATATTAGTTTTTGATATATCACGTACACATATCTGATATTTATAAAACATAAGTATTCACTTAAAATAAATATTTTTTGTAGCTCTTGCGTTATAGTCTAGTAATTCTATATGGTTTTGTTACAATTTCAAAGTTATAACCATAACTAATAAATGTTTTTAATTACTTTTTGTGGTGTAGTAGGCGTTTCCCTTTCCGACTCGGCATTTCTCGTTCGTCTCGCGGGACGCCGTTTGTCCGAGCTCCCTTCGACGTTAGATTCCAATGTGTCATTGCAGCTTGAACTATAGAATGTAAGTTTTTACAAAAAAGCTAAAATCTTTATACTTTTATGGCGAGACGGATCGGTGAATGAATTTTAAAATTGCCTTAAAAATAGACACAGAAACGTGTTCACAGATTGATTGTGTCCATTACTCATATCACGATATATTGCTATTAATAAGATTATTGGTCGGTCATTGTTTGAGATATATCAGAAATATAATGCTGTCATTAAAAAAATCAATTAAAAAATACATATATACACACACAATATATAATACTTAAAAAATTCAATACTTCGATTTATAAAGCGCAAAACTCACCCTTCAGCATCAGACGAAGATAGCGAGCACGTACGATCGGACGCGTTCTCGTCGTCATAGTGCGTACACGACGAACACGACTTTGACCACACCGAACTACTACTCGATGACCTGATATATATTATAATCATGAATTAATATTAAATTTTATAGGGATATAACTTGCAAAGCAGTTCTGACACCATGACTGGTGGTGGATATAACATGCTAGGTGGGGTTTTGACACCCTGACCCTGGTGGCACTGCTCTTGGAGGTCGTGCATTCAACTTTATCAAGACTTTAGTGAAGGAAAACAAAAAAATCGACACTAACAAAATATATAAGGCCAAGAACAAGAATGACACTACTGATTGGGGAAAAAATAACGATAGTATATTATAGAAATATTAACTTCAGCTTTCGAATATATTTCGCGATGAGTTAAATTCAAACAAAATTTCTTCGGTTTAGGAGATTCAAAAATTTATTTTTATAAGACATGCAGAAATATATCTGCCCCATACGAAACTTCAGAGTTTACCTGGATAAGGCCAAATCGCTATCAGATCCAACTTCCCCAGGAGGTCCACGGTATTGCAGAAATGAGGCCGGTACTGGGGTCTTACTGTCGCCCGTGAGCGATGACCTGTAGTATTTTTTTATTCATAAACCAGTAACAATCTTTATTTTGTTAATTAAATTAAAAAAACAGTATTTTAAACAATTAAATAATTTTTAATAATAATAAAATAATAAATAAATAATTAAAAGCTATCTTATAATGGTAAAATTTTGTAAATCTATACTAATTCGATACAGAGTAATGTTTACCTAAACAAATCTGGCGAAGTGGGCTTGTCCTTATCTTGTTTCCGGGGTCGACCACGCCCCTTTTTTCTCGGCTCCGGTGTGCGTCCCAGGCTGGCTGATAATGTAGGCAATGTTGCTATAACATATGTACTTATTCATAAACAGTCTAATTCAGTTCATAACACTAATAAGAAACACTAAAAAGTTTATCAGAAAGATAGACGATGCAATAACACTGAGTTTTTGGAAAAAAACAGAATGCTTTTCTGAAATAATCTTTTGTCTCATTCTATCAAATTGTAGTCACGCTATGATGAAAAGAGAAGCATTTTGTAATATCTGTAGTTTGTTCTGATTAAGTTTTAATAAAAATGTGGGTTGCGATTGTCCGACCAAGTTACTGGTGTAAATAAACTAGCCTCGATGTCTCAAACCAAGGATTAACTAAGAATTCTTAACCAAAGTCACGAGTCATTTAAGAGCTTTTGGTATTGATTGATAAAGCGTGTTTTGTTTAAATTATATGTTCGAGTTATAACTAAAAAAAGTAGATTGTAGAAGGTACTTTTTTATTGACACAATGTACAGATACCGGCAAACATCTTGAACAAATGTCATTGCCTGCGCAGAAGCGATTTTTACGTATCACTGGGAGGGGGAGGGGGGCGGTGGTGCGCGGCGGCGGGAGTGACATGTCGATCGCGTGATTGGTAAATCAGTTGACGTTTGTGTTTCGCGCTGCGATACGATGCGCAAACTTTCCCCCACTCTCTTGTTTAATGCTCAAGAAGTTTGCCGGTATCTGTATGTTTTTTTCATAATCGAAATTAAATATTATGTTTATAGATATTATATATATGGCAAAATTGTGAAATAAACGTTTTGATCCGGTATTGAAGTAGGTAAATAGGTTTCGGTAATAATCGGTTATAATGGAGTTACCATCAGCACCAAAGCTTCGGGGTGGTGTCGTGATCGTTGAAGGCGGCACCAGCAACGTTGGCTTCCGAAGACCACCTAAAAGACCTAAACCTGTGAATTATTTATTTAAGATTTAAAATTATGTCCATTTATCGGTCTAAAATTAAATGTATCTTCATATATGTCGGCCACTACTCGTACTAAGCTGTAGCAGCGTTATTTGGCGCCATTTCTACGTTTGAATAAAAAACTATATATTTGAATAGGTATTTCTATGGTTTATGACATATTCCAATTTTCACTAACCTGTGGTAGCAATATTTGGAGTCGGAATAAAAAATAAATCAAATTATTTATTTTTTGAAATTTGTGTCACCATTTCTATGGTTAATTACATATTTAAATTTTCTCTAATTTGTGGTAGCATTATTTGGTGCCATTTACACATGAAAAACGTTTCTCAATTTACTCACCGCCATACTTTTTAGCTTTTTTGTTTATCAAGCCATTATGAAGACTATAAATTACATTAAAA